CAACTGCTCGCACGAGAACTCGTAGATGAAGGCCATTGAAGGAGCATCGTTGTGGTGAGACCCGGAAGACTAATCCGACTGCCCCATAATTGCATCATGGTGACGACTTGATTCTATTGATCGTTTCAAAGGACCAATCAAAAGCTTCCCGAAACCAGCGAAGCACAGTGTCGACTATCGTCATGGGTGTTTGCCAGCAGGGATTCTTTGCACTTGCAAAGCTTCACAAACAAAGCATGAGCTCTGCGGAACACCTGAACGTGCGATCCATATCTCGCTGCGACTTTCCTAAAGAGACCTGGAATCAGCGAGGCATGTCGGATAACCCGAAGGGAATCAAGAACGCAATCGGATCGACATAGTTCCCGGAACATGGCAAGGCTGGTCCAGATGCTTATCCAAATCTCGCTGTGTCGAGGTATGAACTGTACTCGCACCTCAGGTAGCGGGAGAAGGTAGATCTTTGTGTCTCCTCCGTCTCATATCCTTCCAGACTTGTGAGCATTCAAACTCTTGTTGGCAAGGCTGAAGCTGTTGTTCGCCAGAACCCGGAGTTCTTGCCACGTACCATATACCATGTTGAGTAGAGAGATATTCTAGTCATTCTCCAGTGCACTCTGCTCCGGCAAGCAGATTCGCCATCGGTACTCGTACGAGGTATAGTACGGCAAATGACGTACGCCTCCACGTTTCTTGAATGACTTCGTCGCACAGACTCGTGCGACTGCTCCGTGGCAATGAAAGAACATACATGTCCAGAACACATCTTCTTGGGCCTAAAACCTTTTTCCTTGTTGCAGGTTTCTCCTTTCAGCCGTAGCTTCTACAGAAGGGATGACTTAGCTGCGTGGAGAAGTTAAGTCGCGCAAAGCCAGCTGAAACGTATGGAGCTCACCAGATGGTGGTCAGTTTGCCATAAGATGGCGTAGGCTACCTCTGCCTCGCATCCAAGGACGCCGTCGCCGAGCACAGGTGAATGTTCATAGGGGCAGCGTGGCTGCTTGTGCGGGAGTCCGATCGACGTGATATATCTCCCGCATTGTAAAGGTCAAAACATTCGGTTAACTGTGGTACCTAAGTACCAAGTTGCGATCGATGGACACGAGGTCATTGTCGTCAGTACACACACATCTCATCTTTCAAGACTTCTGCCATGGACGTGCTCGATTTCTTGTATGATGGATGGGGGACCTTCTTCAAGAAACTACTTGCAACCTTTCCAATCGAAGTGGTGACTGTTGTGATTTGAAACTGGCAAGCGCGACTAGCGACCAGCGACCGGATCTCGAGAGACCGCCTGGCTCTTAATCTGCTACCTTGTTCAGTTGGCCAGTGCGGGGATTAGAGAAGATGATCCGGCATGGATTTATTTGTGTGCGCTTGGGTTATCATGGAGTGACTAACAAGTAAGTAATACCCGCTTTACAAGTCATTTTCCTTGCTGGATATGACTTGAGTCCTGTGCGTCAGGCCGCCGAATTTAAAGCAGTATACTTAGATAGGTGATGAGAGGTCTTGTAAGCTGTGACACTTATCGGATTCTTGCCTGTGAAGAGGGAGGTCAATGGGTCGGTTAGCTGAATGAGGTCTTCCTCGAGTCTTCTCATTTTCACAAAGGAGCTCGGAGACAGTCATCAATCCGCGATCTCGTTACGAAATTCACGGTTTTCGTCAGGTAATGAGTGAAGTTAGACTTTCGCGGGAATCGACCACTATCCAATAGCCGTTGTAAGAAGGGAGCGATCTCCTTCACCGGATCTCAGTTTGTGCTCTGGTGGAATAGACTGCCGAAAGCTCTCTCTCCGGGCGGTATCCAATGAGGGGTGCAGGCGGCTAAGCGACACTCTCGCTATGTGCGCGTTTGAGGGTTGTTGGACTCGTGCGATGATGGAGGCAGAGTTTCTCGTCGTAAGTTGTCCTTGTTTTCGTCGAGGGCGAACGCATATATTGCTTCCAATGGGAGCTTCTTCGAGCTGTCGTGTTCGGTTACCTCGTATGTATTTGCATGTTGTGGTGTCGCCAGCGCCGGTCGGCGATCTCCTTCCCCACGCCAAGAGATGACATTGGGCACGAATCATCTGCGTTCAAATGCTTATCAGTTTGTGGTTTTGAGCTCGATGTGTGACGGTCTCGTGCAACTCCGCCTCTCGCGGTCACAGTTCGCCCTCCTTGATGGACCCGTCATGCAGCCTAATGTGGAATTTCGGCTCACCAGACCGCGATGGAACCAATTCTACCTCGCTGGCTGACCATTCAATGACCATCTGACCAATTCCAGAGTCATTGCGCAGTGTCATCTGCACATAATCAGCCGAGCTTTCTTCGGGTCGTTCCACTGCCGCACCGAACGAGCCCCGAATTTAAGGCTGTTGTTCCTATCTGACGTTCCTTATTCATTTGGGATTATGGGGTGTGACTGCCTTATCGGGCGCCTGGGATCTATCACGCCCCGGAGGCTTGCCTGCACTCACTTCCACCTCATCCCCATGCACAGGTGTACGGCCTCTTATGGTATCCTATCCTTCATTCGTCCTGTATTGTTTCTTTCTTTTTAGACTTTTATGAACGTACTCACGAGGGTAGATCATTAACCGAGGAACCACCCGTCCCCAACGAAACCCATTATCAGCGAGACATAGCCTCTACGTCGACCGAAAGTCGAGCCTCAACGGTTCCTGAACGAGGATCTGCAGCTCCCGAGACAAAGCGCGGTCAGAAAGAGGAAAGTCAACGTTGATGGGGAGGAATATAGTACTTGAGATTGGACAAACAAACTTGCGGACGGCCCCTCTACACATACGGCAACGATAAAGCGGTTTCAGCCGACTCGGGGGGGGCTCATGCATGGTCAGAACCGCGTCCTCGTCTCAACACACAATGGCTCTCGCATATATACCCTTTAGAGAGCTTGCTCTACCAGACCATTGCGCGCCGACCACGCCGCTCTTGTCCAGTCTTTCCTCACAATTGGGAATTTGTGTACCCACCCCTCTGGCTGCGTTGTCGACGCTGCTCGGCACGTTGTCGATAGTGTCATGGCTCTTTGCACAAATGCCTCAGATATTCAAGAATTACCAGATCAAGTCGACTGCTGGGTTGTCTATATTCTTCCTGGGCGAATGGCTACTTGGTGATTTGACAAACCTGCTGGGCGCGGTGTTCACTAAGCAGGCCGGCTGGCAGATCATCATAGCCAGCTACTATGTCTTCGTGGACCTGTGCCTGGTCATCCAGTACTTCTGGTACAGTCACGTGGCCAAGTGGGTCTACGAGGAAAGTCTTCACTCGTCTGGAAGCAGCGACATCGACGATGCAGACAGTGCAATCATCAATGGACTTTCTCCAATTAACACCCAGTTTGCGGACGACGGCCCGCTTCTTAGAGACGCTGACGACCACTCTTCCAAACGGTCCACTCCTACAAACACTAATGCGCCTCTCTTTTCCTCTGTGAGCTACGGGGAGAAGAAAGGCGCCGGCCCCCAGGACATCATCTATGGCGACAAAATGGCATCAAGTTGGATAGCTTCGCCCTCCCCACGTACGCTGCTGTATGCAGCAACCATGTCCTCGCTCGCTTCCAACGTAGCAGCCGCCCCTGTTACCTTCCCTTCGGATCACTATGTGCACGGCATACACCTTCTCCGCGTCGACACGCCTCTCGAAATTGTAGGAACCATTCTGTCCTGGTGCTCGACCTTGCTCTATCTTGGCTCACGATTGCCTCAACTGTACAAGAACTGGCAGCGTCAATCGACTGCGGGGTTGTCTCCACTCCTGTTCTTTGCTGCTTTCTGCGGGAACTTCTTCTATTCCGCGTCGATGATCACGAATCCGAATGCATGGGCCGATTATGGGCCTCATGGCCACCACGGCTGGGTCGATGCAGACGGGAACCAAAGGTGGGCGTGGGTCGCCAGAGCAGCTCCATTCTTTTTGGGTGCAGCCGGGGTCCTATTCATGGATGCGATGATGGGAGTCCAGTTCATGCTGTACGGTGAAGAGGAGGAGAGACTCGTGAAAGTCAGGGATAGCCATGGCTACAGCCACTGGGAAAGAGTCAGCGGTTGGATGCGAGGTTGGATTCCCAGCATCGCAGGAAAAGATAAGGTGGTAGACTTGGCTCAAAGCCAGCGGTTGTTGAATGAGAGCGGGCATCTCACGATGAGTCGGCGCAGAAGTCATCATCATGTGGATTACGGTACAGTAGAGTGATAGACATTCGTATAGAATATAGCATTGTTGCAATGTCTCGCACTCCGCGATGCCCATGCCAGTCACCTCCCAGCAGCTGAATCTGTGAGTTACGGACGAATGACACCCTGGACATCATACTACTGTACCACACAGTACGAGGTATCAACACCATTAACGCTGTTGCAATTACATCATCAATCTTGGAGATTCGCTTGCGGATTTTCTCCGCATTGACTTGCTTTGCCTCGACGAGCAGCTCGCTCACTAAGTGGTCAATCCTGCACAATACCATTCACTTATAACTCGAAGGCCCATCTTGCGAGCCTCTTGTCGTCTCCAGCGAGCTTCAAAGCCACTTCATTCATGATCACATCGCGCCTCATCAGGCCCTTACTCTCCACCAGCGCCGCCTTCGCCTCTCTCGTACGACCCGTCAATACCCCGCATATATCAGGCCTTGTACAGCAGCCAGTGAGAAAGATGCATATCCTAAGCATTCCGATGTGTACGTCGATCCGTGTTCTTCCCTGTCGTCGGTTCCACCTTGGCGGTACAGAAGGTCGCAGGGGATGAGTGTGTGAGCAAAAGCTAGGGTTAGATATGAAGCGCTGTGAACGAACGCTGACAACAATGGGATGTCCCAGGGGTGGGCTCGTCCAACAACTACGCCTACCTAGTCAGCGAAGATGAAACCAAAGACGCTGTGATCATTGACCCGGCAAATCCTCCCGAGTAGGTCCAGACTGCCTTTGTGGGACCGCTTGCGCCCCGGACAAACTTAGCCGCAAATATAAATTCTGACAATGGACCTCTCCGCTAGAGTCCTCCCCGTGCTCGAGGAGAAGTCGAAGTCCCTGAAGCTTACCGCCATCATAAACACGCACCATCACTGGGATCACGCCGGCGGTAACAAGAAGATCCTCGACGCCTTCCCCAATATCCCCGTCATAGCCGGCAAAGACAGCGAAGCCGTATCAAAGACGCCCTCGCATGGCTCGACGTTCTCAATAGGCAAGAATATCCAGGTCACGGCACTGCATACGCCGTGTCACACCCAGGACAGCATCTGCTGGTACATGGAGGACAAGGCCACGGACGACCGCGTCGTGTTTACAGGCGACACCCTGTTCATCGGCGGATGCGGGAAGTTCTTCGAGGGGAACGGCACGGAGATGAACAAGGCGCTGAATGAGATCCTGGCCGCCTTGCCCGACGATACCAAAGTGTTCCCCGGCCACGAATATACCAAGTCGAACGTGAAGTTTTTGAAGAAAGTAGACGGGGACAACGAGGCCGTGCAACGGCTGGAGAAGTTCGCCGACGAGAATAAAGAGACACAAGGGAAATTCACGATCGGGCAGGAGAAGGCACACAATGCGTTCATGAGGACGAGTAGTGAGAAGATGAGGAAGGTGACGGGCAAGAGCGAACCGCATGAGGTGATGGCCGTGTTGAGGGAGATGAAGAACGCAAGCTAATCAGTCAGTCACTTGATCGGACGAAATGTAAAAAGTCTCTTCTTCCCGGTACCGAGCTTCACAGTGGTGACATTCCCAGTTCGAGGTTCCTTGTTATATCCAGAAGCCATTCTATGTGACGTTCGAAAACACATCTTAGTTCAAGATTTACGGGTCATCAGCTCGGCTTAGGATTCCATTTGATGTTGACTATGTCAACGAGCCGGTTGTCCGTCCACGCACAGCATTGTCCTTTCTGTAGGTCCTGCGCGTCAAGGCCAGCGTGGGATGATCTATGCGGTCTCAGAAGGAGCAGCCACCGAACAGGTCTCCCTTGACCAAGTCGATGAAGCCCTTCAGGTCCTAACACAGCACAGATGGGCCGGTGATCGTCGCTGACCTTGTTGAGCTCTTCAAGACGTTTTAACAGAATTGTGTAGGCAGAAATCCTCGGGAAGCCAGGTATTTAGACAGACGCCACTGCTGTACGGGGTTTTGGGCACAGCTCCCGAACCGACGGGTCTTTATAAAGACTGTCTTCTCGCCCAGAGATGGCAGCGCCAGGGAGGACATTCAAACAATCGCAAGTTTGGGCCCTTGCAGGGCCTAATACTGATGCTGTACAGGTTCAGCCACGGGCTTCTGGCAAGGAGCCCTACTGTAATATGCTGTCGCAAAGGGACACGTCGCGAGTCACCATCACTTATCGCACCTCCCCCCAGCACTCTCGATCTCTTCTGCAAGCCAAGACACACGCAATTGTACTATCTACGGGCGCCTGGGGGTGGACGATAGGGGGTGAACCGCTCATGTACGGCCAGAACTCCCTGTTCCAAGGATGATTGATCTACCTTCCGATCTGAAGATGTCTGAATCTCTGAGGGCGCCTAAGATTTTAATCGTCCTCGCCCTCAACCGACCAGGAAACTTACTCTGTCATTTCTCGTAAAGACTTTCAACGTCCTCTGCATGACCTGGATGGCACTCCCACCCAATGACACCTCTTCGATCTTGATCCCATTCACCTCGGCCTTTCTTCACTCCAATCTCCACGAAGATCTCACGCCTCTGCGACATTTCGACCCCCTGGACGTTCTTATATCTGCACCGTCCGGCCCTCCTCTCACGGGGAGAAAAATCCGCCGTCAAAGCATAGGCCGTACTCTGGTCCGCAAATCCCGCACCCCGTCCGGAACCAAGTCCCTATAGTCCAGACGACCCTCACGGTGCGAAGAATATCTTGGACGCGGGCGAATCCAATGCGTGGACCCCGTCAAAAGGCAGAGCATGGTTCATGCCCTGACGTGCAGTCTCAGGGATGACCAGAGGGTGAGAAGTACAAAACGACCCTAAATAGCTAGCTTCCTGACTAAGACGAACGACACTGGATGCGCTGAAGAACTGCTGTCCCTTGATCAGTTACCGGTGCTGAGGCTGTGGAGTAAAGCAATAACAACCACTTGGTCACGAAATGCTCAAAGTAAAGTGGGATGAATAGGTGGTGTACGGGGTTGGATTTCCGGGGGCCAGTCCACCGCTACCTCTCCTCCGCGGGGCGCATGGCCTTTTTTTAAGACGGAACCGCGCATGGTGAACCGCACCAAGGGCAGTAAGGACGTTCCTGGATAGCCACTTCTACCTCGATGTCCGCCGCGCCAGTTAGCAAAAGTGGTGACAGGTCGAGACACATGGTTATGTAAGCGTGCTGTAAGGCCCCCAGCCTTGTAACTCAAGCCCAGACGCCTTTCCTCCACATTCGCGAGCCTGCTGCCGAGCAGACTGGCACAGGAGTTCTGCGTCGAGGTTTCCGACCAGTAGGACTTCAGAGTGCTCAAGCTCCAGGGGGTTTCCTGACGTTTGATGAAGTCATTGTGCTGGTGGGCAGAAGGGTAAAGTCATTTCCCATTCCAGAAGAGGCCGCTCTGGGGGCACGCAAGGTCGACACCATTCATGCGTGAATAATGCCAGGGAACCAGCACCCCGATGCAGCCCTTGGCGACGGCTGTCTTTAGGAAAACATGTGCGCAATCTAGAAGGGTGTATATTAGGTGACATGGTTAGCTGAAAGTCAGACTGAAGCCATAGAGCTCAACTTTAAGAGTCAACCAATTGGCGTTAGCTTGCATAGTTCCTCTAACCACGCACCATGGACCATGTCCTGTCGAAGGAAGAGTTGGAGGAATTTCACCACCACATTCCCGAAATACCATGGTTGGGATACGATCACAGACCGTCCGAATTGGGTGACTTTGACGACTATGCTCTGCAGCGAGGATGGTCGAGAGAGAGACTGTTCCACCTCAAAGAAGGTAGACTCGGCGATCTAGAGAAAGAAGGCTTGAAGGCGTTCCTTCAGAGCTGGTTCAGCATCGGTCTGTACGAGATGGCGTTGAGCCGGAGTCTCGACAAAGATGGCTTTATCGTCCAAAGGGATTCGTCTCTCTTCTTCAGCAGCGAGCCGTTGCGACAGCTGTTCAAGGATCTGCGGGAGGAGTTTCAAAACCTGCCGAGAGACGACCCACACAAGATCCAGATGTTGGAGCATTTAGTTCGGGTCCTGACATCGGCCAGTGTCTGGAGCCGTATGCTGGGTGAACCGCAACTGTTTATCAATGTAAACGCTGACTTCTGCGACGACACCTACGAGAGTATCATGCGGCTTTTCACGCTCAGCGGCGTGGCCGTGCAGTATATGGGCGAGGTGCTCGCAAACTTTGTCCAGGGGAGCTTTAGAGGCCGACTGCAGAGCCCCTGGATCCCCATTGACGCATATCAGCGGGCCCTTGCCGAAAGATTGGTGAAACGCGGCTGGTGCCCGTACGTGAAGACCATGTTGAGCCCGGTCAATATCATTGTCGCGGAATATGCCGCGATTGTTGGGCCTCCAGCCACCAGGTTTACGCACAATTCATGCTCGGCTGACGGCTGTGTGCGGCACAACATCGACGAAAGCACGTATAAGCCTAGGCATATCCGCTCGGGATGTCAATGCCCATTCGTAAGACCCAGCTTGCCTCGGATCGCCGAGGTCCTAGACAGCGGGCGAATACCTCTGATGGATTTCAACAGCATCTCGGAAGCAGAAGATGGCATGACTGTTGAGGTCGTGCCCATGGAAGACGCGTCCATGTTCTCTGCCGTATCCCATGTCTGGTCTGGCGGGCTGGGCTCGACCTCGGAAGAAGGCCTTCCAGCATGCGCTGTCGATTTCCTGGCCAGCTACGCCGAAGTTGCTGGGCCGTCGAAACTGACATGGATCGACTCACTTTGCATACCGAGAGAGAAGCGGCTGCGGAAGATGTCAATCACCGGAATGAACAAGGTGTACACTCGAGCATCCAGGACGCTGGTATTGGACCCTGAGCTCTTGCACGCGGCGACAGCCAACACTCGACGGTTGCTGCTCTGGGTCACAACCGCAGCGTGGATGCAGAGAATGTGGACACTTCCCGAAGGCCGCTTGTCTCAGGTCCCTCTCTTTGCCTTCAATGATGGCGTTGTTTTGTTATCGGACCTCATGAAAGATGCAAATCGAAATGATTCCGACAACCCGGTCAGCGGCTCCCTGATGCCTGATCTGCTTGGCTTATTCTCGGCGAATATCAATCCGCTTCGGTACATCCATCAATCGCTCTGTTATCGGACCACGAGTAAGCGAGAGGACGAGGTACCTGCTCTTGCAGGGTTGTTCGATATCGACGCCCGGCGCATACTCGAGACCAAGTCGCTTGAAGATCGAATGGCTATGTTTTGGATAGCTCTGCGGGAGAAGGTCAGGATTCCGATGAACATTCTCTTTTTGGGTGGGGAGAAACTGCCGATTGCAGGCCTTCGTTGGGCGCCTAGAAGCCTTCTCAATGCCGGCAGGCAGTTGAGTCTGCTTGGACCTCCCAGCGGTGTCACCACGTATGACGTTGAGTTGAGCGACAGCGGCACTTTGACCGCCACGTATGTCGTGATACGCTTGCAAAGAAGATCCAAATTGCTACTCAACAAGTTCAATCCGATCAAACTCGCGTTCAATCCGGATCCTGGCTCAAGGGAGGTGCCCGTTGGCCTGTTCACGATACTTGTCATGCCAAAGACAAGGACCGATACTGAAGATGCTGGGATCTTGGAAGACATCGATGCTTTTGCGGTTAATGTAACAAACCTAGAGGCAAGAGCAGGACGAGCTCTCGCCAATGAATTGTTGTCCTCGGTAAAGACAGTCATCGCCCTGACCATGGAGAGCTCGCCACCAAGGCCATTTGAAGAGGAATCTGGCGCAAATCTGGGTCGGCCGAAAGACGAACCAAGTAGCTATGCGCGTACACACTCATTCATAGCGCGTTATCGAATGCAATTGTCACCGATTGAGACACTGGGAGATGAGCTGATCACAGGATTTGTTGGGTGGGCACGGATCTCGATATCATGAGCCAAGCCGCCTGTGCAAGGGACAGGATCCCGTCGGTAGCAAAGCAGAGGAGTTCGTCTGATTAGCCATGTCTGGACGCCCTGGACACGGTACTGTGTAGACACCAGTCCACGCATGGATAGCCTTCACCACTTACCCCGCGGCCTTACTCGAGACTCGTATTGAATAAGAAAGGTGCCATTCTAGTGACCCTGTACCTAGGCTTTCAGCCGTAAAAGACGGATCGGTGAATCCTGAGTGTTGTTGATGGAGGGAGCCACTTGACCTGCTGCATGGACGGGTTGTGTGCAGTCCTCGATAGTGACTGTGATGTTTCATACTCGGCGGTATTCGATACAGCAAGACGAAGCCCACGAGTTGAAGCACATATGGGTCGCAGGGAAGGCTCTCAGGAGTCGTACCTGAGGGAAACAGTTCCCTTGGCTGATGCTGCTCCAGGAATCCGTAGAATAGTCAGCGAGAGGAAGGAAAAAGAGTTATGCTTCTCACGTGACTGCGCAGGTGGATGACACGCACTAGTCCTTTCCTGGAAGCTCAGCTTGGCGGCGTCGATCGTTGCGCAAGTCAATCGACGTCGGACGACATCAGTCCTCTCTCACATTCGTACGCCAATCACACAAGCACAATGTCGCTGCTCCGGACGCAGAGCTCCTTGCGGCTCTCGAGGACATGCACCCAAATCCCGAGATCCACGAGACATGTCTCTCAGACACCTTACCGGCGAATAGGCGACCCTGACCCGAGAGCCATCCCGGACGTCGAAGCTATGAAGATGACCGAAGACCAGGCGTCAATGGTCGCCGTCGATCACAAGCCCGGGCCGGCCGTTCAGAAATACCACCCCGATCACCAGCCAGATTATACCGCGACGGTCGACCACGGCACGTCGGCGTACTCGCCGGTACCGAGGAGGGTCATGGACGGCAGTGAGCCGGGTCATTTCACACCTGCGGCTGTGGTTTCGGGCGCGCCCGTGGATCTACAGGCTCGAACAGTCAGGTAAGAGGTAAACAATCGCACAAGCGGCGCAGCCTCTGACTCGGGGGTGCGCACAGAATCTACAGACCCGTCCGTCCGGCCACCCAGTCCGGTACCTGGGGCTCCCATGCATGGCGCATGGATTGGGACGTGCTCGGCAAGGGCCATCGCTGGGAGAACCCGCTGATGGGATGGCAGTCGTCGGCCGATTTCATGCAAGGGACGAAAATTCAGTTCAAGTCAAAGGAGGATGCCATTGCGTTTGCGGAGAAACAGGGTTATGAGTGGTATGTGCAGGAGCCGCAGGAGAGGAGGGTGGTGCCCAAGGCGTATGCGAACAACTTCCTGCATGAGTCGGGGACGAGATTGAAGCATATCAAGACGAAGTAGATGAGGTGAGGTGGACAGGGTAGCGACAGACGGCACACAAAGCTGCTGTTTGCTCTCCGCAAGAGCTATATTGCATTGTACATACTGGCACCGCCAGCCTGGGAAGAAGAGGATAAAAACCACCAATCCAAAGCTTCCTGGTAGCCTCTTACTTTGTTGAGAGTCCCCAGGAAGATGTTCAATCTCAGCGCCGCCAGTGCCCGCTTGCTTGGAGATTGTCTAAGTCACTGGCTGAAGCAATTGCACTCTGGCAGAGTACCACACCATTCAGCTTTTCTTCCACGAAGCCTTGGACCCTCAATTCAGCATAGTACGAATGCAATCGCAAATTCTAGGTAATAGTATTCTTGGTCATTGGGTCATCAAACATCGTCTAACAAGAGCACAGCGCGTTAAGATATTGTACAAGGGTATCACGTCAATCGCCTTCTTCGCCCATCATCCGCGCTCTTCATACAACGTATGCTGGGCCGCTCTGATTCCACATTCAAACAAAGTTGGCTCAGTAGTTGTGCTTGGCGGCATGCTTGTGAACGTCTGCTTGCCGGTTGTAATTCGTCTCGTGCACCTTGTCCTTCATGGCATTACCGGCGGCTCGCAGTCGAGTCGAGCTTCGAACATTGGGATCTTTGGCGATTCTGCGCCACACACACACACAGTCAGTAAAGGGCCCATCGGAACCTGACACTCCTGGTAACCTCGGAAAGTGCCATAGAAGGGACAGCGACGATGGCGGGCAAAACATACGATTTATTGGTCTCCTTGCTCGCGGAGTGGGCACCGCCCTTGGTTTTGTTGGAGATCCAGTTACTCGCCGATCTTAATGAGTTCATGTTTGCTGGAAGTTGTGTTGGGCTTGTGGACACTACGAGGTAGGGTGTAGTGGTATCGTGGGACCGTGGTTGGGTGGATTGTCTTTAGGGTATCGATGTGCGTCTGTGGTGGAGTTGCAATGGTCAAAGGGGAAGACTAATCTGCTGATATATACCCCAGAGATGTGGCTTGGTGGTGGTTTCGTCCATGTAGCTGCGTGCATCGTTTCTGCCGCGGACAGCTGTGGCTGCAAGCACAAACGACGATGTCATCCCGCACTGTTGGCAACATGATCGTGCAGAGGCTGCAGCGAGGAATGCGCTAGAACGTGTCCACAACCTATCAGGGCGGCACTCGCTGCTAAGGAAACCTGCTTGGATATGAGCCTGCTGACCGATGACGGCAGTGGGAGCAGCAGACTGGGTGCCAGGGATCTTGCGATGAGAGACGGGAGCCAGATCGAGGAGTGAGCGACGTCATCGTGGCGCTGAGGCTGCCGCGACAGCCACGCAGCCTTGCGTCCGAGGCGCGTCAGCATTGTGTTGAGCCACAGCTCGGTCAGGCTGAAGTAACAAGCTGCATTATTCCGTGCGATTACCACTATGGACTACGAGATGCTTAGATGGGACAAAGACAAAACCCTGGACTCTGGGTACCATCTCGGCTCCTCAGATGCTGAGTATCAGATCCGCCAATAGCCTGAACGGAGTTGCTGTGCGTCCACACCCACTCGTCGCAGTGTGTGAAAAGGAAGTGCATTCCACCGTCCTGCTGCGTCCGAGGCCAACTCACTGAGCACATTCTTTGAACTTGCACTTCAGACTGACTATGCCTTCGTCGTTGAACCCCTCGTTCAGCAGCAACATGCTTTTCCCGTAATCCGCAATTCCGGGATAGCGGAATCTGTCGTCGATTGTCTGCCAGCCGTCCTTGTTGCAGTTTTTCTTCTCATAGATTGTGCAGCATAGGCCTTTGTCGGGACCCATCGAGCCCTTCCAGTTGTAAACACTACAGTGGAGTCATACGTTAGCATTTGGGGTCAATCTCTTATGCGCCCATTGGCCCACAGGACGAGCTGGATGGGGAGAAGCTGGACTGAACTCACGCGTTGTAACACTGGCTCTCCGACTTGATCTCGGTCCACTTGCATGGGGCAACAAAGTTGTGATTCATGCATTCGTAGATCCCTTTGACACCTCGACGATTGTGGTGGTGTCTGCCCTCATGCTCCTGGCTGTTGGTCTCGTTAGCCCCTCCAAGCATCTTGCGCATCTGAGAGAGTATTGGATCGTCGTGGTCTAGGTCGATGCTAGGGTTTGCGTCCCGGGTGTGATGGCGATCGTGGTGACCGTCGTCTCCGTCCGTGCCTGGAGATTGTACATGCTCCCATTTGCGGTTGCGGTGATCCTCGTCGCGGGCCTGGTGTAGGCTGTACTTGTTCTTATCATTGTCCATGCCTGCAGTGGCTCTGTGCCCATCGTCCCCGGCACCACCTTTGCCAGCTTTTTGCCAGGTACCATGTTCATGTGGTCCAGCACCATCACCTGCCGCAGCCCAGCCAGGTCCGCCATGGTCGGCGATGTTGGCTGTAGAGCCGCCAGGCTTCTCTGCTTGGGTCGAGGCAGGCGATGCGACAGCCAGGGTGGCTAATGAAGCCAGTAAAATGTGTTTGAGAGCAACCATTAGTGCGAATTGTGTTCAGAGCCCAGTAAAGTCACTGAGTTCAGTGGTACAACAGGAGACTGAGATGCGCGCTTCAACAACATCCTATATGTAACCATGGCTGTTGGGAGCCAGCACCACGCCACAGGGCTTTGTTCGAGGACTGTTTGGTGGGCCATCCTGGCCTTGAACAAACGCACTCTACCGCATTCGAAGAGCCAAGCTGCTCTCAGTGTATGAGGCCACACAGCTGTGCCATTCACTGAGAGACGATGCACGCATAGCGCTGGAGAGACGGGCAACTGGAACAAAGGCTGGATCTTGATATTGTTCTCCCGGCATGAAAGGCTCGCGCCTTAGTATTGTTCTCTCAGGTATGGAGAAGACCACTTAGTATTGTTCTCCTCGGATGCCGAAGCTTTGCCGGAGCAGCTTCCGGGTTGTGCGGGTTCAACCAGCACAAACCGTTGCAATTCATAGTCCAGGCGGCTCTCGTGCTGAGTAGTAGCAGGGGAGACTTGTGCTTGCGGTCAGCCGGCTCACTGTTTCTGAGGGACAGAATGTCCCATGGCATTTCTTGGCATGACAACGGAACTTCTTTGCCGCCCAAAGCATCATACAGACTGTAAGTCCCGACAGCTACCGAAATAAATCACTGCTGATTCATGCTATGCGCAGCAAGTGTTGTGTATGATGGACTTGTACTCCGTAGCAGCTTCATAGTGGTTCGCGACCCCATGGCCAAGATATTAGCGGTTGCTTTTCATGCCCACAACCGTGCAACTTAGGTCGAGGGTGAAGCATTGAAGTCCGCAGCCGCGATGGTACTGTGGAGATGCAGCACTGATGTCAAATTCGTGCTCTGGTGACCCAGTGTATTCGGTCCTGTTGATGCCTCTGACCCCAACCGGTCCATCCGGTACGGGGTGCACTATGGTCGAGCCTTTGTGCTCGCCAAGTTGAGATGGTCATCGGGGAGAGCGCGGGTAGGCCCATGCAAACGTGACGTGGCTGGCCTCCTCATGAGGCAGCTGGTTGAGGCGGCACGCCTCAGGGTCTTCTCGGCGTTGGCTTCATCCCCGGCTGCTCGCGGCTGACTCGAGTCGAGTTGGGGAATAGCGACATACTGGCGAGTTTGAGCCGTCGACTAATCTGGACTGATAGTATTCTGAGTGCAAGGTATTAACAGGCGCTTTTCGCATCGCGAGTGACGCCTAGCCTAAGCGAGCCGCCATTTCTGTCGTGCGGCATGGGGAGGGAGCAGCGCAGCCATAATCAGGCTGAAGAACCGAATGCGCTAGCAAAGCCAAGCTCAACGGAACGCGGCACATCGCAGCAATGATTGGCCGGATTACAGTTCCCCAATTTTAGACCCACAGCAGCTGCGGGATAAATCCAACTACTCCGGACTGCCGGCGACTTTCCGTCTGCGGTCCGAGAACCTCGTACTCCCTCCCACGCAATCAGTCTCAAGCTTCTCCAACTCGTTGCTTGGGGTGCTTGAGTTCCACATGCTTTGATCCTTGCCTGGGCGTGTGCCCCCGGAGCCCCGGCACAGGGCTGCCTGATCCTCTTTTGCGGAGGCCTTGGCGGCCTCCTCCTCTTGATGACTGTCCCCGTTCATTCCCCGGACTCGGAGTCTGGGGTCTGGAGTTTCAAAATGCATAAACAAACGGTCTCCGGACAACACGCTACCTGATATTCTTGAACAGAAGCTCTGAATCTATCTGGCTGGCGGACCATCGTACCTTGCCTCGAATTGAAACACCATGACCGACGCCACAGCAAGGAAAGAGATGGCAAACAGGTCCGAGGAGATCGAATCCGCCCCAGCGCCACGACAGGAGCTGGGGATGACTGAGGATATTGAGGATGACCCTCATCGTGCTGCTTTGGAGCTCAACCCTGAGGTCGCTGACAAAATCACCTGGTCGACGACATTGTCGGTCTTCGTAAGTAGACTGCCAGCTCGGTCGAAAAGCCATTCGCATTTGCGCTGACGCTTGTCTGCCACAGTTCTTGGGCTTGTCATTCACAGGATGTATCTCGACCGCATTTCTGCTTGCCTCTTCGATCCTGGTTCCAATAGGCACTGCCCTTGGTGATTTGGTACCCATTGGCTGGATCGCCTCTTCCTGGGCCGTCACATCAGCAGTCAGCATGTCCCTCGGAGGTGGCCTCAGCGACATCTTCGGCCGTCGCTATGTCATCATGGCAGGACAATTGCTCAACATCGTCGGTGCCATTGTCAGTGCGACAGCTCAGAAAGTGACACACGTGATTGCCGGGTCTGCCGTCGTTGGTTTCGGTGCTGGCTTGGTTTTCGTTGCGTATGCCGGTATTCCTGAAATTCTGCCCAACAAATACCGGTGAGTTATGTTCATGCAGCAGTCTTGTCACATCAGCTGACCTTCGTTCACAGTGGAATGGGTCTAGCGTGGACGGAATTCTGCATCACAATTCCATGGGGTTTACTGGCCACGCTCCTGGCAAATCAGCTCAACGAGCATGCCACCTGGCGTTGGGTGTATTACCTGTCTATTATCTATGCAGCAGTCTGCTTTGTTGGAACGGCTATCTTCTATTTCCCGCCTGCTCGTCCACGGAAAGACTACGACAAGACCAGGTGGGAGGAATTTTGTGAGCTGGACTTTATCGGTTACATCCTGTATGCTGGAGGCTTGACTGTCTTCCTCATCGGACTGAGCTGGGCTGGGGAAGAAGACCATGCCTGGAGCTCGGCCTCTGTCGTTGCACCGATCGTGTTGGGTGGTCTGGTCTTCATTGGCACCTTCGTCTACGACTGGACTGTCAAGCCCAAGCTTCCTTTGATGCCACTCCACATCTTCCGCATGGTCCGGGAATTCACCATCTTGCTGGTCGCGCTCTTCGTGTCCGGCATGGTCTTTTTCGCCATGGTGTCTCTCCTTCCGCAAGCGACCGAGTCGGTTTACGACAGCGATCCCATCAAGCTTGGAGTGGCTTTGATTCCCAACGGTGTTGGTCAATTCATCGGTGGCGCCGTCCTTCCGGCGTTGGTTCACAAGATCAAGCATATCCGAGCTCAGATCGTGGTTGCGCTGTGCATCCAGACCCTGTTCTCAGCTCTGTACGCTTATGGCATCATCCCTCACCACAAGGCCGCCTGGGTGATCTTCCAGTTTTTCGGCATGATGTGCTTTTCATGGATCACCCTGTGCTCCTACGTGGTGGTAGGGCTACACGTGCCTCATAGGGATCTGGGCATCGCTTCTGGACTGGTCGGGACATTCCGCAACACCGGCGGCAGCGTCGGCATCTCCATTTTCAACACCATCCGAAATGGTGTTCTCAGCGGGCAACTGGTACCACGCATCCTGGCGGCCGCTACGGCCAATGGATTCCGTGGCGACGCAGACGCAACCGAAGCGCTTGTCACAGCTGTTACAAACAATGCAAGGGGCGTGCCAGGCGCCTTTGCAGAAATTCAAGGCGCCACTCCGGCCCTGATCCATGCGACCTCGGAGGCATACAAATCGGCATATGGCTACGCGTATCAGCGAGTGTTCTTCAGCACTATTCCTTTTGGCGTGATCGCCATTATTGCGGCTTTTTTCATTAAGGACGCCTCGGAATACTTGACGAACCATACCGCAGTAAACATGGAGAAGAACGTGCTTGGAGAGAGACCACAAACTAACAAGGCCGTGGACGTGGAGCAGCCAGAGAAGAAGGCAACTTGAATTTGCGTTACGGCTCTGGAGACCGGACTTGCGTAGGTTTCGCTCTGCTTCTATTGAGCTGTCCCTTGGCGTCACCATCCATTCCTGGAGGATTGATCTGCCTTCAGTTCGTCTTAGAAGGACGGACAGACGGATAGGTCCCCGCGTGCCCGGTATCTAGCATAAACCCGCGACTTCAATACACAAATATATTGCTTTATCCAGCAGGAATCACCTCTCCGGCCTGACCTCCACACTACAAGTACGTAGCTAACTAATGCAGCCCTGGAGTTCGGCCAGACTGTCAGACCCTGAAGCCATATGCCCATACAAGCAGCACTCCATTCTTGTAACAGCCGCGAGATCCGACTTGCCGAAACAGTGAACTTAAAATCGCGGCTGGCGTGGCTTGTCGCAAACTGCCCGGCCATCCATCAAGATGGGAAGTCATCGACCGTATGCGACTACCGACCTTTCTTTCCGGAATATACCCGTCGGATTCTGGTGTTACAGCGCGTATATCGGAGAAGATGTTGTCTCTCAGAGATTCAGCCTCGTAGTCGATCTCGCGCAGTACCCTGACAAGCCGCCGGGGCGCCGCAGGGACAGGCTGGAGCCCCATCCGGGGCCCCAGACCAACGAGGCTGTCTCCAACTTTTCTTAGAGGCCTACCATAGGCGATCTGGCGGCTGTTGGTCCCTCAGCATAGTATCACATCTCAATCGTCCCCGGAAGCGGCACCCCCTTTTTTGCAAAACCTTGCCGACAGTAAAGAAGGAACCTAAGCCCAATGCGTGTTGAATGCCCAACCGCGCCCCCGGAGTGACTGTCTCAGCAGTTGGCCGGCACAATAGCGGTCGGATAAAGCTCTTTCGCGGCAGGAACCTGTACGTCGAGTCTCGGCAGATGCGGATCTAGCGTGACAGCATTCCCCTGTCCTTGGAAATCGGCGGGATCGTGTACCTCTTGGGTGGAAACCGATGCAGAGCACCAGTCTACCTTTTGGGGACGCCTATCAATGATATCAATGAATCGTACTCCAGAGAAGCCGAGGAGTCTCCAAGGCCACAGGCTGAGGAGGCCGTGACGGGGCCCCGGAACCGAAGAACGTCGGATAAGGGACAAGGACGGCATAGAATCACGCGGGAGAGATTATTCCTATACGGGACAACCCGCTGTGAGAGCAGCGAGGTTGTCCAGGACGGTCGTTGCTCCTTTTCTCGACACGACGTTCGCGGGGGGAGAAAGCCATCGATCGAGTTCTAAGGTGGTGCATGCTGTCCCTTCACTCCCCGTGTGGGCTGTTGAAACTTCAAAATCATGCCGCCGTGCCCTCACGAGCTACATACAGCAGCGATACCGTCACGAAAGGTAGGTAGCTTTCTGTCGTGCCCTATAGCCTCATTCCATCTGGGTACAGTATGTAAGTACTCAGACATTGAAGACCGACGCGGCCTGGCAGGTCCGGCTGAGTCTTCCCATGGGATGAGGGACAAGGCTGCGGACGTCCCTTTGCCTCTCAGCGGGAGGAACAGTCAAATGCTGGACGTTCTCTCATGTTCCATCCTATCATTTTGCGAAACAAGTAAGGTATCAATCACAGATTTCGCGTTTCCACGCTACTCAATTCTTCAAGCGCTTGCTGATCACCACAGATACAGAAGGCCAGTTCGTCCAGTCCTAATCAACCCGCTGAAGCTGAACAATGGTCAGTGGCATATCCGGCGTCGACGACGAAGCCTCCTCCCCTACAAATCAAAGCAACAATCCCGCGCTCTACTACAACCGCACGCGGCACAACAGTTGTGGATCGGCGGGCATTCAAGTTTCCTTACAAGACTATTAGATTTAACAAGGGCAGTAAGTGGGTTGGAACAGTGTTCGCCGTGAGCAATATTTCGACGTCACTCAAAGGGAATCTGAATACAACCAAGGGAGAATCGTGCTGGCTTTCAGCATTCCGTGACGAGCTGGACCAACAACAACGCCAGTGGAATCCCGACAATGGCAGAAGCGAGATATTCCGTTCGATTCCGACGGTGAAGGGGAAGGGAACAAGGAGCGAAACCCGGGAAAAGTCCAAACAGCTGAAGCTAGCTTCCCAAAGTCCACTCAATAACACCAAAACGAAGCCAGGGCACAACGTTACGAAGTGACCACCAGTCACCCGATCGCGCTGTCTCTGCCCGGCAACGATCAGGCTCAGGCACTGCTCGACCATCAGGTGAACGAAGCCATGGAGCAAACAATCGGGCATTCCCTTTCCCCCTAACCAATGCGGGCTCCATCAGGCCAAACACCTTCCCAACAAGACCCGCTGCCACGAGGCACTTTCTCTAACCACATGCAATAGACTCCACACCGAGGGAGCCACCGGACCCCTAGTCAGGGTTCTTCAGCTGGTAACAGTAACGACCACACGGGGGGGAGCCAGCAAGCCTCTGGGCAGGACAATTTCTCTGATATCATGTAACAAATCCACACGCGGGCTGCCAACAACCGATACCCAGGGCACTGCTTTCCGACGACATGCCAGATCCACACAGAAGGCATCAACAATCCTGTAGGCGCGGTTCTAAAAGTGCCAGATTTTCACCTCCTAGGAAGTTGCGGAATGCCATAAGTATGCTCCGGTTATTACCCCTCGCACTCATTATTCAACGGGATTATTGTCACGACTGTAGTATTACCGCTTTTGTTGTTGTGTCTGTCCTGAACGGGGCGTGCACAAAATAGTGAAGATGTTCTAGTAAATCGTTCTAGGGGAAGACGCGGAATGTGCGAGATAATTGATGTTGGTCACGATGGGAACACACGAGAAGACTACACCGCGTAAGCATCGCACGATACTCGTAGGGCAGACACGACGTAGCGAGCCAGTTACGAGGCTCTAGTAAGAGGGGCTGTGGGGATTACTGTAACTCGCAGCGCGGCGCCAAGCACAAGCACAAGCACAAGCACAAAGCCGCATCAATACCTCCGACTCCGTAGCTCATTGCAGTCCGACTGCCCTACCGCGTCGATTGGAAGACTTTACGAACGATGAACCGCAAACAACGCCGCGCAAGGGACTCAACCGACCACATCAGCACGGCGGACGATATCCCGCTCGCGCCGCCGCCCGAGAAGACGAAGACCCGGGACCCAAAGACAAAGACACTCTTGGAAATCGCGGCCGAGCGACAGGCCGAACTACTCGGCTCAAAGTCTGGGATTCACGCCGCGCAGACCCCGATCGACGCCGACGCCCTCAAGCCAGAGAACATCGTACAGGTGAAGATCGGGCCGGATGGATCGATCGTCCCGGATTCGAGCGCAATCGCCGCCGCAACCGCAACCGCCACCGCCATGTCTGGTACGCCAGGAGGCTCCAGCTCCAGCTCCAGCTCAGAAGCCGTATCAGACACCCCCTGGCTGGACACCATCCTGCTGGCCTCGTCGCTGGGCGCCGTGCACTTCACGCTGTCCGTGCTGGCCATGCACCAGTACGCCGAAGAACTGCAGTTCCAGCCGCTGGTGGTGCAGACGCTGGGCATCGCCTTCCCGACGTTGACGGTGCTGATCGCGCTGTTCCACGGCGACTTGCTCCCGGCGTCGCTCGCGAGGCTGTCCCCGCCCGCGAAGGGCTGGGTCGTCGCCGCGCGATCGCTCGTCTATCTCGTCGTGGCGAACGTGGCGGGCTGTTATTTGATTTGGCTGACCAACGACAAGGGCTACTATGCTGTCATGAAGAACGCGCCGAGCGTCGGCACGATCTGGGTGTGGGCCGTGTTGGAGATGGGGTTGTTGGGCGCGTTGGCCGGCGTGTTGGGGCCCGGGGTCTATGCTTGGTGGTTTGGGTATGGGATTATGTGAATGCGTGCAAGGGCACAATATGTGTGTTGGTGAAGCTGTTTTGCAGAATTCTCAAGTATGGCTCCGCTAGGGATCAAAAGATATGCCGGTCAGGCACGAAGCCCAAAATCTGGCATTCTCCTGCTAGATGGCTATTACGTTAGAGGCATGTGATTTTGGCTCGGTAGCCTAACCAGCAGGTTCTAATGGCCGCCCTACGAGCGTGGCCCGAAATGGACTGCAGTGGCCGTTGTTCCTACGACTTACCTGTGAGAAACTTGTACGAGGTACGGCGGCACTCAAGCTAGGGTACTCAGGTACGATCGCGATCACGATCTTCTGCGGCACAGACAGGGCGTCCAGTGGTGATTGGTGACGCTAAGGGCAGGTTAATAATGGGAGACTTCTCCGGTCACTCCGTTCAACGCCCCGGAGATGGCGGAGATGCTGAAAAATGCTTCCCCTCTTTGTGCCACCTGTCACACCACGGAGTGCGATGTCGCGGCTGGTACGAGCTACAAAGTTCAACGGTGTTTGCGGCGTTCCACCAAACCTTGAGACCATCGTACAAACCACTGCGCACATCTAGGGGCGGGCGTTACCTCTAGAAATCCCGCACGTTCTCGAACATCCGGTGATTTTAGCGGTGACCGTGGTGTCGAAGGAATGCCCCAACAACTGATCAACACTGCCCTACAGCAGAGTGCACTTCTATCCTGGATGCCATGCGGTCCGAGATGCATTTTCGGTTGTCCGTGACGATGTGCGAAGGCCCGCATCGGAGAACACCGATCTCACTTGTCGGGAAGAGACATGTCCCAAAACAGGAGACTCCGCATGGAAAATTTTCCACGGGTGGTACAAAAGGCTCGCTGGGGGCCACATTCCTGGAAGCAGACCGCGAGATGGCTTTCCGGTGGATATAATGGAATAATTATCGAGTAATAGTAGCGAGGAAACGGGAGGTACGATCCCAGCAAAAGGTATTCTCCGATGCACGTGGGAAAAATTTTCGTGTGACGAGGCGCGTCAGAATGGTGAAATCGTCTGAGTCACGCCATGTCACATCGTCCAACGAGCAGCTGGATCTCAGGGTCTGACAGATGGAGAGCGGAATACGGCGTCGAAGTCACGATGCGCCTGGCGCGCTCTGTGCGAGCCACCGTCGACTCCTCGTACGTGCTCTGTACATCGCTGTCAAGATGCTCCTCGATCAACATCACCTTCAGATCCAACTGAAGGTAAAGTGAGCCTAGGCGAGCCTTGGAGGAATTGCGGGGTGCAGAATTGTGGCGCCTCTTGGCCGCCTTCATTGGGCTTTGGGCGGGACTTGGGGGCCCGCGGGCCCTTAGCGATCCCATAGCGCGGGCAGGGATGCCATCGCCTCGCTTGACCGCTGGCACGGGCACCGGTCTGGGAGGGGCTGACTCTTGATTCACTTTGCCATCAAAAATCACAAGTCAGCTGGTCGCCATTGCCGTTTCCAGTTGGCGGACCGCAGCAATAAGCCACGCAAGGCAACTGCGACGCCAATCCACAAGGCTCGAACCTGACGAGGTTTTCACCGGGATTGCGTTTTTTCACACGCGTGATTGATCCAATCGCCGACACCGCCTGGGTTTGTTGGAGCAGGAACCTTCCAAGAATACATGTCGTTCGTGATGTCAGCTACGAACAAATTGGTAGTCCTGTCGTACACCGAACCTGGCACCATTCGGACCACTTCTCCGGTCGGTGGTGCCCTGAGAGACAAATTAAGTGGTAGCATTGGTGTCCCTTGCGTCTAGCCGCTGTCACTTTGCCCTGATCGAGGTTTCCATTATTCATACCTCATCTATTCGGACAGGCCATGCCCAACGCGACAGAGCATACAAAGATGTGCGCGTATGCCTCATGTGTGTGAGAAAATCTCTTCTCACCTGCCGCTGGACTTTTTCGCAGCCATCACAAGAATGCGCCGGGACGTCGATTAGACTCAGCCGGCTATCGTTTCCTCTTAGCCGTCGCCAACGTCATAGGCTTCACCTCCAGGTTTCTCCTTCCCGCAGTGGTTGTGGGCGACGAAAGCCACCCCCACCTGCTCGAATTCGCCTGCGCGCCTATTCGCCTGCGCCCAGGCGTCATCGCCGTCCAATTTGCGGCAGTGCATCATGCCGTCGCGTATCCAAGGCACATCTCCTTCTCCGCGACAAGCGCCCAGTACCGTCAATGATGTGGTCAATGCTCTCCAGCGCAAGTTGACCAGCAACCACATTGAAACGTCCGTCACGCCTCCGAGAAGACCGTCATTCTCGATGGATTCATTACTCCATCCCAAAAAGGACAAGAAACACGAAGAGCCCAAAGACCGCGACGCCAGCAGTCCCAAGCGTTTGTCCCTAACCGGCCGCCATGCGAGCAAATCCAAGGACAACGCAGCTGCTCGTTCGCCGCGAGTCACTGCAGCTCAACCCGGTCGCTTCGAGATGATCATTGAATCCCCGCCGTTGGTTCTGTATGGGAGCACTAGCAATTCCAGTGGAGCATTACTATCGGGCCGCCTGAAATTCCTAGTCAGCGATCCAACCGGCGAGGTGCGACTGAACAATTTCCACATGGTGCTGAGAGCCATCAGTACTTCCAAGAAGCCAGTTGGCAAAGACTGCAGGGAATGCAGCGAGAAGGTCGAGATCCTCAAGACTTGGGAATTCCTCTCCGAACCGCGAACGTTCCACTCTGGCAAAGACAACCAATTCCCCTACTCTTTCCTCTTCCCGGGCCATCTCCCCGCCTCGACACAATCGCAGCTGGCGTCAATCCAATACTGGCTCCTGGCAACGGGGACGACTTCGCATGGCGAGGAGATTACCCTGACTCACCCATTGACCGTTCAACGAGCAATTCAGCCGGGTCCCGACAAGTCAAGCATTAGGATCTTCCCGCCGACCAATCTTACCGGGCGAGTGCAGCTTCCTCCTGTCGTCCATCCCATTGGAGTCTTCCCAGTCACAATGTCGTTAAGCGGCGTCGTGGAAAAGAAGTCCGAAAGTCAGACTCGGTGGAGGCTGAGAAAAATGACCTGGCGGGTCGAGGAGCACTCCAAGGCAATATCGAACCCGTGCCCCAAGCATGCCCACAAGGTCAGCGAGGGCAAGTCGATCCTCCACCAGGAAACGAAAGTTCTCGGCAACGACGAGTTGAAGGGTGGCTGGAAGAGTGACTTTGATACGATCGGAGGCGAAATCACCATGGAGTTCGAGGCGTCTTTGACGACTAAGAGCGGCCAACGACCCACCTGCGACGTGGATTCGCCGACAGGAATCGAAGTCAAGCACAATCTGGTCATCGAGTTGATCGTCGCCGAGGAGTTTTGCCCGAACAAGAATCTCTCCATGGTCACGCCTACTGGTGCTGCTCGCGTGCTCAGGATGCAGTTCGGATTGGTTGTTACCGAACGAGCCGGCATGGGCATTAGCTGGGACGAAGAAATGCCACCTGTTTACGAAGATGTTCCACCGAGTCCACCCGGATACGGCAGCGCCGACAGGAATGACGGCGCATGGGGTGGCGCGGTCATCGAAGACTACCACGGCGAGTTGCCCGAGTATGAAGATCTCGAGAGCATGGGCAACGAGGAATCTCATGCTGGTTCGCGCAATATCGGCCTTCCAATGCGGGAGAGCCAACCTCCATCTGGGCGATTCAGTCCCGTCAGAAGACCTTTGGCGGGATTGACGAACGACGAGCTTGGAGCCGAGCCTCCTCGCTACACCTTGAACAGAGGAGAGTCGGGAGACCGGCAACAGTCTGGCCCACAAGAAGATGATGCCGAAGGCAGCACGTCGACTGCGCGATAATGATTGGAGCAGGGCAGCAGTGGCACGTGTACTCTGCACGCAGCAACCCGTGTTCCCAGGAATATTCGACCCCACCATATACTATTCACAATGATACACGACAGCGGACGACATGACACGAAACGATTAATCCCACCTTCCCCGGACTGTTGCGCAGCGCAACATAGGCTCGTTATTGTTGATTTGGCGGTTGCAAAAAGCATTGATACCCAGGATCGTTTCTCTGGTTGGTCGTTGAAGCATCATGAGCACAGCAGCAAGCGTATTGGTTGTTGAGTCCTTGGGCGTTGAGAGCGTTTCCTCTGGAGATGTCGCTATTCTGACGACTGGTCCCTTTATTGAATTTTATCTTTTCTACATGACTGGGAAGGCCAGGCATGAAGGCATGAAAGGCAAGACATAAGATGTCGCCACAGTTTGGCTGATGCTCATAAGCGTCCCAGGTCGCTCGTACCATTACGATCGTGTACAATAAGCAGTACGAAGTAATCTACCTCTGACAAGCACGAAGCGCAGTCGACGCCGGTCAAGCTCTACGAGTGCATCGGTTGTGGATGATTGTGATGTATCGCCCATTCCATTCCTCCTGAACGGTTCACCAGCGCCACATTTAGGCACAAGTCTCATGCGATACCTACTATCACAGTACAATATGTTGCTGCAGTAATTACCGTCTGTGCACAGCTTTAGGTAGAATCAGTGAGTGGATACACGCATCAAGTACGGCGTATGAACGAGAGACTTGTCCTCATCTTGACCAGCCGGAATGAGGATGCATATAGACAAGAGAACCTTACAGGCTGTTCGACCGGGGGCGTCGAAGACAAAAAAGGAAAACAGAGAGGTGAGCAGGTTCCTTGACCTAATAGCTTGTGATATTATTATAGTATAATATGTTGTCGTAGTATTGTCTATATACAGCTTCAGTAGATTCAGCGAGTGGGTGGATGCACGCATTGAGCTGGAAGACGATGCATACAGATAACCTCACGGGCTGTTTAACCCGGCGTCAAAACACAAAAAAGGGAAAAGTGATAGGTGAGCAGGTTCCTTGATTCAACAGCTTGCATCCTACAATCATTTATTCCCCCAATCAGCGACATTCCCAAGTCCGGAGTCTTCATCTGGGGCTTCGCCATTGCATCAAGGACTTTATATTCACGGAGATATCGGTCAGAGTTTACCTGAAAAACTACCCCTTGATACAGTATGGTACGCCACGCAGCGCTACATGCTAGTCATCCACGTCTCTGGGCTCGTGCGTGGCCCAGTATCGATCATACTCCTCCGGCGCCATGGTAGGGAACTCGGTGGGCCTGGTGATGGGGACGAGGGATTCGCCGCGCGTGGCAAAGTCGGCGATGCGCTGGCGGGTGCGCTCGCGCGTCTTGTTGACGCTGTAGATCTTGACGCGGTGGCAGCTCGACGTGACGTGGAGGCCCCAGTTCCACGAGTTGCGCACGTCGAGCGGCTGCGTGTTGAGCGAGTTGTCCCAGCAGCGCACGACGATCTCGATCCACCCTTCCACGTCGCAGGGCAGTTCGTACTCCCACGTGCGCCACGCGAACTTGTGCTTGGCCGACAGCTTCTCCGGCGGCACCTCGTACCAGGAGAAGCCGCCGTCGGCGGACAGTTCGACGCGTTCGGGCCAGCGGCCGCCCCCGGAGTAGGCCCAGCCCTGGCATTGGATCTTGCCGTCGTGCACCACGACCTGTTTCGTCCAGGGCGACATGATGGCGCTGGACACGGGCATCTCCTGGATCTGGATCCCGTTCACGGGCAGTTGGTTGTGCTTGCCCACTTGTTGGTTGAAGTACAGGTACTCCTTGCTCTGGACCGGGGCGCGGGTCGGCTGCGCGAGGCCCCGGATCCGGTACACCCACTTCACGGACCTCGCGCCGATGTAGCCCATGACGACGAGACGGACCGGGTAGCCGTGGATCTTGGGCAGCGGCTCGCCGTTCATCTCCCATGCGAGCATCACCTCGTTGGCCTTGACCTTGGACCAGGGGACGCTGACGAGATAGTTCATCAGCTCGTTCTGCTTAAAGTACGTGTCTGCGCCGTGGAATTCGAGGTGCTTCCCGCCTTCGGCCATGCCGCCGCACTGCTTGATGACCTTTTTGAGCGACACTCCCACGTAGCGAGACGTGCCGATGGCTCCTTCGGCCCAGGGGGCATTGATCATCTCGTCGCCCTCTCCCGCGTACATTTGAATCTGCTCGACACGGCGAGTGCCGCTGCATTGGATGGTCACGAGCTTCTCCATTCGGGGAAACAGCTCCTCGTTTTGCAGGTCCTTGAGTGTGAATTTGCGGGGATGTTTGACCAGGCCGTCGAGCGTGAGTTCCCATGCATCTGCATCGATGTCGGGGATGCCGCCGTGGTTTCGAATGAAGTGCAGGGATGTCGGAGTGATGGGCTTGGCGGTAACAAGCCTCTTGGGCGGTTCGCCATTGTACGGGAACTGCAAGAGATGAAGCATGTCCGGATGCTTCTCCTGGATGACGCGGAGCCAGGATTCCTCCGGTACAGAAGTCAAGGGCCCTCCGATGGCCTTGTGCCATAGTTTCCAGCGAACACCCTCGAGCACCGGGTTGGTGTCCGGGATTGCTCCGAGCTGGAATTCTGGCGGAGGCGGAAATGCTTGGCCCATCATGATCTTGTGGGCAATGGCCTTCTTCTCCGGGTACTGCTCCCACTCGATGTACCTGTTGGGAGTCTTAGTATTAAGCTGTAAGCTGAATGAGTGGCAGACTGTCACCCACCCTCGCCACCCTGGGCGCTCCTCAGCAAACACCACATCCCGGTCGATCTCGTCCTTCTCCACGAATTCTTTCGCCTCTGCGAGCTCCTTTTCCAATTCCGGGTCAGGCGGGACATCTTCGACGAACTGTCCTTCGGGCAGCGTCTGATCCCGGATGGGCAGCTCTGCCGCAGCGAGGCCCTGCTCGAGCTTCCATTCGTCTTGCGGCTGCAACAGCAACCATTGTCAGCTGATCTCTCCTCTGAGCACTCGGCGATGACGAAGTACAACCTGGTGGTGGCTTCTCAGCTCTCTCATGCGCACGTCGGTGTGCATGTTGGCTAATCTTGTAGTGCTTCAATATTACCACAGACAAGGTCCTGCTTTACCTCAACGTTGTCGCGGCCGACGAGATCATGTACTGCTGAGTGAGGAAAGAGGAGTGCCGAAAGGAGGGAGAAGGTTCAGTGGATAAGACTGAAGGACGAGGAAGAGGCGCATCCGGCCAAACTTATGGAAAAGAGCTGTTACTAGGGACCGCGAGCTCAGTGGCCGGAGGGGACGGAGAACGATGAAGCTCTGCCCACTTCAAGCCCCTGCTTGCTCTCATTTGCACCGAAGCACTCGAGGACTTACTTCATCAGTGGCTTCCGCGCAGTTTCACCAGGTCTGTTCGCGGCTTCGAGGTGCAACAAGCCTCATGCCGGCAGGTCCAGTGGACAGCTTCGAGCCGCCAATCGGGCGACAGGTGAACTCGACGTGATGAGTGTATGACGACGCAATGGATGCAAGAGTGAGAAGCGAAGTTTTCCGGGAGATACATCCCTCGTCGCAGAATGCTCGACGGTTTTGATTGGTTGGTGGTTGCCCAGTCGCGGTCCATCGATTGGCCGACAGGGATCCGCTATCGCTCGATCGTTGATTGGCCGGGACGACGCTTCTTCGCCTCGCACGAGCTTGTCGCGCGAGCTTCTCTCCCATTATTTTCCCACGCACTCACCGTCGCTCTGCACTTCTGACATTCACCCGCTCCTCGCCGTCGAACATGTCACCTCTGAGACCCAGAAGCCACGATGCTCCCCCAATCGCGATTTCCAGGAGCACACACACCCAATCTGGGAGACCCACTCTATCTTACAAACCGTGCATACCCGGCCTCCAGCGAGCATGTCAATCCTCATTAGGAAAATCTGCTGTGCAACCAGTGTCGTCGACCATTGTCCAGACACGAGATTTCACCAGGCAAACGTACCACCTGCTCCAGTCCCAAGTACGAGTACACGTGTAAGTAAATGTGCAGATATCGGCAATCATTACTGCGTAACAAATAGCCCAATGTGGCTTCAACACTGGTCCACCCGCCTTGATACCAAGCATATTCCCCCAGCAGTGGTGACCAGCCAGTGAAATCAGAAATAACCTAGTTTCTTCAACTGCTCCCACGTATCCTCCACCGTCTTCTGGAAGTTGGTGAATTTCAACCCCAACACCTGCTCCGCCTTACTCCTATCCAGACTGAAGTGCTGGGTTCTGTCCACCTTGGCGCCCTCGTCTCCCAAGCCCTTCTCGCCCTTCGCTCTCAGGCCAGCGAGGCCATCCTCGAAATAATCAACCCCACCACAGAGCAAAAACCGTTCGTTGATTCCGTTGTCCAGCGATAACGCCTTTAAATGAGCCTCGGCGACGTCCCGCACGTCCACCCAAGCAGGCAACCCCGGCGTGGCGACCTTGGGGGCAAAGTTCGGATCCTTGCCCTGTATGGATACCACAAGCCGCTTGATGCTGGTGTTCAACCCGTCCACGCCCTTGGAAACGTCGAGTTCCTGAATCGGCGGGCCGTAGATCATGGGCGGGCAGAAGGTGATCAGATCCCATGAGATCTCGCCCTTGGACTTTGCGTCTCGCCACATGTCCCACGCCGCGCGCTCGGCAAATGTCTTGGACGCGTGGTATCCCTTGATTCCGTCCTGCTTGGCCTCGTCAAGCGTCAAGGGGTCCCAGTCTTCGGATGTGTAAGTATACCCCGGACGAGGACTCTTGGAGAGATTGACCACGCTGGCGAAGGAGGACAAGATGGTCAGTTTCTTCAGGGATTTATTCTTCAAGGCGGACGAGACGACGTTGCGCGTGCCATTCACGGCTGGGTTCACGAGTTCGTTGATCGGGTCGGCCGAGACGGTAAAGTACGGGCTCGCGACGTGGCAGATGAAATCCACCCCGTCGACGGCCTTGTCAAGCGCCCCGGGGGCTTGAATGTCGGGGACTTCCACGAAAGTCAGGTCCTTGGAAGCACTGGCTTCGGGGTACTGCTTGCTCAGGTAGGTGGCCTTTGAGAGGGAGCGCAGAGTCCCTCGCACGCGGTAGTTGTGCGAAAGGAGAGTGTGGAGGACATGGGCGCCAACATAGCCGTTCGGCCCCGTGAGCAGGACGAGAGGCTTGGTGGACATTTTCTGTATCGATGAAGGGAGCAGAAGCAGGCGTCACCGATAATAGTACGAGTACTGTTGTATGTTGTATGTTGTATGTTGTATGTTGTAACTGTTTGGACGCAGTCAATGTCAAAACCCGTGCTCGTGTCTCCCTCCCACCTTATATACAATTACGTTCGAGCAGTGCTTCGTCCTGTCGAGTATGTAATGAGCAGAATGCGGTCTCAGAAGCGGGTGTTAGCACCGCTCACGACAAGTATGAGATTAGCAGATCACCCTCTTTGTCCCAAGTTAACTCCATCGCCGGCGGATGAGGCCTTACTAGGCGTCGCACCCACATGGCACGGCACGGCAACAGACCAATAATGCATGGGCAAATAATTGACAAAGAGTCGAGCAGTCAGTGGCTCACAGGCTCATTCACTCAAGCACTCAATCAACCCAATTCCGCCGCTCCCGCCGCAGTACGAGTATACCGTCGGTTCCTCCGCAGCTACAGCACGACTACAGTTACACCCGCACGGCCGCCGCGGCCGCCTCTCGTCCCGCGGAATTTGAGGCACCATCCCAAACCCAATCAGGCCCGCTCAAGGCAGGTAAGGGAATGACGGACTCACCAGTCACCTACCAGTCGGCTCATCCCCCATTGCAAACTCCTCAAACTCCCACCGGAACAGTGCGCCGCGTCAACTAACCTATAGGTACTAGTAGTTATCGATCAGCCTGCATCTACCACGGTAGGTGGCATCTCTCGTATTGTCTTCGTCGTGTTCTGCTTCTTCACTTCGTCACTTCGTCACTTTGTCATTCACTCACTCACTGTTGGGTGTCTGTACTCGTACCTGCGTCAATTGCGTAGTTGCTCGTAGCAGCGCCGGGCTGGGGCCTTCTAAAGCCCTTCGCTTCCGGATGTGAGGACGGAGTCCTGAATACACAGTGGCTCGTGGTCACAGTCGCACGGTGCCACTGCCATTGCCATTGCCATTGCCATTGCCATACTAGTACAAGTCCGAAAGCACCGTCCATGGCACACCCACCTACCCGCCCACCTACTGTAGGTACTCACTGCAAAACATGTCCTGATGGCCATACTTCGCTTTCGACACCATTTAATTAATTACCTCGGACATTCCTTGGGATGCCTCAGATGCCTACCTTTATCACTCGTGGTGCCGTGCCACCTACTGTGTACAATTGCGCACCATCTGCGCCGTACTCCGTGACTCCCTACGGAATTACTCGGATCACACCCACCACCACGAGGCAATCGGGATCCAAATTACCCGGCAACACAATGCGAAGCTACAACAGTGTTGAGCCGTTATCAGAGCCGCTCTCGCATGACATTACATTATACTCATAGAGGACCAGGCTACTGTACGTGTCTACCTGTAATCATAGTTGCTCTGACAAAAGTGCTATTGTGCGTGTCGTCAACATATCCTACTGCGCGACTCCGTCCTCCGTCCTCCGTACTGTATTGGTCACGCCGCGTGCGCTTCTCGATCTCCTCGTCCGCGGCTGTTATGACTAATTCCACGACATGCACAAGTCCACGTCCTCGCATCGTGAATGCATCCCTTCGTGTGAGATCTCCTTGAGAAGGGACCCAACGCCCCTGTTGCTCTTCCCCTCCGATTCTCATATCACTGCATCCACGGGCCATACCACTCTCTAACCCAGCAACATTTCCAACTCCTCGATCCTTTTCTTCCTCCTCTCCTCCTCGCTTTCACTCGCCCCGGAGTGGCCAACGCCCAAACTTCCCGCCACGGCCATCTTCCTTTCTTGCACCCTCAACATCCTGCCTTCGATGCTCTCCTTCGTCACGAATCTCACCACCTCGACCTTCTGCGTCTGACCCATCCGATGCACGCGGTCGATCGCCTGTGCTTCCACAGCGAAACTCCACCATGGATCCATCATGTAACAGCGACTCGCGGCCGTGAGATTGAGCCCGACACCGCCGGCCCGCAGGGAAAGGAGCAAGATGCGCGGCGCCTTCGGGTCTGACGCGTTCTCGGCGTTAAAGGCGCGAATCACTTGCGCTCGAACTTTCTGCGACATCGTGCCGTCGAAACGCAGGTACGCGAAGCCATGTTTGCTGAGCTGAGGAGCGATCAGGTCGAGGAAAGACGTGAACTGGGAGAAAACCACCGCTTTCGTTCCCCTAGGCAACGCGGACAAGTGGCTTAGCAATGCGGCTATCTTGGCCGAAGTCGACGCAGAAGGTGAGTAAGGATGGATCCGCCGTAGCGAGATCTTGGTGGGTTGAACATTGCCATCATCCGCCCCATACATGTCTTGGTCTTCATCAAACGATGCCGATCGAGTATTGTGCTTGACAACCTCGAAGACGTCTCGGGGGTTGATCTCCTCTCTGCACGAGAAACAACGAGGGTTCTCTCCTTTATCCAACTGGTGTGCAATGTACTTTTCCAAGCAGTCTTTGCATGCACTGTGCCAGCAAGTGGTGACGGCAGGGTCGTTCATGGGTTCTTCAAAGCAGAGCGGACACTCGGCGCTTGATTCATCCTGAATTTGCCGCAGAGCATTGGTGGTGAATGTGTTGATCGGGTCTTTCGATGCCGGGTTCTCTTTGTCGGCAAGATCAGTGTCTTTGGTGAACCGGGCAATGAGGTCTTGAAGATCCATGTCGTCGGCAAAGCCGTTCTCGTCCGCGGCCGCGGCGACGGCTGCATCTTCTTCGTCTGCCACGATGTCCTTGTTGCGAGTCAATACAGGATGGCAACAGGACTGCCGCAAGCGAAGAATCTGAGCAAAGATTGTGGTGTAGGACTTCAGGAGGGTGCCAGCTGCGACCGACTCGTTGAAAGCCCGTTTCGCCCGGGTGAAGATCAGATCGTACACTTCGCGCTCTGTCTTTGACAACTCGACTTCTTCGACAGTGATTGATTTGGCAGGCAGCGGCACGAGAGCTTCACCTTCAGGCGTCTTCATGTCTTTGGTTCTCCGGAGCACCAGTGGTTCTAGTACCGTCTGCACGACGTTAAGCGCTCTTGCAATCTCTTTCGACTCAAACGGCACTGTGATGAACGTTTTCCAGAAAGAAAAGTTACTCCATGGCTCGACTTTGAGGAACCGTACCAGGCTGAAAAGATCCTCCAGACGATTGACAATCGGCGTCCCGGTCAGGACCCATCTGTGCCTCGCTCGGAGCTCATAGCAAGCCTTGGATGTCTTTGCCTGCCTGTTCTTGATTGTGTGCGCTTCGTCGAGAATGACTCGGTGGAAGTCCACCGAGAACAGGCCGCCATGAGACGCTCTGTCGCCACCAGCGGCCGACACTTGGTTGAACTCTGATAAAACGGTGCCATAACTCGTGATGATGACATTTGGGGCAGAACCAGCATTCGAAGCAGAGCACAAGATCTGCAGATTGACAGACTTCTCGCTGCCGTAATAAACCATGGTCCTCAACGTGCCTGGCTTCGATGACTTGACCGCCTCACTTTCCCATTGCGCCAACAATGACATCGGTGCCAATACCAGTGTTGTGCATGGCGCTGGCTCCACAGAAACCGACGACTGTGGCAGGCGAGGCAGGTTGTTGACCGAGGTCAGTGTCTTGTTCATGGCCTCCAGATCAACCTGGGACCGGTTCGAATGGATCAGGCTGTAAATCTCGATTGTCTTGCCGAGTCCCATCTCGTCTGCCAGGATCCCTCCCAAGCAATTCTGTTCTTGAACCGGGAAGTCTAGACTAATTTCTCCAGAATAGAGGTTCACGTAGAACTTGTCCTGGCCTTCCACAACTGGCACTGGCCTGTCGCCCGCATCTTTGGCGGGCCAGGTGTACTCTTCCCATAGAGGATGCATTGACAATTGTTTGTCAGACTTCTCGTCCCGCTCTTTAGCGAGCATCCAATGCAACGCCTGTTTCTGGTACTTTCGCAAGTCAAGTTGGAAGGTTGCGGCGGGCTCAGCTTCCGGAGTGTTGAAGTCGAACGACTGTGCCTTGCGGTACAACGTGTCAAGTTGATCCTCCTCCAGTTCTTCTCCTTCCTCCTCTTCAGGGCCTGGTGTCGAAGTGCCAGATTTGCCCTTGGCTTCTTTGTCCTTGTCGTATTGCTCCGCCATTTCGGCAGCTTTCAACAATCCTTGCTTCTTGTGCTTCGCCACTGTTTCGTTCGTGGTTGTTGGACTTAGGTTCACTTCCTCGAACAATTTGACGAGCGCGACTTGGCGTAATCGAAGATCCTTCTCCTCTGTACTCTCCTTCTCCAGAAAGAAACCGGTGGCTCTGTTGTCGTCCTTGGGTTTGACAAAGGCGTTGGCTTCGAAAGCAGTCTTGAGCATATACGCATGGAGTTGGAGGTAGATTGTGTCGTTGACCCGGACACGATCCGGCGCATAGACGCACGTTCCTTCAAAACGGCATATCTTCTGATCCAGCAATGGCGACACCCAGGAAGCCGTCTCTTCAGGTAGGCGTCCTAGTTCCTCGCCTTTGGCGTTCGTAAAGCGCGTTATGACGTCCGCCTTCTGGTTTCTGCCCACGACAGGTACCAGCTTCCCGCCTCGCCCAATCTTTGTCTTTGGGGTGATTTTGGACCGTTCTATCCGTACTGCCTCTCCGTGGCCCAACAAGTCGGTACCGCTCTTTGTCATCCATGCGCCTACACCAAATGATCCCACGTATCGCTCTTGCGGCATCGAGTCTAGTCGTATCATCTGCGGCAGAGCCGCGCCCTGGCTCTTCTTTCGTTGCTTGGGCACTGAAGGGGTGTTGGCTGGAGCAGCAGCAGCAGCAGCAGAGGAGCTCAGCCACGAGTCTACTCCTCTTGAAGGAAGCGATATGTCCGGCGCAGGTGTGGTGATATTCTTCCATGACCCGTCAAAGTACATATTGATCGCCCGCTCAATATTACCATTGGCGGCGGACTGCACCTTGTCCACCACATCCTGAGGAACATCCTCTCCGACAAAGGCGCGGAATGTGTCAGAGTCAAACGTAGACGCCGCCGCACTGTTACCAGGGATCTCAAGGTCGGCGTGGTCGGTTTGGCTGGACTTTGGCTCAGCGCCAGTGGAAGAGGTGGCGGAATTTGGTCGACTCGAGACATTCACCGAAGACGAGGTTTGCGGTTGCGGTTGTTCGGCCACATCTTCTGGGTCGTCGACGAAGAAACGTCTTTTTTTTCTGGGCCGCACGCCCACGTCCATGGATCCCAAGCAATTGTGGCCTGCGCAATGAACACAAATTGAAGATGGAGTGAAAGCGGCAACGACGCGTGCATTAAACGCGCTTGCACGTGACGGTGGGCGAGGCGAGTCAACGTCATACAAAGCAAATTAATTCTCTTCCTGCATCGCTCCTTGAGCAATCAAAGGACCCATGTTGAAGGTCAGGTTGCAGCTCAGTCCAATGAAATCTGTAGAAGAGGCCTCATTGTTTGTCCTGCGCCATGTCGAAATGAAGGATTGTCAAGCTTAGGGGTCTTTCGGAGCAGAGAGCAGGACATCGCCTCCGATATGTCGGCAGTGGGAGGATGTGGCAGACGGCTGATATCGAGATGGCCCAAAGAAGCCCAGAGAGTATCGAATACCCGGGTTCGCACCTTCACATCGACGCGACCAGCAGGGCTTTCACTTGACAGGGGTTCACCAGATGTGAAGAAAGCACAGGGCTATTGTTCCGGTCTTGTTCGGTGGGTTCATCTATTCCCTCGCCCCGCGAACGTGGTTCTCACTGCAGCTCCAGAAACTATGACTCGCCATCATACACGCTCGCTCACTTCATCCCGCCGCACATGCTGCCGGCGTACTTCGCCATCCGGGCCTTCAACATCGAGCTGGCGAGAATCCCCGATGTCGTGTCCATGCCTCAAATCGGGGCGTTGAGGATGCAATTCTGGAGAGACACCATCGACAAGAGCTTTAAGCTCACTCCCCCGTCGGAGCCCGTTGCCATCCTGATCGCGTCATACCTCAAGCAAGGCCACAAACTCAACAAGACCTGGTTCCAACGCATCATTACAGCCCGAGACCGCAAATTGACACATCCGGGGTTCACCAATCTATCCGAGCTCGAATCTTACGCCGAGTCAACGTACTCCACGCTCCTTTACCTGACGCTCTCGGCACTACCCTTGAAGTCGGTGGAGGTGGACCATCTGGCATCCCACGTCGGGAAAGCCGCAGGCATCGCTGCCGTTCTTCGCGGCGTCCCGTTACTTGCATTTCCCCCTCCACCCAATACCCACTCGGTCAATCCACCTCAAATGGGCGGCGGGACGCGCGAGCGACAAGGCGTGGTTACCCTCCCCCTGGACGTCATGTCCCAGTGCGGCGTGCAAGAAGAAGACATATTTCGGAATGGCGCGAACGCCGTCGGTGTCCGCGATGCCGTGTTCACAGTCGCCACTCGCGCGTCTGACCATCTCATAACCGCCCGCGAACTGCTCAAGAATCTCCAACAATACCGCGATCCGGGCCACGAATTCGAGCACATGTACGATGAAGGTCACGGGTACAGCAAGTATGACATTGGCGAGCGCACCTCGGCGGAGAAAAGGAAGGAAGACATCGACAAGGGGTTTGGCATCGTAATGGGCCCGGCCGTCAGCGCACAATTGTGGCTGGACCGGCTGCAGAAGGTCGACTTTGACATTTTCCGCCCTGACCTGCGACGCGTCGAGTGGAAGTTGCCATTCGTGGCGTGGTTGCGGCACAGGCGTGGCAAGCTCTAATCCGGTTGTCCCACCATTCAGGGCGATGTCAGAGCATTCACTTTTGCCTCCTGCACCTGTGGAAAGCCGTTCGAGTCGACGGTGTTTCTTCGACTCTTGCTCAGCGTCATTGCGTCGCCCTTCTTACCCAAAATCGCCTCAATGGCTCCGATCAGTGCCTGTGAGTCGTACAACATGACCCCCTTGGAGCTCTTTCGGCCATACAGCTTCAAGCAGTCAATGCCCAGCGAGGCGAGATGGCTTCGATCCACCTGCGGCGTGCCCTCCCCAGTCAGGTGGATCACATGTGTCACATACTTCCGATAGACGTCGTCCCGGCCTGGGTCGCGGGTGTGGGTGTGAGTAGGTATGTGCCCGTTCGTCGCAGCAGCAGGGAACAGGAATCCGCCGTGTCGAGTCGCTGCAGGAGTTGGCGGGGCCGAAGACCTCAGCGTATCCTCGGACCGCGAGGCATGAAGCTTCGGTCTCCACGGTCGGCCTGACGAATGTTCGCCAGCCCGCGCAATGGCCTCGACAAAGTCGAATGCCGAGAAGGGATCGGAACTCGGACCCGTTTCCCGGTCCAGAGACCCGTTGAGGATCAGGATCTTGTGGCGTGCGGGTGTGGAGCGCAGCGCGTCGCCCACGCCCTTGAGGACGACGGACGGGATAATAGACGTGTAAAGTGAGCCGATGGAGTAGATGATAGCCTGAGACTCCTTAATCGCCGAGAGCACCCTCGGGTTCGCGGGCGGGAGCATTTCCTGTCCATAAGGGTTGATATACCAGATACGCTCAATCCTGGCGGGCAGGTCCTCGTCGTGGTCCTTGCTAAACTTGATGTTCCGCTGGCGTAGTGTAGGAAGCGTGCCGGGGATATGCGCGTCCTCGATCTCGTCGCGGAACTCAGCACCAGGGTCAGCTATCGCACTTGAACCAAGCGAGGTCGAGGGAGAGGGCGAGGCGGAAGGCGAGAGTGACAGAGGGTCCCCCACTCCCACTCCCACTCCCACAACGGGCATCTCCAGCTTCGTCCTCGCCTCGGGATGGGAGATATTGTTCTGCCCAACAATGACGTCCCCGTTCGCCAGCCCCGCCGCGATATGGTGGGAGAAGTTGGAATTGATGCTCGGGATCACGCGCACCTCGGCATCCGGAATCGCGCAGATACTGCTCAGCAAGTAAATGGCGGACTCGAAGCTGCCGCAGAAGAGCCGCGCGCCCGTGAGGAACAAATTGCCGACGCTGCCGGACGTGAAGTCGAACGTCGACGCCGGGGGCCGCGCCCTCTTGACGACCTCGAGGTTCAGCGCGTTGAGGAAGGCGCGGATGAGTTCCTTCTTGGCCGCGGGGATGTCGCGCCACAGCGGACTCGTGCCCCACACGATGGCCTGCCAGCTGGCGGCGGCGTCGGCGGCGCTGGTGCTCGACAGCCGGTGGTTGAACAGGTTGGAGATGGCCGACCGTTCGGTCGACGGCGGGTGCGTGGGGATCAGGCGCACGAGGCGCGAGCGTACGTCGCCGATGCCCGGCCCGCCGAAGACGCGGATCAGTTCCGACGACGACCCGCCGTTGTCCGAGATGGGGATGATGTAGTTGAGCGGGCAGGACTTGGTGACGCGCACGGCCTCGAAGACTTCGACGAGCGCGTTGGCCGCGCTGCCGCCGGAAAAGACGGTGATGCCTTTGGCGGTGGTCATGGCGGCGTCGAGTTTGGATTGGATATGAGTGGGATGCGTCGATATAGGAGCGGAATAGGGGCAAAGGGGGAGGGGTCAAGTGTTCCTTTGAGGTATCATATTGTCGCCATGATGGTACTGTAGTGTACAGACGTGGCCTTTCCCATTGAGGTGTCAATTTCGGTGTCTGGTGGTGTCTCTATGGAGCAGGTACCCGGTATGTTAGTAGTCCAGCCTTGCAAACCTCGTGCAGAATGATGGCCGATGTTCTGCCGGAGGTGGATTCCGAATCTGGAAATTGAGCCGATCTTCTGCCGTAGCGGAAAGCTGATTCGGGAAAGAGAGCCGGGTTAGATGTTTTGGATTGGGAAATGCTTCCACTGAAGAAGGACGGAATATATGAGACATGGGCAGCCCCAATGTCACAGGACAAATTAGTGGATTGGTCCGAGACGGCATGGGACAGACCCTCAGCTTGATACCCATGATCGTGCGTCTTTGTTCCAAATTACGGGTGAAGACTACCTAGGTATCTTTGCGTATTGTGTGCCCTGCAACCGCTTAAGCAGAGCGCTCCGAGCGTCGTAGTGGGAAAATCCAACGTCAGATGGAGATGATATAAATTGGATTCATCTTGGGTTCAACCTCCGCAACTCCTCGCTCGATCGACTGTACCTGGACCTCCTACAGGTAAATGCTCAGCACACGCTACAGATCTGGCCAAGTCCAGGTCTGCATCCAGGCATGGAGCCACCTGCGATGATTGCTGCTGCCCACCATTGTTGCTTGGATATGCAAGGGCCTCATTTCACATCAGACTGCAACCGTCTCCTCCTTCCCCTCTTGATAAGTGCCTTGTTCGCCCACCTTACCACCCATCTCGTCATAACATCCCTCATCAGTAACAAGAACACCACCACTGATACTGGCACAGCGATAACCCAGAAAAAGGCGTCGCTGTGCTGCTGCACGCCATTAAAGCGCTCGAAGTTCTGACCGAAATAACCGGTCAAGAAAGTCAGGGGCAAGAAGAAACAGGTCACGATGGTGAGTTGTTTCATGGATTCGTTCTGGTACGCCGAGACCGTGTTGAAAATCAAGTCGACGAGGTTGTCGGCATTACGCCGCATTTGATCGTAAGAGTCTTGAATCAGCAACGCGTGATCTTCTACGTCGCCGAGGTAAGTTATCGTCAGAGGAGAAATCTGTACCCCACTCAACAGAGGTGGCGATGAAAACTGTTTCCGAAGATTCGAATTCTTCAACTCATGGCTCGTGGCTTTGCTGAGTGGATCGTGCTGGTCGAGCGCTGCAGGACTAGCGATGCGCGAATGGGGTACGGGTGCAGGCTGAGCATCTGTTTTGTGATCTTTCAGGGCGCCGATGAACTGGACGACCGGGGCGATTGCGTTTCGTAGAATGGCAATCTCGGAGGTGAGGATGTAAAGGACGTTCGATTGATGGATGTCGGGATCTGTGAGCACGTCCAATTCCAAGTCCCCTATCGCATCTTGATAGGCCGTCGTCACAGGGATCGCAAGATCGATTATCGCATCGAGGATAGCTTGGCAGAGCATACTGGCGTCGGAACATTGGCGCAGGATGGTCCCGGGTGACTGGAGGCGGCGGATGATGGGTGTTTGAACATCGTGGGCGGAATACTCGAAAAAGGAGATGACGGTGTTGTCAGCGCAGAGGAAAATCGATACCTGTTCCATCGAGACACCGATGCCCTTTGGACTGAGAACGGCGTGCCGCTCCATGTAGTCGATGCGATCCTGGTTGGGCCCGGCATGATAGCGTTGCATGGTACGGATGTTCCTGGGTGCCCACGGGGTTCCCACTTTGGTGTTCTTAAAGCTGTTGGAAGGCTGTAGGCCCTCCACGACGTCGGCGGAGCCAGACCGCCGTGTCTTTTTCTTCTTCATGGGCTTGCGCAGGTCCTCGATGAGTGAGAGAATCGCTCCTTTTCTTCGCTTGTTTTCGCGTTTCCTCCTCTGGTGTTCGGTGATAATTCTGGTGCGGTATTCAGACTCGGCAATGTCAGACTTCGAGTCGTCCTTGTCCTCGTCGTCAGAGTCGGAGTCCGATTCATTCTCTTCCAGATTGATGAGCTTCTGCAGGGGCAAAACCATGTAGGTATGGTCACTGTACCAATCCACCTTCGTCCTGTTCTTGGTGTGAATCAAATCCTCAATGGCAAGCCGGTGAAGCCGCTTGTGGTTCCCTAGTACCCGAATCACGTCCCACGACAATCCATTCACGTTGATCCATCGGACGTCGCTCCATGCTGGGGGCCCATCCTTAAGAAATTCCTCGATATTATCATTGTCGAGGTCCGTCGTTGAGACCGCCTCATTGCTGAAGTCCACCACTGTGATCTCACACCGCTGATTGAGCTTCTCGAGGTGTGCTGGATCTCCGCCAACCGCGTTGCCCTGACTGTATGGAGGAGCCGGGTCACTCGTGTCAATACCAGGCTCCTGGCCTGGCGCCCAGCCACTTGACCTGCCCATCTCGGCCGAGCCGTAAATGACATTGGCGGTATCTGCTCGGCCCCTCCGCCGCAGGGACTTTATCGAGCCCTTAGACATGGCGGTGTCCGTGCGATGCAGGATCCGGGGCGAGTGAGGTTGCGTGCCCTCGTCCGCGGCATGTTGATGGTGCTCGGGGTTGTCCTGAATTCTTACATGGGGATGAAAGGTTTCTGCCACATGATTCTGCGCTTCCAGATCGTGCAAGTGAGGTCTATGCCCATGCTCTCGGGAATGACGCGCGAGAGGGCTTTGAGACGTGTCTTCCGAGTCGACCGAGGCGCGCTTCGAGGAGGAGAGGACATGGGAGCCGTGTGTCATTGTGGCGGAGGGATGGACCGACAGCTGAGCAGTGCCGCGGGATCGAGCAAGCTTCGAGTACAAAAGGGCGGCATCAGCAAAGAAAAAAGAGGCTCCCCATGGTAGGGGAAAAGGCGCAGGGGCAGTCACATGCAGTACATGATGTTGCAGCCGCTCAAAGGAATGACTTGTGTCTGGCTTTTGTTTGAGGAAATCCTACAATGACGCAAAGGGGCCAATATGAGGATGAGGGAGCAAAGGGGCAAAGGGAGGCCCGCCCGAGGCCAATGGCGATGCCTATTCTGCGAAGCGCATCCTTTGGCGTGCCTAAGCTCTTAGGCGAAGCATTTCCCCATGCCTAATAGTCACAGTACCTTAGTGTACTCCGTATGGGATGTAGCTCGTACCGAGTACCCCGTATGTAGCTTGTTAACCAGCTTAGGCACTATCCAGCCTGCAATTGGTGGTGACGACCCCCTACGTTCAGGGCTCTAATTATGGCACGTTCAGGAATCACTCCTCGTAGCCGTTTGGACGCTCACGATGTAGGCCAGCGCTTTTCTTCAGCTGCGTCTCCAAGTTGGTTTCCACGAGCTACGTACTACGAGTATGGGAGGGTCGGCGCGCATGACTAAAACCCAATGAAAAGTCGTTAAACCCAAGATCTAAAGGTCGACGGTCTTCTTGCCTGTCTCCATCTTCATTGTGTGGTGATTGTTCGATCGAGCTGATTTTCAAGGGTATCAATGTCAGAAACATAGCGAACCTAAAATATCGAAGACGCTGTGACATCGTGACTGTTTCCCTCAAATCACGTCGTACTGCTACTTCACTTCCCGCACGAGCCAGGCCGTCGAGATGATGCTGAAGGACAGCAGAGATGGGCGCCCTCCGAACAGAGCCTGCGCGGCCTAGGTGTTGTCGTTATCATTTGTAAACACCCTCCATATCGCATCCTCGGTAGACTCGCGTTCTCGTTTCCGTGCCTTTCCAGCCTTCCCCTTGCCGCTGCGCATCTCTTCATCATCACTTGACCTCTCGGCCTTGACCACGGATGTCACCTTTGCCTTGCCAGTGTCGGCGTCTCCGTCTCGCTTCCTCTTCTTCACCAACAGCCTCAGTTCGAGTGGAACCAGGCTCCTTCCCGTACCAGGCGTGTCTTTTAGATCCAGCGGTTTCCGACATACGGGACATACGCCTTTGACTTTGCGGCTCGCTGGTGCATCTTCCCTGCGTTGGTCGATAGACCAGTTGAGGGTATCGACTATACACCGGTGGCAGAACACATGCCCGCATACGGTAGAAGTAGCATCTGTCGGCGTGTCCATACACACCGGACACTTGTACGCTGTAAGTGGGGTGCGACCTGCGTCTGTGCCCGGATTCTGCGCTAAAATGGCATCCTCCCGCTGTTTGGAAAGGGCAGCGGAGAGGCTTGCACGGTCATCCACGGCGGTGAGGTCGACTTCATCGACCAGTGGATCATTCTCGAGCTGTGGCGTAGAAGCACGTTGTCGAGAAGATTGCGTGGTCGGTCTGGTGTGGGAGGACGATGGGGGGGACATGGTGGACTGACTCGAGTGCTGTGAAGAATCCTGATCTTGACTTTGTTCCTGAATCCGCTGACGCTCCATGTTCCGGGCCTGTGTACGTTCCCAATTTGAGTGGTTCTCTCGCTGTCGATTTACGGCCTCCTCCTCCACAGCGGACGGCAATTGCCCTTCACCCAAGGGTCGTATACGCGGCAGTCGCACGCTGCCGAATCGGTAGGGAGGCCAGAATCTGACGTTGGCACGCGGATGAGGGAGTTCGTGGTCGAAAGTATGGCTGCGACGCGGAGAGGAGGCTTGAGTGGGATTAGGGTAGATAGGCTCGTTGAGGGCGTTGAATCGCCGGGTGCGATGAGCTTGAGAGGAATCGTGAGGATGAGTGGTATACGAGATGTAGTGACTCTCTGCCGACCCTGCGCTGGGACTGCTCGTCGTTGTTAGATCCACGAGTTGCTCAGCTGTCTCCCCTTCCGTTCTCAGGCTTCGTCCTTCGCTCTCACTTCGTGGTCGTCTGGGTTGGTGGAATGCCTGTTGGGCGTCTTGAAGTGCTTGATTGACGCTTTGCAGGGCTCGGCTGACGCTCTGGAGGGGGTCTTGGGGACCCGACACGGGGTACGGAAGCGTTGCTTGTCTGCGGGAGGCAGTATCAGGCATGGCATTGAAGACTTCTCGAAACAGTCTGGGAGAGGATCGGCGGAGAGGTGGTGGCAGTGAGGCCCGCGGTCGAGAATCTTCGTGTGGCGATCCCAGTGCAAATGTTTCCACGCCTGCGCTACGAGAGGGTATGACGACGGCGGCCGAATCTGGTGAGCTGGAATTCATAACGGCCGCTCTATTAGATAGATGTCATGTAGTTGTAACGTGCCCAGCGACAATGTGGTTCTGGCACGGTCTTTGCTAATCTGCTATTGTGTAACCATCACAATGATGCCACCAGATGCCGCGCTGTCGCTGCTGCCGCGGGATGATGCTGCTTACTAAGTTGTTCTCTATTCTCCCGCCCGCCTGTGTCTAACCATGTGGCAATAGTCTCTGCAAGGCTGAGCAGCAGTGAAGAGATCAAGCGGTACATCTATCATGAAGAGATCAAGTGGTAAATCTATCAACGATGAAAGGAAAAATGCTAGAGTGCACTCATTTGTTCCAGAACAACGCTTTGACTACATAGGTGATAACCCCTAGTGAGCACGCAAACGTTTGCAAGCTGTTATCGTGCTTGAATGCTCTCCATTATCGCATTACCCTCAAGATTGCGACCCAGACTGAACATCCAGGGAGAGCTCGCCGGTCGATCAGTTCTTGGTCACGGGACGTGGTCACAGACTTCGACGACGCTGTTTACCAATCCGTTGAGCTCTTGCGCCACATCGCTTGTGATATAAGCAGCCCGGACCTGAGGATGGATGCTCACGCGTTGCAACGCCTGTGTGAGAAGAGAATCGGCCGGCGAGCGAATTAAAAGTCCTTGGGAAAACCATAGCGTGTGTGCTGTACTCTTTCGCGCGGGACACAACCTTCCTACTCAGTTCGACCACCGAGGCCATGGAGGACACCAGCCCGATCACGGAGGCAGCTTCAGCCTTCAGAAACGACAGTATCACACATCGCAGCGACGCAGAGAGAGAGAAGGGACATGTAGTAGCGAGGATGATATTGTGTTTTCTGGTGGGAAAGGACGGGTGAGAGCACCTCGTCTCGCTCGTACAGAGAGGTTATTCATCTCCACTGGCAGCACAGGATGGTATTGAGGAGCCATCGACGCTGTGGCGCAGTTGGTGGGAACGCCAGATCCACCACTATCTTAGGGCAAGGAGAGGTCCACAGCCCCTTCGGATTACCTAAAAAAGACTGAGGGTGAGCACTGTATGCTGGATTATTGGACCTCTTAGCTTGAATACTTGTTACGAACGCGGAGAGGCAGGCAGTTCATGATACGGAGCTACCTAGGCGACGGAAACCAGGAATGCCAAGAGTAGTCGACCTATTGACTGAGACACCGTTCTTGGAAATCTTCACCGAGTATGGGCAAAGGGTGTGCCATTATCCTTGATGAGAAGCCTACCGGGGCACCCGCAGGGAAATCCCGGGTAATAAGCTCAGCACCGAAACGATGGTCCGGCGTTCAGACTCGGCCAGGTCATGTTCAAAGACATAATCTATGAGGCCACCGGTCCTCGTCTTTCCGCCTCTCTGATTGTTTGTGCTAGACGACGTCGTCGAAGTCGGCCGATCTTCGCCAATGACACTGTTCGAAGCGAAGATTCATTTCTCGCTGATCTGCAGACAGTCCATCGTGGAAGAAAACCAAGTGATATTATGTACTCCGCCTGAATCATATCCTACGTGCTTTCTGCTCTTCAGCTTGATACACGAGGCCACTAGTAATGCTGATGTGCGCGAGGTGAGTACTGTGGCTGGTCGTAATCATCGTCGTCTTCGTTGCCGTGATGCTGGTGCTGGTGATGTTCCCCATGACCGTGGCAACCGTCACTCTCATTGGAACCATTAACCCAGTGTCCGTCGACATCATGGCCTTCGTCATGGCCCCAGTGACCGCCCTCGGCGTGGCCGTTACTGTGGCCGTCGTCATGGCCATCGCCACAGCCCCCGTGTCCCTCCTCGTCATAGCCGTTGTGATGGTCGTTATCATGGCCGTCATCGTGTCCCCAATGACCGCCCTCGTCGTGGCCGTCATCATGATCCCAGTGTCCGTCTTCGCCATTGGCGTCGCCATTGCCCCAACCATCTTCCTGACAACCGTCCCAGCCTTCCTCCTGACCATTCTCTCCTGCCTCCGAATCCGAGTCCGAGTCCGAATCCATATCAGATTCGTCCTCGGTGTCCCACATCAAATCATGCTTGTACTCGATGGCCCCGTGGTCGTCCTCATCATCAGGGTCGCACTCGTACTTCCCCCGATGTGCGTGCTTGAGCATTTTGTAGTAGGCCTTGGCGCTTTCATCTTCGGGATCCATCTGTTGAAGTTCCCTCGCGAGCCGCTTGATCGTCTTGAGGATTCGGCGCAGATTGTTCTGCCTTTCTTCCTCGGACGCTAATCATCAGGGAAAGCAGATCGGTCAGTCAGTCGCACAGCACAAGGCAGAGAACAGTAATTATCTCCAACACTTCTCAAGTGCCGACTTACAAGAGTTGTTCACGTGCTCCTCGTACTTGTCAATGTGCTCGTGGATCTTTATCCTGATCGTCTCCCGCGTGGCGTTGAGATCATCACCTCCGTGGTTCATGCCGTCTACATCGTACCCATCATGTTCAGCTCCTTGATAGGCATCGTCGCCTCCATGCTCGTGGCCGTTGTGCATGTTTAATACGATAGCGATAATGATGATGTCTCACGTCTGCGTCCCAGTTTATCGTCACGTAGTGAGCACATGGCACGCCCGCAGCTGCTCTAGTTATTATACTCATCTGACGAGCTCTGTACTGGGTAAGGAGCGGAGTACTATGTATAGTGAGATCAGCTCTGATAGCCAGGTGAAGTATTCCGCTACTGCTTTCGGCAACCCATCTAAGGATGATGGGACCACATCTGGAGGCTTGACCTTGGCCCCCTCGGTTGTACGCAGTTAGGCTGGTGGCCCAACCCGTCAGCGGGATAATGGCGATGACCTGTCGCCGCTTTTCGAAATCATCGGTTGCCAAGACTAATGGCGGTTCTAGTCGCTATAAAAGACAGAGAAGGCAATGCGCGCTCGGTCTAATGGGGCGGCTCTGCAGTACTAAGCCTCCACGTTCTGTAGCTTGACTTTGGTGTGCTCGACTTGGAGGATATATGAACTGAGATAGGCCTAAGGATACGCCTGACCATAAAGTTACAGAGGTTTATATAGGGAGTGCGGGTACATTATAACCCAGTACATAAATATATATAGTAATGACGCTTCTTGACTATCCGTACATACTCGTCAGATGACCTTCACAGTTACACTCATCCCCGTAGCGAAGAATATACAGGCTGCTCCAAGTCGGCGTCATAGAGGCGAGTAGTAGTCTATGTTGCAGTAAACAGCAGCATGCTCAGGGGCGGATCTTGACCTCTCCTACAATTCCGCTTCTCGACCTGAGCATTTCGCGCTATTTGACCTGACTTTTGAAGTGAGCCACACTGAGCTGTGACTGGGCAATCCGAGCCGTCCACATTAGTGGGGTTGCCTTGAATTAACTGGCACGCTAGATAGCGTATTTGAGCTTGGCATTCTTGGCATCGCGTTGTCTGAGATCTATACGCGGGGCGTATCATATTACAAAGCAAGAAGGAGTTTATATTAGGTTACTTGTTGCTCTCCAGACTCTTGCCCCGGCAGATGACAGTCTCACGGATAGACAGCCTTACACCATGGCCGCCACAAGGGATCATGAGCTCGCCGCTGTGGACACGGAGCCCGATCTCGACGCCACGAGCATCGTAGACTTACAGAGTCTGCCACCAGTCGACCGTGGCAAGGGTGCCTGGCTCACACTGACGGCATGTTTCTTCCTTGAAGCCACTGTCTGGGGGTACGCAAAGGTTCCTTGTTACTGCGTGGGATGCTGATCTTATATCTAGGTTCATACACTCCTACGGTGTCATGGAGGACTACTACCGCCAGCACGAGCCATTCATGACCCAGCACTCCGGTCTGGCCGCCGTGGCCACCACCGCCATGGCAATCATGCTCATCGGCTCACCGTTTATCTCCCTGGGTCTGCAACGGTTCCCAACTCTCAGACGTATAGGAGGTTGTGTTGGGCTGGGCATCATGTTTTCCGGTCTGCTCATCGCGTCCTCGACGGACTCCTCGACGGTACTGTTGTGGACCCAGGGTGTCATGTATGGCGTCGGCGCGTTGCTGGTATACTTTCCGGCGATGTTCTTGATCGATGAATGGTTTGTGGACCGCAAAGGCTTTGCGTTTGGGATTTCCTGGGCTGGCACGGGCATCGGTGGTGCATCCACGCCGTTCTTGTTACAGTGGCTGCTGAACACTTATGGGCACAGGACCACCCTGAGAATCTGTGCGGGAATCATTGTAGGTTACCCTCCGTCCATTGACCATTCAAGGTATAGAGTTTCTGATTCTATCCAGGCTGGGGTTGCGCTGCCATGCGTCCTCTTTATGAAGCACCGGCTTCCGGTCCGAGGTCCCCGACGACTGCGACCGATGGATCTGGGCTTCGTCAAGAAGAGGACATTCTGGATGTATCAATGCCCGAGCATTATTCAATCCTTTGTCTCGCCACTGCCCAGTCTGTGGCTGCCCTCCTTCGCATCATCCATGGGCATGTCTCCCGCCACGGGTCCGCTGTCTGTCGCTCTGTTGAATCTTGCCTCATGCTGCGGATTTCTGCTCCAAGGACGACTCGTCGATCGCTACCACGTCAGTTGGGCGATCCTAGTGTCCACCCTCGGCTCCACCATAGCCGTATTCGTCTTCTGGGGCTGTGGCACCCATAAGGCGACGCTGTACATGTTCGCCATTCTCTTCGGACTTTTCGGAGCTGGATATCCGGGTCACTGGACAGGCTGTGCAGGTGACATGAGAAGGACTTTCCCGAATCTGAACACAGGTTTGGTTATCTCCCTTCTCTGTGCTGGCAAAGGCGTGGGCAGCATTCTGGCTGGTCCAGTCAGCGAGAAACTGTTGTCGATGAAGCCATGGCAAGACACTGGGTTGGCATATGGGTCATCGTACGGCTCCATCATCATTTTCACCGGTATATGTGTGTTTCTGGGGGGTGCAGGTGCAATCCCGCGCCTTGCACACACTCTCAGTACAGCGTTCAGGAATGCTCCCCTGCCCAGGTTGAACTCTGTGAGAGCATTGAGGACGTCGACAAATGCCTGAATTACCCTGCATACCTTAGGCCTTTCACCCGAATTGGGAGATGAACCTGGAATAGCTGAGGAAAGCCCCAAGGAGCTGGAGGATGTAGTTGATTACTACATATTGCCGTCGAAGCTCCAGTATCCGTCTGAAGCTCGGAACTGCTGGCAAAGTGATCGCCACTGAAGTTACAGGCGGCAGACAGCACGCCATGTTATTGTGATGAGCCGAACAGCCGTGACTACCCTCGCAAGCTTCGGACAGGTGCAAAACCCGTGGCCGTTTTGCGAGCGTCGCATCGGCGGTCTTCCCAAGTAACGTCGGCAACCGGGAGGACGGAGCCAGCATACATCGCGTAGCACAGTATAGACTGAAGGCTCGTGCTGGTGGAGTAAGGACTCCCTGCTCATGAGAGCCCGGTCAGGGGGGGTGGGTGTGCCGACATATTCCACCGCCGCAGAGACAGCCCCTTCGTCACTACAAGGTCCCTCCAAGAACCCCTGTACGGAAGCGTAAGGATGCAAAACTATGTACTCCGTACTCCGCCCCTTACTGTGCTTTTACCAGAAAATATAAGCATGGAGCCCCCGCAGACTAAAAACACTAACCTGGACCAACGAGGGAAATTTAAAAAGCAGCGAGGGATACCGGAGTACGGTAAGCCTGCTACCTCGTTATCGACACTGGCTGATGTGATAAACACCTAGCTAGTAAATCACTGTAGTATAGAGTATCCTACACGTAGCTTGACTAGGAATGCTGCGAGTAGGGCTTGGCACCACTGTGTTGCTCGTACTCGTAACGCTACAAGGCAGCGACTATCCTGCAAGGGACCTGGTACTGTGGGCTTTCCGCAGGTAGATCTATATTTAAACGTATAGAGAAGCACATGGGGACGATCCAGATAAAGTTACCTCCGGACCGCCGTTGCAAGTGGTGGTGCCGTGCTCACAAGCGTGTATTTGTAGCATACCTAGGTATACTCGAACATGCGTAGACGTACAGAGTACGGATCACCTGTCAAAGTTAATGTGAGTGCACCTCGGCGTGACATTCTAGATCCCCGCTCGTCATTCTTGCTGTAACCGCTTCTGGGTATTCGGATAGCATAGGCTGGTACGGTACTGGGTAATCATACGGAGTAGACGTTGGGGGCTGCGTGATGTAGGGCTCGGACGTCAGATGAGCAAGCGACCAAAATTAAAAATAAGGCCAATCATATCTTAGTAACCAATCGGACATGTGAGAGATTACTGACAGCAGTTAGTCCATAATGCGGGCCGGGCCTCGAGCGGCTGAGTCATCATCTGATAGCTGGCCTGCACTATCCTCGTCCGCTTTGAGCTCAGGTGAGCTTTACCATGATATTCTAAAGCCGAGCACCTCGTAACTGTCGTGTCCAACCATATTTAGCCCGGCAAGGCATTTGGCCGGTCAAACGTCATCAAGAGACTAGACAATTCTGATCCCGGTGGGGTTGTAATCTACCTCTGTCGAGCTTAGGGTTCCGCGCCCGAAGCCTCTGCATCCTACTGTACTGGGTGTTTCGCTCAGAGTTGCAGGTCACATATTAGTATGTACTGTACCTTCCTGGATCAATACTCTCGTTTGCCGCGCGGATAACCCCGTTTCCTCTGTCACCGCAATCCCGAGCCTGCATGGTATTGTACCATATGTCAACGGACAGCGCCGTCTTCCTCCTTTTCGGACTGCTTTGCGCTAATGCTACCAGAACGCACTACGCAGTACCCTTTCAGTGTGGCCTCCCAACCCACCAAGAGTGCTGTCATCTTCACGAAGAGAGAGTCGTTGGACCGGTGAGTGAGTCCTCGCGGCATACGGGGTCTAGGGAAGCGTCTGACTGATTCATTACGGGGGGCTAGGTACGTACAACGATAACGGTCCTTATATAACCGCTGACATCTGTATGACGGCCTTGGCGCGATCATAACAGTTCGTCCGGTAACCTTCCCATGCCAGTCATCGGTCTGACCTTCAGTGTCGCGTGACCACCAAATCCTCCGGGGAACCCTTCCCCACGACTTCTCCTATATTAAGCTACTTGAGACCTTTTCTCTACGATGGGGTATTATTGCTAATAATAGACACGTCAGTCGGTCCGCAGGCAACGCAATCTACGGTTCCTTGAGAGTTCTGGGGCTCTCCTAGTGAGAATCGACACCGAAGTCGCCGCCCGCAGTGGGGTGTGCTCCTTTGGAATCCATGAAGGGACGGTTTCGTATGCGCACACCAACGACGCGAAAGGCGAGGAATCACCCAAGCCAGCTCGAATGCTGATGTGTTCTGGCCGTGCCAGTAGATCTACATCTACACAGTCCATACACGGTAGGACAGGCCGGAGCACAACTTGCAAGCTCTTGGAGAAATACAACTCATCAGAGCCCCAGCACGCCGTGATGCCAGAGAATGCCCCGCGACCGACCGATCGAGCGCCTGGGAGTTCTGGCTGAGCATGCAAGCAGGCAAATTGATTCCCTAATCACATACTTGATACTGTATTTGAGTGCCAGGACATGGTCGAAGAAATGCTTCTAATTTCACTCACACGCCTAACCTCTATGATGGCTAAACACCATACCACCTCCGACCTACTAGTATTTCAACTTCGCATGCCGACGCTGTTGTCCCTCCGGCTATCTACACAACAGCCGGTGCATGACGTGGGAAAGAGTTGTTGATTAGGCACGACTTGGGAGGAGCAAGTTGCGGATTGGGATGCGAAGCAGGGTCAAGTTCTGACAATAGCTTTAGGTGACGGAAGATATGTGACTTGGGGATTTGGAGGATACCGATAGTGCTTGACTTGGTTCAGTTGGTTCAGTTGGTTCACTTCCAGAGGCAGCAGTTTTAGGACATAGGGGTCAAGTACTCCTTCGTCCTGGGAAATCAAGATGTAACCTGGTATTAGGCGGCCTGGTCGTGGGCGAGGTGGACGGCATTGGCTGGGTTGACTGGCTGGCTAGCTGGCTGGCTGGCTGGCTGGCTGGATGCTACACCATCTCCATGCCCTTCTGTCAGAGTGCGAGAGGTGTGAAGATGCTCGAGCTCGAGAGAGGCCCTGTAGGGAAGAGTGAAAATTGACTATATAAGAGGGTCGCGTGTCGGTGAGGTTGTTGGAGCATGCTTACAAATCTATGCCTTTGCTGCAACACTTCCTACAGGATCATCGTATTGCCGTTCCTCTGACACTTTCCTATAGGATCATCGTATGGCCGTCCCTGCAGTACACATATCATGCTCGACTACATACCATGCTCGACCAGCATACTCCATACATACATCCCCCCCGAATCGCACGTCCACCCAACCCACAGGTAATCTTCCAAGATCGACTTCAGATCTGCCCAGCTCGATATGCGCATATGCCCCAAGAACAGCGCGAGTTGTCTGACGAGGAATGCTCGTTCCAGAATATCAGCATCCGAAGTCGCCATGACGCCCATCGTGACTACCCAGGTGAGGAACTTCTGATGCTCCGGATGGAGGAGTGGGAATTCCATGTGCTGGCCCTGGCCCTGGCACTGGCTGCGGACGGTCTCAATCAGCCTTTCAACCAACTGCATCATCGACGTCCGATGCGGCAGCGGGAAAAGAACCCCGTGCATGAACACTAGCATCGCCGTGTGCGCCAACTTTTCAATGGCGATGTCTGATTCAGGCGAGTATATGAGCAAGCGGTACTCGATCGAGTTCCTGAGAGTGGAGATATTCTCAGCCAGGGGCGGATGCACCGGAACCGAAGCTAGATCCCCTTCACCACCATAGCGACAATGGAGACCGAATGCTCTTGAGGTCCAGGAACAGAGAATGTGTATATCCGCCAGAATCTCCAGCAATAAAGGCTCATCAAGAATGCTTCCAAATGCACCGAAGCTCAAAGCACGTGCGGCCTCGACCCGCGAGCCTTCGATGAGTCTCAAGAACCAGACACTCGTTTCCGGTAGCTCGAACCTAGGCCTGCTCAAGCCCTTCGCCGCTTCAATGACGCCGAATAAGTGCAAAGCCTCGGCAAAGCCGGGCGTATCAATACTGCGGAGCCCGCCCCTGAGGGAGACCAGGGACGCCAGCGCCGAGAGATGCTGAGCAGCCTGTGCATCTAACTCCTTCCCTTTGTTTTGGAATGGGCAAGAGCGACCCCAGAGATGCAGAGACTGAAGTCGTTGAAGGAACAACGTGGGCGTAAATAGGCCGAATATGCCTGTTGCGCTGTCGAAAGAGCCAGGGTGTATGCGACCCGAGGACAGGTTGACCGTGCTTGCTTTGACGAGATGCATTATAGCGAAGAGGAGGTCGTCCTTGACATGTGGTGCTTCCCCTGCTGCTGTCTCATGGTTGTCAGCGTGAACGGGGGGAGCTTGACAGTTCGACCAGCCTTGCTGGTGCTGTCCAACGGTATTTGAGCGACTTGTAGGGACCATTCTTCCCAGAAGTCGTCGTACTTCTCGGCTCAGTTCAATAACAGTCTTCAGAATGATAGACGAGTACCGTCTACCTGTCAGCAGCTCGAGGTCAATGCACGTTCCACTGATCATAGCATAGCGCATGATCGGCACGTTGAGGATGCGCTGGAACCATATCTCGGTGAGTGAAGGCGTAAATCCGGGGTACGTTCTCGAGAAAGAGAAGGTCGGCCAAAGGGTATCTCTTGCTATAGGAGGAGACCGTGCTGATTAGTGTCCAAGGCGAAGACGGAGAAACGGCGAGGTGACACACCAAAGAAAATGACTTCCCGTACGACTGGATCGACGAGGACCTCAGGGTACCACGTGAGCTGATATCTCACGCTCAAGACAGCGGGTGACTGTGCTAAAGGTACGCTTTGGTTCTGGACACGCCATTCATGCTGGGGTCTCTCGCTCGGACCAAATGCTCTCGCCAGCTTTTCTTGCCGCCGGCGCTCTTTGTATGCCCGCTGATTCAGCCTGTTCTGGAGCTGTTTTCGTCTCTTCGGATTAGAGACCCCTTTCCAATCTTCTCCGGCAGACCTTTCAGCGCGGCCCAGCGATCCTGCTGCATTGCTGGTGATAGCGATGCTCATTTTGTCGGCCGAGGCGATGCCTAGCCTCCTTCAAGAACACTGAATGTCTGACTGGCCTGACCTGGATATCATGAACCTCAACACTCTGCCGCCATTGGTAATGTCCTGGATGACGAGGAGCATCGAACACAACAGCGATGGTTGAGTCCGATCATGTCGGACGGCCAGTGACCGCTCGTCCGAAGCATCGGCCGACAATCTCGCGGACCGGACAACCAGCTAGTGATCGAAGTCCAGGCCAGCCGCCAAGCCGACCAGGGGGTAATCCAATTGCATTCTCCCCACATGGTACGTACCTCAGCCTTGCGCAGATTTGCGGTCGATGGTTTCAGTGGCAGCAACTTCCCTGAACAAGGCAGGATTAATGCAGCGGACGGGCTGGCATGATGTGGTGACAAATGTGAAGCTTACCGACCAGAGAACCACTGCGGCAATTATCTGCAAGCCGGGACATGGATATCGATCGTCGGGGATGCTCGTGAGAAGGTATAAATGGCCATGAATCCCAGAGAAGTCCAACTTCTCAGACAGACAAGCAGCAAAGCTCAAAAGCAAAGACCTTGTTGATCGCAGGCCCAAAATGGCAAGACCCGAAGAAACCCAGTCCGCTTCCGCGCTTCACGGCAAAGTCGCCCTCATCACTGGCGGCTCGCAAGGCATAGGAGCGGCCACAGCGATGCAATTTGTACGAAAGGGCATCGCCGCACTCGCGATCACCTACGTCAAAAACTCCAAAGCCGCGGAGAAAACGATCTCGGAATGCCTGGCAATCTCCCCTTCCTTGAAGACCGTTGCCATCCAAGCTGATATCTTGGACCCGTCCATTGGGCCCAACCTGATATCGAAGACCCTCCAAGGTTTGGGTACGGAGCGGATCGACATTGTGGTCAACAATGCTGCTGTCCTTGACATGGGCCTACTCCAGCCATTTACGGGCACCACCCTCGAGACCTTCAACAAGATGATGCAAGGGAATGTCTTCGCACCCATGAGCATCATCAATGCCGCCCTGCCCTATCTCCCACCAAAGGGCGGGCGGATCGTCAACATCTCCAGTATAGCGGCACAACAACCAAATATCGACCCAGTCTTGACATACGGCGCTTCGAAGGCAGCCCTGGAGAGTATCACACGATCCTTGGCGCTTATAATGGGTGCCAAGACCGGCGCGACATTCAACAGCGTGAGCGTCGGACCGACTCGATCTGGTGCAACACTAGCAGCTACTGAGCTGTTTGGACAACCGATGATCGACGCCGTGGTCGAGCCGACGACGGCCGAGAAACGTATGGGAGTCCCGGAGGATATTGCATTTGTGGTTGGGTTTCTCGCGAGCGAGGAGGCAAGGTGGATCAACGGACAGTTGATCCCGGCAAACGGAGGATACAAGGACGTGTTGGCAGCGCAAGGATAGGCCACCGCACCAAAGGAAGAGGACTGTTCAAGTTCCTGATCATTAGCTAAATAGACTCCACATCAGAAGCCAACATGGGGTGGTCGAGTAGAGACAACACGTTATCCTTGTGGACCGTTTCCCATCAGACAACGTCAAAGTACTCAACAAACTCTTGTCCCTGCATCCTTTCGAGCTCATGCGGCGTCTTTGTCATTGTCTCTAATGAGTAAGTCGTGAGCATTGTAGAGCATGACAGGAGCATATTCCTGAAGTGGGCCAGAAAAGAGAGGTATTGAGGAAGGCTGTCCGACGCAAGGTATGGTGCTCTGACAGATCGAGCACACTGATGTGCACTATTTCTGACCGGCTGGCCACGGAGATCTCCCACCAAACATTCCCGGAAGTCTGGACGTTGGATGTCGACAACACATCCAGTTTTAGCCGTCACGCTGACAGGTTCCTGGACCACGGCATCATGGCCGTGCTGACCCTTAGCAAGAACAACAGCGCGTGCTCCAAGGTCAGTGACCGTCGGCTGTGGAAGAGAGAGCATGGCCGCATGAATTCCAGTCTGCGAGCAAAATTTGTACTCCGGTGCAGTCCTTTCCTCGGCAGCATCTGTCCACCGGCTTGTGTGTCTAGCCGGTAGCACGCCTTTGGCAACAAGTTTGTCACAGAGTGATGTCTTGTCGTTCCTGCGGTTGCTGGTGCATTCAGCTCGAGAATGCTCTCTGTATGCATTTTCTTTACCACGCGAGCAATCGACCTCATCGCGCGGGTCCAGGGCGGACTTGGAGGTCGAGGGAGCCATTCGATTAGATTATGAAGAGACGGGGTGGTGATGGTGGAACCTGGTTGCTTCCAGAGATTGCAGTCGTGGTAGGGGCAGAACTTCCAAAGGACAACTTGTGTGAGGGCGAATCGGTCGGATGCTCAGTTGTTTGGGTTGATGAATATAAACACCAAGATACAAAAGACGACATGCAACAAAGCGACTGTAGTGGAAATGCGGCTCTGAACATTCAACTTAACGATGCTGGGTAGACTGCAGAGAAAGTGATTAGGAAGAGAAAGGAGTCGTCGAGGCGTGTCTGCTGCCGAAGAAAAGCATCATCTGCGACAAACTGCAGGAGCTCCTCCTTCGGTCGCGAAACGCCAGGGCAGGCGAACGGCAAAGGGGCAAGGAAAGTGCCTCCCCCCGTTGCTGGTTGGAGTGAAATGGTTTTTCGATGGTAGGAGTCGTCGAGAGCCTTCACGGCGGATGCCGCCATTCCGCAGGCCGGTGGATATATAGTACAGTTCAGAGGTATACATACCGGAGGTGAGCATAAAATCACAATCTTCCCAATTTCCATCGGGCGATGCGCGACTGGACATCCTCCCACGGTATTTGTTTGACCTTTTTCCCGTTCGCAGCCTCTCCCTCCTGTATGACCACTGTTGGTGCGCCGCTGCCGTGACCGTCATTGTCCACGTTTCCGGTGAAGATCTGCGTGGCGACTCGCCGAAGGTCTGCCACGGTGAGAGCATCAATCTTCTCGCACATCTCTTTGACCCCGACTTTCCGACCATGGACTTGAACTTGCCGGCCGAGATCTTCCAGCTCGACTAATCGTGACTCGAGGTTCATGAGCAGGCTAAAGCGAAGTTGATTTTTCGCGCGGTTGACTTCGGCAAGATTCAAGCTAGAGAAGCCGGAGTCTAGTGTAAGCGCTTGTAGTTCTCGACAGATGACATCAACCATGTGGCCGACTCGCCCAGGCTCGCAAGCGCCTGCGATACCGAAGAGGCCGCTGTCGGTGTAGCTGTGGTTGAACGCAACACAACTCTCCACCCAGCCATGCTGGTTGAGGACATTCGTGTAGAGTCGAGAATACATTCCTTTGCCAGGACCGCCCGCGGAGAAGGATCCTCCGCCTCCAAGTAGCGTTTGCAAGGTGGCCTGAGCATAGATATCTTCGGAAGATATTGGAAGGCCTTCAAAGGCGATATGCACGTAAGAAAGAGGTATGGTGAACTTGTTGGGAGGCGGAGGGAGTGTTGGAAGTGCGAGATAGCCTCCTGTGTAGTGGGCTGGCATGGTGAGAAGGGATTCGGGTCGAGGTTGGATGAGCGACGGATCAAGGGGCGATACGGTAGCTTGGTGAGGAGCTGAGGTCGAAAAGGTGTTGAAGCCGGGAATCTTCGATAGAAGCTTGCTCGTAGGAGATTGTGGAGGTGACTGGAGGTGCGGGTTTGAGGGTTGTGAGTCAACCGTCGACGACTCTGTAGCAGCCTGTGACAGCGAAGGGCCGGCTGACTTGGCCATATCTCCGAAATACTTTTCCGCTAATCGCACAGCCTCGTCATGTTGAATGCCAGCAAATGCGACGACTATCCGCTCAGGTTTGTAAAATGTGCTTCGGTATTTCTCAATCAGATCTTTGTTGATGTAAGGCAGTCTCTCTCGAGGACATAGCAGAGGGTGGCCCAGCGTGTTGTCTTTGTAAGCCGCCATGTGCAACAATTCCGGGATGATCAAATCGGGCTTGGCCCAAATCTCTTGAATCTCATATTCCGCGGTCTGCAGCTGCTGTTCCACCTCTTGCTCTGTGATTAACGGATCTCGAACGGTCTCTGCGAGCAAGGCGACCGTGTCCGGGACACTGGCGTTGAAGGTTGCGGATTGGTACATCAAAGCTTCTCTGGAAGAGGCACACTGGATGTTGCCCCCAAGCGATTCCAGTGCTTCCAGCATCTGATCGGCAGTTCTTGCCTTGGTAGACTTGAATGCTAGTCGGTCAACGATGTGGCTGACACCTCGCAGTGATTCATCCTCGTATCTGGACCCGGCGTCGATGTAAACTCCCACACCAGAGAAAGGGCCGGGAAGCGACTCGGTGGCGACGCGGACGCCGTTGGAGAGCTGTGTGATGTGGTCTAACTCGACAGGATCCTATTTATTCCCGGCAGTCAGAGGATTGCTGCGCGTTCATACGAGCAGAGATGGCCCTACTTTTTGGATGGAGTCTCCGATTGTCGCATAATTCCTGACAACGCTTCTCGGTGCCTTTGCACTCAGCTTGGCATTGCGCAGAGCTCGAACGGCCGCCGTCCTCATGGTGGCGTCGGAACGGAGAATGTTGATAACTGTGAGTTTGATGTGACGATGGACTGCTCAGTGCGGCAGAATCGTGGCCGCAGGTAGAAAGCAGCAAGGACGTTACCGTTATTTACTGCGGAGTTTTCGGTGGAGAAGAGTACGGTGGAGCTGATAGACCGCCGACGCTGCCGTTGGGATTCTGGACTCATCGATCACAGTGACTGCTGGCGGCGATGGTGGAAACCTACACAGGACTACCGGTGTACACAGTTCTGAGCAGTCGTCGCGGCAGACAATTTCATCCGCGTCCCGCTAATCGATGTACAAGTACGAGTACCGTTACCCGTCGAGATCGCGGAGCGATCCTGATGTTCTTCTGGCCCATGTGGTCCGCCAAGCATGGTTCGTAGGCGACTTGATATGCCTGATGACATCGATGGCTCTGCATCAGCCGAAGTACGTCGTACTAGCAGCGGTACTACGTACTTGCTGATCGAAGATGAGGATGATCGCAGCCCGCTTATTACTCTGCTCTCAGTTTCGTCTCCTCGTGGCATTTGTAGCCCTCCAGATATCCATTAGAAGTATACCTCGACCGTTGAGATTGGTACCTAACGGCATCACCGGACACATCTCTTTACGCCTCCTCACCGCGGCCCGCTAATTAGGCTCAATAGGCGTCTTCTCCGCGCCCCGGCGACCCCTGGAGCCTGCACGAGGCCCCTTGAGACATCCCTGTTGTGGTGCCGCTTCTCCCACGGAAGCCCGCCAGTGAACTGCGGGCGCATGCGAACGTCTGTTTACTGTACAGAGTCGCTACCTATCAGCATACTAATCTGGGCCTGTTTCAGCGTGCTCGAGGCACAGCCGTGTGGAAGCTTGATCGAGTGCTTTTGAACGAGGCCACGGCGTGATCCCTTGTCGTCGCTGCTTACTCTCGTGGTTGCCGTTGGTTATCCTCGAGTGCGTCGCTCTCGCCTTGGTCTTCACCTCCCTCGTCGACAGTTGTTGATCCCAGAATTGGTCCTCCTCCACCTTCTCGTCATTTCCCATGATCTCGCCGCCTGCCGCCGTTTCTTCTCCAGCGGCTGGCGATCCGAGTGTCACCAGGACCACATCTGCAAGGCGCCGAGGTTTGAGTTACCTTCGTGCTTTATCCCACAACCGGTCATCGGGTGGAACCAGCCCGAACGAGCCCCCCTCCCGCTCACCGAGACATTACTTCCAGAGATCGCTCAGTTACAACGACAACCGACCAGATCCTACCACAACCCGACGACGGAGCATATCTCGCCCTAACGAACCTACGATTCCTCTATCCCCCGATCTCCGCCAGATCGATACTAGAAGCCCCTCGCCCCGTATTGCACCCGCTGCACCCGTCTTAGACGCCCCGGTCGACCAGGTCGAACAAGATACCACAGATGAGATGGCGAGACACAGAAATTCAATGTCGCGGAGGAATGCAAGCAATAGCCGGCCGGCTGACACGCTGAATGCGACTGCCTCGGAAGCCGCCCCGAGACCCATGAACCCCAGGAACACGTCCAAGTCAGGCACTCAAGATGGCGAGACGAAGCAGCATTTACCGACCATCCGTTTCTTTCCTCACCAGGAAATCAGAAATGGACGACCCTCCCTCAACTTCACTCCCATCGCGAGGACGTTACCCAGCGAACATTCCATCATCAGGGTCGGCCGTTACTCTGAGCGAGAGGGAGTACCCTCGTCCAACCCTACCGGCCCCTCCGATGCGCCCGTTGGCTTCAAATCCAAAGTCGTCAGTCGGAGACACTGTGAGTTCAGTTTCCTCGACGGACAATGGCAGATCAAGGATGTCGCCTCGTCGTCCGGCACGTTTCTCAACCATATCAGACTGAGTCAGCCCAACACCGAGTCAAGGCTCTTCCCTATCAAGGATGGCGACATCGTGCAATTAGGCATCGACTTCAGGGGAGGAGAAGAAATGATATTCCGATGTGTCAAGATTCGCATTGAATGCAACCGAGCATGGCAGAAGAAGGCGAACAACTTCAAGTAGGTTAGCACCTCTCATCGTCCATCTCGTGACGCTAACGCTTTACGCAGCAAGGCCAGACATCAGCAATTGCAAAGTCTTGCGAAAGATCAGCCATCAGCAGACGCCAACAGCGGCGAGTGCTCCATATGCTTGGGTTCCGTATTGGTAAGCTGCCGGTCCTGTTCCTCCCCGGTTTTACTGACTTTGTTCTTAGCCCTGCCAAGCATTATTCGTTGCTCCCTGCGCTCATGTCTGGCATTATAAATGTATTCGACCGCTGCTTGAGGGCAAGAACAGCGTTTATCCGCAGTTCCAATGTCCGAATTGCAGAGCATATTCCGATCTCACCGCAGACGTTGACCTTGCTCAATCCGACATAGACGAGTGGATGGACAACACTGATGACCCAGAAAACCAAGCCACCGAAGCCAATGCCGAGCGTACCAATGAACCGAACGCCACGTCGACCGAACACATGAATGGCCCACTAACAGGCGGGCTGGCGGCCGATAACTCGCCTAGTACTGCGGACTCGCAAGCAAACCAAGATACCTTGAGTATCCCAGAGAACGCTCCCGTTGCCGTAACTCAACCCGAGATCATTACTGATGGTAATGCTTCTTCACCACTGCCTATCAGGACCCCAGGGCTCTTAGCTCGAAGACAAGCTACAAATCCAGCTTCACCCGAACTTTCGACCATGAATGGTAATATCGACATGCCCGATCGAGCGGATGAAACCGAGCTGGGCGGTCAGCTTGAACACCAACGCACAAATACCCAGACTCCCGATCCTGCTGAGATAATAGCCGGAGAAGGTCCGTTGACTCCTAGGAATAACGCCGGACCTTTCGTGTTTGACGGCAGTGCTGGGAGGTCGGATGCGAGGCATTTACTTGTCCCCAGCGTTGCTCAGGTTGCTGATGGGAAATGAGTGTCACGACCAGACATCTTTGGCCGGCTCCTGGGCACACGCTATCGGCAACATCGGGGTGTGAGTGGAGGTGATTGAAAGATTAATGGAGACTTGCCTCGATTACGAATTCGAGGATAACGGTCACCACACCACGGCGAAACAGGGGGTGGGGTATCATAAAAAAAGATGGGAATGGGTGGGAGATCAGGTCTTTACAAGCATTGTACTTCTGAGCGGTTTATTCCTAGCATTGATCATGAACAGTATATTTATCACGGCACAGTGACGTTTATATCGAGCATTTCGGGTGATGAATGTTGTCTCGGAGTTGACAGCGGCATGTTCGTACAGTTGTCACACACGATGCGTGACCCGGAGATATTACTGACCTTTTCAGTTTATTCTATATCCCAGTCTAACATTCCAGCCGGATCAGTCAGACCATCATACCATCGCAAACACAGCAGGCACAGTTCCCTCTTGACTTCTAAGCCTCTAAAATCATATCCGAAGGGAGCTATACTGCCACTACTGTAGTGTCGTGAAGTAATTCCATTATACGGGATGTATGTGGTCCGTACAGTACTCCGTATAATGGTCCGCGATACTGAGTCCTGTTTGAATTATCTCGTCTGCTGTATTGCGTTTTCCCGCATCCAGGTACCGTACGTATGGGAGGATCATCGTGACTTCAAAGACAAGGTACACTTGCAGCGGACGAGCGCCGCCTACAGTTATCTTTTTACTTCTCGCACCGTGCAACCTGCACCGTCGGCGCCTCAAAGCACATCACAGCAATTGACTCCTCACTCCCTCGAGTCGGAACTTGACATCCTTCAGGACCTTGGTCTTGGGCTCCCATTGGTCAAATTGCTCCAAGAGCCTCTTGGCCTCGTCTCTCAGGTCCTTCTTGACGATGTCCTCTTCCAAGATCCCGCGCATGGCAAACGGCAGGATATACGGGTTGCTGGTCTGAGAGCCCGAGGGGGTGGATTTCCCATCGCTGGGCACAGAGATCGGGGCGCGTTTCGACGACGTGATCGGCGTGTTGGGAAGGGATGTGGTTTCGAGGGTGAAGGCGATGGCGAGCGCGTAGACGGCGTCGTCCTCGTAGAGACGCGAGTGCCCTTCGCCCGTGTATAACGAGCCGGCCAGCGGGGTGGAGAGTTCGCGGATGAGGCCGTGGTCCGGGACGCCGACGTTGCGGAGCTTGAGCACGAAGCCCACGAGGTTGGAGAGGAAGTTGGGCGCGTGGATGCGACTGTCGATGCTGACGGCGCGGTAGATGTGCGGATGCGTCAGGGGCGCGAAGACGGATGATTCCATCGACACGAGTTGGTCGTCGATGCTGCCGACGAAGGTGACCTTGACGCCGTGCTGTAGACAGTCCGATATCGCGGCCAGGTAGTCCGTCGAGACTTTGCTGTTCGGGTTGGTGAATTCGAACAATTCCCCCGCGGAGCCGGTGATCCAGGGCGACTTGTAGTCCTGGAAGGGGCCTATGTTGACGCCTGCCATGGCGCATACGCCGATCCGGGCAGCCGGGCTAAGACAGCCAAAGTGGATAAGTTTTGCGACGAGCATGATCGCCACGGGGACGCCCTGAGAGTGAGCGGCGATGAGGATAAAATCACTGCGTCTGATCTCGTCAATCCAGTTCAAGAGGAGTTTCCACAGCAGCTCGACGCGTTCGGCAATGCGACCTTCTCCTTCCAGTGCCGCTGTCTTGACTTCACACTCATACCCCTGCGAGGCTGTGTAGCGACGAATATTCTGTGCGGCTTTTTCCGCAAATTTTATGCTCGTGCCGGTGGGTTGGCCGAGAATGGATCGGACCATGGGCGCAGGGAAGTAGCCGTGCACCCCGATTGCCAGGGCGTGTTTTATCCGAGGCGGATCGCGAATTAGAGAGAGGTGTTGGTGTGCGTTGGGTTCGCGGGTGTAGTAGAGCAGACGCGCGAGCTGTTGGAGGATGGAAGGTTGTTCTTCGTGGGTGATGGTGTCGTGAAGCAGCGGCAGGAGTAGATTGTTGTCTTCCTTCCTCTTGTCGAGGGATGGTGCTGGGGAAGCGGGACGGGGTTCTTTCGCAATGGCCGCAGCCGTAGAGGATGAGGCTTTGGTGGTTCGCGAGGGATCTTGCTTAGAGGCCAACGTCTTTTGGGCTTTTGCCAGTATTGGCTGTTCGGTGGGCCCTTGCCGCTTGGGCTCAGCAGTCTTCTGCGAAGCAGCTTTCTTGGACTGGGTTTCTTGAGGAGATGGTTTGAGTGCTGGCTTAGCTGCTTCATCTTGGAGGCTGATCGATGCTCGCTTTGGCCGGGCTTGTGACGGCGTATCCGAGATGGCTATCTCGCCCACGCGAGGCTCACTTTCAGACTTAATTGACTCCGGGCGCTTCTTTTCTCGAGACCAAAACACCCACCCTGACTTGGAACCATCGCCGTGCAGAGGTGGAGGAGGTGAAGTCTCCAGTGAAGACGCTTGGGAACCATCTTTGGCCTTGGGCGTGCTTGGAGGGAGTATGTCCAGATGCTTCGTGGGTCCGGTCGCTGCCTTTGCAGTTTCGACTGGTCCTGTCGAACTGCTTTGACCTGGCTTCGATGCCGGCTCTTCTTGCTTAGGGACTTCAGCTGGTGGATCACTACTGCTCCACATTTGATACCAACTCCTCTTGTTCGTCGCACTTACAGAGGATTGCTGAGGCTGTTCGGCCATCTCGGGCTGCGGTGCGGCGGGATCTGGGGCCGGTCCGTTTCCTGGGGGCACTTCCGACGCTTCGTCGGGTTTTGGTTGGACTGGAGGTCCCTGTGTTTCCGTAGGCTTGACTGCTACTCCGTCCTTCTTACCAGGTAGCCAGCTTAGCCACATACTCTGCGATTCGGGAAAGGTCTGGTGGGCAGTGTCTGGCTGTGAAGGTTCCGGAGTCGGGGTTCCTCCCAGCAGGGGGTGCGTGGAGGTATCATCTGTCTTCTCCGGCCTTTGGTCGTCTTTGCCCGCTTGCTTGCCCACTGTCGCGTCATCCTTTGCCTGTGAAGACAACCCTGATTGTGGATGGGCCCTTCCTGGAGTCGCTGCAGCTCCCGAGGTGGCATTGACAATCGTCGTCGTGGCATTAATCGGTAGAGACCGGTTGGAGGTGGATTTCCCCAGTGTCATCGCTAATGATGGCGACCTCTGGGTTTTCGTTCGTTCCCGGGTAGGCGAGATGCTCTCTTGACCGGCAGGTTTAATTGTCGAGGGGCTGTTGCTAGAGGCAGAGGATACACTCTCACGATGTGTTTGAGTCAGTGGGGGAGCTTTGCGCGGCCACGTTCGCGCCAGCCATGACTGTCAACGGATCAGGATATGACATCTTGGAGCAAGACGGTTCTCTTACCGATCGCTTCTCTTCGCTGGCAGTTGAGGTTGGGACCGGAGGCGTATCTGGAGGCAGAGGAACGTTGGCAGCCTGCTGAGCCTGTTCTTGGGGCGTGGGCTGTGGTCGGGATTCTTCGGCCGGATTCGTCTTCTGGCGCTTCAATGGCGGAGGAGCCATGGCGCGTGGCTCTTCTAAGCAAACATGAGCTTGGAGAGTATAGATAGGGCGGCAGCACTATGTGTAACGGCAGTGGATGCCAGGATGCGGCTTCCGATGTTGATACAATGACGAGGCTGAGCTGCGACGTCACACGTCGGTCAAACTTCGGCGAAACTCGCTCACCCCATTATTTGAGCGGGCAGAAAATAACTTTGGAATGCGAACCCCAGCTCGTACACCTATGCTCACCTACGTCCGTCTTGACTATAGCGAGCATAACCCGTGGAGGGAAGGCGGCTTCGACATCTATAGCCATGGCGAAAACAGCGAAGTCAAAGAATGCAACAGGTAGACCTCGACGCACAATGAAAATACTCGTGGCCGTCTAATACTTCTCAGCAAACCCCAGGTCTCGAGCCTCGAAAAGAGCGACTTCCCCCTCCATCGACGTCGACAAGTCTATAAAGCAGGCGCCTCGTGCCTCGGATGCCACGCCTATACTGGCCGCCCGCCCCAACGGCGGGATTACAAAATCCAAGAAGAAACAAAAGCCCTTGACAAGGGGACAGAGACGTAGACAAGAACGAGGACTCGCAAGGGCGGAAGTCGTTCAAGACCAGATGTCGAAAAAGGTCGAAGATGCTGCAGGGCGGCTGAAGAAGAGGCGGGAGCGGAAGGGGATGTGGGATGAGGTGAACGGCAGCGTGAATAAATTCGAGCAGCTAAAGAGTCTTGGTGATGAAGTGAACGAAGAAGAGAAAGACGAATGGGAAGATATGGAAGAAGTGGATGAGAGTGCTGATAACCTGCCTGAGGCTGCCGATACCCATCTGCTCACGGTCGACCGAACTGCACACACGCTGCCCGCCGCGCCGACGGCCGTTGAGGACGATGAAATCGACAAGATAACATGATCGCGCATCGCTTCTTTCGCATACCAAGTCTACCGCTTTGGGCGCACCTGGTTCAGCATACGCTCAATCTCCACCAATTGCTGGCCATTAGCCTTGTCGCGCAGGAGTTCCAGGGCATTCACATCTTTGGCTTTGACGGCCTCTTCACCGGCCTTGGTGACCATGCCACACTTCACCCACATCTCGATCCGCTCGGACGGCTGAAGATTAGTGCACTTTGGGACAAACGACGATGCAAGACGGGTGTTGCCTGCCCCAAGCACTTCGTTGTAGAAGGGCTAAACGAAGTTAGAAGCGAGGATCTCGTAACGCATGGACCACAGCACTTACCTCCCATCCGATGGGCGACTTCTTGTTCTTAGCAATTTCTTCCACTTCGCCCCAAAGTCGAGCAGCAGTCAACGCCCGGAGGCGAATCCACCACCAGGTCTTCTCCGGCACGCGGAAGTCGCTTTGAACCTTTGCAGCTCGTTTGCTGTATCCGGATTTGATCAGGCGGAACATGGTCTCATTGACACTCAGTCCGACATAGCTTCCACTGCTGTCGGTTATGTCCTTGTCGAATGCTTCCTGCATCTTGAGAAGCTGGCTGGCTTCGGTGAGAGCCTTGGTGTGGAATTGCGCTGTAGGATCTTTAGCATCAGTAAGCAATCTGCTGGCGAGCTTGAGCTTGTCGATGACTGCCTGGACTTGTGGTTGCTGCATGGCTTCTTCCAGCAGCAGGTTTGACCCTTCGATCGGTCGGTCATCTTGATAGTACAAATCCTTCAGCAACTCTGTGTCTTGCGCTCTTGCTGAACTTTCCACAAGCGCCGATGCGACGGGCTTGTCGCTGATCATGCGCAGGAATGCTGCCAGGGGCAGCTTCTTCTTCAGCTCCAGCAAGACGAAGAAGACCAGGTCGGTATCTCCGGACTCAATCGCCTTGTTGAGCGCAATCTCGTCTTCTTCCATGTTGAGCAGGAGAGGCACTTGTTTGCCTGCCCTTGGTTCGTGGTTGAGGAGTGTTGTGGCCAGATGGCTGCGTCCTTCGTCGTACGCTGCTCTCGCAATTGCTTCGAACGAGATGCCTTGCTTGCCGCGCAACCGTTCCACTACCAATTCCCGGACCGCATCGTCGTCCGCCGAGGATCCTCGGACTTTCTGCGATGCCCAGTGAACATATATCTTGTTCAGAGGAAGATGCAGGAATTCAGACAGCTTGATGGCTAGAAGATATTCCCTCCGGTTGACCAACCGCGCAATTAGTCGTTCCGGAGTGAGTCTGACATATTGCTCGTACGACATGTAAAGCCCGATGCGGTAGTCTCGGACGGCATTCAGCACCCTCAGGTCTTCACACATGTCAACAAACTCGTCGCTGCTATACAGGTCCAAGACCGATTTGCCAAACGAGGCTCCCCGTAACAACATTTTCTGCAGACTCTGGTTGAATTCGTGGCCCGCGGCCCTGATGCAGGTCTCAACAGCTTCGGGGAGGTTTGGCTTGATTCGTTGAATGTTCTCGTCTGCTTTGGGGGATTTCCTTTCCAGTAGCTCAATGGAATCAACAAGCACTGAGGCGGGAGAAGTCGCGCCCAACTTGAAAACCTCTTCTAGCGGGTCAGGAACCTTGTGGAGGAACTCGCATACGTCGTTCGTGATGAGGCGAACACCATCAATATCGGGCACGACGTGGACTTGGTCGTCGTAGTAATATTTGACAGCAGCCCCGTTCGGTCCAACCATATGGATCTCGTCCTCCCAGGCCAGGATAACAGAGTCATTTCCACACCAGTAGATCTGAGTCGGCGTGGTTTTGGCCTTAGAATCGTACTCGCTGTATTTGTTCTGGAAATCACTGCCCACAACCCAGACTTTACCATTCTCGGTAAATAATGCCGCGAATCGCCCATTGGGAGAGACACTGACGTGCATGAAGGGTCCATCTGACAGTCCTCGGTCTTCGGCGTCGCTGGCATCCACCACGAATATTGTCCTGTCCACGGCTAGCAGCACCTCCACCGACCTAGAGAGAGTGTACGCTGGGGGAATCAGTGACCAAGAATGAACTTGGCCTTCTGGTGTTGGGGCAAGCAGCCTCGGCCTAGGCTCATCGAATGATGAAACGGCGATCAGAGAGTTGTTGGAGAGCAGAGCAACGAATCCGTGAGACCAAAACCGACACGACACGACCCCAAATTCCTCTGAGCCGTGGCCAAGCGAGAAGGGCTGGAAGTCACTGTGGAGGCCGAAGTAGCAATGCACTGTACCGTCCTCAGTGACAACCAATAGCTTCTCATCATCGGACCACCCGAGCCCTTTAATCACGCCTCTCTCCCAGTTAATGTTGCTGATGAGCTTGCCTGAGGATGAGTATATGTCGATGGTCGGCTTCGTGGATTGGCCTGTTCGATATCTTGCTATCTTGGTAGTGTCTCGCCATAGCGCTGCAAGTATGAGCTTCGACAGACGGCTCCAAGGCGAAACGAGACTTACCTAGAGCGCCACCATATGGGGCTCCAGCTACTAGGTAGTTTCCAAGCTCGAGATCTTGGTCGAAAACAGACTCGTACAAGGGTACTTTTCGGTAGAACTGGTCGCCGACTTTCTCCCATCCAGCCCTGGGATTGCTTGCTGTCATCTCATCTGGTCGGCCGCTGGGATTGTGCTGGACAACGATGTCTAAAGGGACAATGTGCCTGGACGCAGTATCAGAAGTAAAAGGTCGTGGATTGCAGCACCGAGCAGGCAGATCTGAGGGATGTCGTCAGCCAATCAGATGTACCCTCGGCCAACCTTCCTGTCTGCACAGTGCAACAAATCGTTCACGCGTCGCTCACTCTTGCTCACTTCGCTTGTCGCTTCGAACTCGAAGGTCACATTTGCGAGACTCGTTCTCAATCGATGCGCCCATGGGACCTCCTGCTTGCGAGTAAACGTCCAGCTTCTTCAACTCCGCACGCTGGAGACGTCATGCTCTAAGAAGGTGTCATGTACTGGCCTGGTAGGCACGAAGCTGGACGAAGATGGAGTCAGCACAAGCATTCCTGGAGCATGTTGAGGACCTCACAGACCTCGAGCTGGCCGTTCTTCTTAGCCTTGTGGCTCAGCACCACTGTATGGTGGTCACAGCCGACGACCTGCTGGATGACCTGGCATCAGAGCTCGCCCTTGTAGGTTGCTATGATACGAAGTTGGGGCCGTGGCTAATATTCCGCAAGATTGTCAGGGATATGTTCAATCTTTCTTACATCATCCTCGATCGGGATGACCTTGAGTCCATAGATGCCTTTGGTGCTGCGATTCTGGACGACGATAACGCTGATGGCGAAGGTGCTCTGTATGACTCTGACGCCGAATTCGCAAACGTTTGTGCCCGTTTCGTGGGTGTCCAACTTCTTTGCTGACTGCATATTAGCCAGGCATGCTCAGTTCAAAAGTCGCTTCAGTAGACTTCCGCGCTGCCCCTTCCAGTCTTCTTGAGCGCTCGAAACTGGATACCCGGAAAGTGGTCAATGTCGTTATTGCGAAGGACTTCAACTTTGCCCACCAGGACGTCCAGATCCAAGCCCTTGATGTGCGATGACAGACCTATCTGCTCCGGACTGTGCTGACGAAGCGTGTAGCTTATTCGAAGACGTAGGATATATAGCCGAACGACTGTCCATCTCGCGCCGAAGACATTCCTGCTTCTTCCGCTAGTTGCCACCTCTTCCAAGCATATCAGACTGAACAAGCACCTTGTGAGTTCGAACCATCCACCTTCCGGCTCTTACTCATGTTAGCCAGAACGACCGCATATTCATGTCACACACTCACTCCACGGAGGACGGCTTTCCCAATCTGGAAGAGCTCGATGGTGCAACCAACTCTGAAGACCATGGTTCTACATATTCATATTCTCATTCTCCGAGTGCAAGGCCTCAGGAAACTATTGCAAGTCGGCGCATTGACGCAAAGGTGAGATTGGCCGTTAGGCGAGGATTGGAGCGATCTGACATGCAGCTTCAGTTGATCGAGCAGCTTCGAGCCCAAAGTCAGACTACCACCGTAACACCAGAGATTCGACGATATCTCCAAGACGTTGTGGCATTCCTCCGCATGGAAAGAGGCGTAGATGGAGGCATCTCCCCATATGCAACCACGCTATTCCTGGCTCTGGCAAAGTCAGTCCCGAAATTTCATACTCTTCTGTTACTAATGTGTCTTGCAGATACCTTGCTCCTTTCCATGGCATTGACTATGTGACACCCTCCCTCGTAGCATTGGCAGCGAAGAAGATATATCCCCATCGGATCATTATGGCCTCACCAAGTCGTGAACGGAGCACCCAGTACGGGACAGATCTCGCGTCTGCCCACGACCTGCTGAATGATCTGGACCCGGACAAGGTGATACAGAATGTGCTTGATACTATTGAATGCCCAATATGATGCAACGGTTTTCGTCTATTGTATGAGCACAGGTTCACTTGCAAGCGCAGCAGTCGCCGACGGTGTTACTGAGACGCCTCCCTCGTGAACGCTTCTCTGCGGCCAGACTCTTTTACAACCCGATTTCTTCTTCGACGCTGGAAGCATCGTTGCTGCGATGGAACGTCCTGGAGCTTCGCCTACAGCTTTCTCAGGTCAGCAAGCTGCTGCGGCAATCGATCTGTCTCAACAGCTTTTCCTTCCTGACTTCTCTGGGTGGCAGGACCAATGAACGATAGTTCCAGGCAGCGCTAGAACATCGCCGAGCAGCCATGGATCCTGGTTCACCTCAGCCGTGGGAATCAGGCGCAAGACGCGACGGCACAATAGTTCCTAACACCATAGCAGATCTTCCACAGTCATCAACCGAGCTCATCCTAACGCAGAGCATGCACCTGGAACATGGTCAAGTTCATCTGTACCGCTATTGCACGCGAGATATGCGGTGGGTAGCCTCATCTCTACATTTTCGGCTTTGTTGAGGAGGCCCTGGGAGAGATATGGTGAACAGCCGAGCAATTCATGGCACAAATATGCCCCTTCTACAACGGGTTGGAAGGGCCTTGACCACCGCGTCAGTAACACGAGGATGATTTCGCTCGGAAAGTTCGGAAGGCTCACCAGACCGAGGCCATGGTGTGCCTTGTCTCTTCCCAGACTGTGACACAAGGAGATTCAGAGTGTGTGAAACAACAAGCACCCGTTGGTCATGACAGACACAGACGGAGAGGGGTATTAGTGATGGTGGGCAAGCATACCGCTACCTCCAATGGAGCAATCAGGAATCAGCTGGCTCTCTCGCAGCAGAACCAAGCCGCCGATTGTTTCAAGCGACGACCAACACTTCTTCCCTATATTTGACTTCTTCGAAATCAGCTGCCCTTCGCAGACTCGTCTTGCAAATGACCCAACAGCTAAGAGCATCTCTGTCAGACTGTTGGACTGGATCGCAAGCACTACAGCACCGCAACAATGTTATTCGCAAACCGCGCATCATTCCCAGGCTTGTCTCCGCCTCTCAGGCCGACCTCAACGCCAATCAAAGTTGCACATGAACCTGATGACGACCAGGAGATGACCACTGAGGGCCACTTTAACACCACCCAAACAACCGCCTGCGCCCGCCACAGCCATAGCCAAGCTGGAATCATCCCAAGTTGAAGCCGGCAGAGCAGACCGACCGCCGCAGCAAGCACTCCCTGCGCTAACTCCATCTGCTGGGGACGGAGTCACAATGGCCAAGGATCCCATCCACACCAGCCGTTGGCGTGCAGAGCAACGCAAGTCATTGGCACAGGCCGACACCTCACGTGCAGCTTCTCTTGGACCGTCGTAATCGTTCCCTATCCTGAACCCGATCACGTCGTCGAGCACTGTCAGACTAGCATGACTGCACGTCAACAGCAGCAGCGGCTATGACCAAGGGCGCCCTGGTCGGGCAACCGACGCATTTGGGAGAGTTCCATCCATCTCCAACCTAGGGCGGATCCCTGGGTCCGGTGCTTCCACGATAGACTTTGCCAACCCACGCATGTCATTTGCATGCCCGATCCCTCCATTACCCTCGGGCTCGATAACTAGTCCTACTCCTATCATGGGCCGAGCGACCGACCAGGAGGCACGCCGTTTGTATATGCAGCGAGGCGACCAGCCAGGACTTCCCAGTGTCGACTGGTGGACCCCTACTCGACTGTGAATCTGTCTGCACGCTTCTCAACCCAGAGGGATGATACCTGCCAAGCTCCCGCTAAGGCTCGAATGTACAGTACAAACCTCTCAGGTCATGCCCGGCTCACATGCACACCACATGCTTCAAAGGGTCAGGGACGGTAGTCAGTCTGGGCCAGCACGGCGCCTCAAAAGCTCAGCAAGGCCCTGAGTCTATTCGCCATGGCTCGCTCCGTGACACCAGATTTTGGCGCAAACAGCTCAAAAGCATGCGGCACCCCGGGGTACAAGTGGAACTCGACGTCGATGTCCTCGGCGGCAAGGCCTCTCGCGTACTCGGGATCCTCGTCCCGACAGATATACAGGGTGCCCACGTCAATATATGCCGACGGCAGACCAACGAGCGACTTTGCCCGCCATCCGACGCAGAACCTCATGGTGGAAGATACCAAAGCTGATATCGACTGGTGGAACGAGGCTTTCCCTTGATTTTCTCTGAGTGCCACGGACAACCATAAAGACGACGTCGAACTGGAACAAATCGACATGATGCGTCCAGCCTCGTCCATCCTGTGCCGCGTGGCATCCGCACAACATCATGCTGGCTCTGGAGGCATTGTTGATGGCTTCTGTCGTCTGACTCGTCCCACAACCCGAATGATGACCATTTGTCTACCATCATGGCTCCACTCTCCCTTCACTTCTGGTCTTCCAAATGACTATGCTGACATTGATGCCTGTGCTTGCGGCTGGCACTGACCCTGTAGCCGTAAGCATGACCCAACCGCCTCCTCCTAGACGGTCAGAGGCAGGGAATCAATTCAGGGTATATGTATAGGGATCTGTGAGTCAGCTGGCGAAGGTCTGTTTATCTATCTCAACCTCCAACAAGGTGCTAATGCTACCCTAGTGAAGGTCCGACAGTACAGGTGGTCAGCAACACTTCCTCAGAATGGCTTCAACCCACAAGATGTGTCCGCTGCTTTTGTTCCCTGCCAAAGCGAGATCGCATAACCTGTCAATCTTTATCACTGCGACTGTCAGGGCGTCTTGCAAGCCTGCCGTTGTCTTGCGCTATAACTTTCGCTCCATAGCAGCCGACACGACGAAAACTTGCCAGATTCCTTCTTTGTCATCTTGCCGACAACAGTCTCCTCGCCTGGACGCTTAGTCTACAATGGTTGAAAGTACAGTTGACGAGGGAATCCTCAACATCATGGACATGGCATTCTGTCACGCAGCCGAAGCATTCATGGCGACTCACGAACCATCAACGCAAACAGCACACCTTCGCGCCGACCTCCAGTGGTTTGTCGCCGCATTTTATATGACAAGTCAAGGACTCCTGGTGCAACAACAGTTGCTCATACTCCATAACTACTACAATCTTGACGGCTTGCTTGAAGACGGCATACTCGACTCCACACGCATGAATGTGACAGCACACCTTCAGAGTCTCGCGCCAGCTACGCACCCCTCCAGCAACCTTTCTGTACTCCTTCTGCTCGCACAGGCTTTAAGCCTTCCGCTCCAATACACTCAAACCCAGTCTCCACCTGCCGGGAATGTTCCATACAACAACGAAATGTCTGGTAACGTCAACGTCTCATCAGAACCGGCGGAGCCGGGAACAGAAGTGACAGAAGGAGCCTGCACAGACAAACCACCCTCATGCCAGGTGAAAGACTCCGACGCCGTGCCCTCAGGGCTCCCCTTGCGCACGACATCTCTCAACAAAGCCGGTAACGTCCATGTGCTCAACCTTCCTCCACTACCCAAACACCACCATCCCCACAATCCGGAGCGTTGCCATCCACCGAACCTAGAACGCGGGTTCAGCATAGACCACAGAGACAAGGACTGGATGTACAAGTGCGACGAGTGTGGACATGCCGTCCGCTATCGCGACGAATTTCAGCGACACTTCGATCGTCAGCCGGGGTTCGCAACGGATTTCAGGTCGTGAGAGTGATGCCAGACGTTGCACGGGGTTGGTACGCAGTGGACCGCGATGGCAATGAATACATGGGCCACATGCTGTATCACCCTAAGGGTGAAAGCCGCCCAGCTCACAGGGCTCCGGTCCCAAAACCATGTGGGCTGCGGACGGGATGGTGAGCGTGAGAGGCAACTGCCTACCTCACTGAAGAAGAGGGCGGGTGCAAGAGGAGAGGTGAGAGTCTTTAGGGGAGAGGACGCTGGGGCGAGCTTTGGCAGCGAGGATGCGGAGGGGAACCGCGTGCTTCGAGCTTGGAGCCAGAGGTAGTCAGAGAGGTCCTCTGAACAGAATGCGCCAGTTGCAGGCGTTGTACCAAAAGTTCACCGTGTCCATTGAGGGCTCACTGAGATTAAATGGACGTTATGTCAACCTGCTCGCTTTATTGCTTCATGTTCAATGAGATCAACACCATAGAAAACGGCACCATCTACTCGACCCACAGCCTTGCCATATTGCTTCCTATGCTCCACCGTATCAAATCTCAGCCTTGTTTGACTTCGTCGACCATGCCTTCCAACACGCGGGAATCACGAGAATGTCCTCCCCCTGAATAACCTCATAGTCCCTTGCAGCGGTCATGCGTGTTCAGCAATGGTCAAAGCTACTCACTTTGCCTGTGTGGCTACATCTAGCCTGCGGCAGTGCAGCAGCGAGCAACGAAGAGGATCGGCCATATGAGAGTGATGCCGCGAACCAGCAGGAACCCCTCTTCGGGCTCTGTCCAGATTACACAAGCTATGCACGGCATATTCAGTCAGAACAAGATGTGACTGTCACTAGGAGGTCTTGCTGACTTGCTACGCAGTAAACCTCTCAGCAAGGGATCCCTCCAACTGCCGTACCAACGACCGCATCCGAACTGTCGCAAGTTCTCGTCACCCGCAGTGGAGCAAGTGATAGACGACCTCTATCCGCGTATAAAAGACGCGGACCTGGCACAAATATTTCAGAATGCCTTTCCCAATACCCTTGACACGACGGTGTTATGGCACGTGGACGGAGACAAGACCCACGCCCCAGCGTCAAGACTGCTACGAGACAAGGACAAATGGAAAGGGGCACAATCATTTATTGTCACTGGCGACATCAACGCCGAATGGCTACGCGACTCGACAAACCAACTAGCTCAATATCAACTCCTCGCCAAATCCGCCTCAGGCATCTCAAGCCTCATCCTCGGCGCGATCAACACGCAAGCCGAATTCGTCATCTCCTCGCCCTATTGCAATGCCTTCCAACCACCGGACCCGTCGCGCCTCCCCCCAGTCCACTCCGGCCAGGACGACATCGTCCACCCGGCATATGAACCCAGCGTCGTGTTCGAATGTAAATACGAACTCGACAGTCTGGCTGCCTTCCTGCGTCTGACCAACGAGTACCACTCCTCTACCGGCTCAACGGCGTTCCTGACGACGAGGTGGTTCAGAGCATTGGAAGCTCTCCTGGAAGTCCTCGACGCGCAGGCGAGACCCACGTTCAACGCCGACTCTGGCTGGTACGAACGCAACGAATACACCTTTTCCCGCACCACACGCATTGGCACCGAGACTCTTAATCTGGAGGGCACGGGCAACCCCTTAGCCGCGGGGACCGGTCTGATACGCTCGGCATTCCGCCCCAGCGACGACGCGACCATCTTCGGCTTCCTCATCCCGGCCAACGCAATGATGAGCGTAGAACTCTCACGTGCGGCAACCATGCTGAAATCCGCGAGTTCTGCGGCATCCAGCGAACGACAAGCGAAAGAGCTTCTGCGACTCGTCCAGGATCTCTCGCAGCGTGGGAAGATCATCCGAGAGGGGATCTACAAGCACGCAGTTGTCACACATCCCGAGTTTGGCCAAGTCTTCGCCTACGAGATCGACGGGTATGGCTCGCATTTACTGATCGATGACGCAAACATCCCGTCTCTACTCTCCCTTCCACTTCTCGGCTTTGTCGATGCCTCGGATGAAATCTACCAGAATACCCGGCGCATGATCCTCTCTCCGCGTGGCAATCCGTACTACCTCTCCGGCGCCAAGTTCAGCGGTATAGGCGGCCCGCATATCGGCCTGCGGAACGCGTGGCCCATGTCTGTGCTCGTCCAGGCCATGACGTCGACCTCGGACGCTGAAATCCTGGAATGTCTGGAGCGGGTGAAGAATGCCAGCGTGTTCGGGCTGGTGAACGAGTCCGTGGACGTCAACAGAGGCGTCAGGAAGGGCGGCGGTGGAGAGGGCATGACGCGGAGTTGGTTCGCGTGGGCGAACAGCGTCTTTGCCCAGACTGTGCTGTGGTTGGCGGAGAAGAAGCCTCGACTGCTTCTCACGGAAGAGGCAGACGGGAGTAGCACGAGGGGGTACAGAGTTGGAGTCGGCTGGGTCGAATATTCTGTGTGAAAGTGAGGGGACGCGGGTGTATATTCATTCCGATGTTATGACTGATGAAGCAGAACTATAGCAACCAATGTACTACTGTATAATCACAACCACTGCAGGGGTGATGGCAACCAAGGTAGGAGTACTGTATAATCACAACTACTGCAGGTGGTGATGGCAACCAATGTACTGTATCTTCACAACTACTGTAGGTGGTGATGGCTCAACGAGGGCATTCATTCACTCTATCATGTTCTGTGCGTGGCTCTGCAAATGCTTCGCTGTGGTAGGAGTGACGGCGAGAGGATGTATGGAGTACTGAGATGATACACACTCCACAGGCAGGTGCCTACCTAGTAATCACATGATATACCGGAGTACAGCATGAGTTGCCTACCCTAGGTAATTACCGCCTTTTGCCAGTCAAAGTGCCAGGCTAGATCACATCCTCTTCTGCCACTCACAATACGCCGATAGTATTTGCTCGTCACTGCTACAGTATAATCACTGACCGGCCACTTCTGTATCACTGACCGGCGACTTCCATATCAATACGCAGAAGAGAGAGAACACCCGGATTTCGATATAAAATAATCATGATTAGTATAGCAATTCAAGGTACTGGGATGTATTCATGCATGCATGCTTGCCATATGCTGTATGCTGTATGAGGACTTCGTCTATGCACCTATGCAACTATGCACCTTCGCCAATTGTGCACTCCGCTCGCGCAACGCTCACGCACTCTTCTTTCCAAAGAAACTCATGATATTGCCACCGCCAGTAGCCTTCTTCTTCGCGCCGGCCTTGCCTTGACTCTGACTCTGACTCTGGCTCTGGCTCTGAGACGATGCCTTCGCGGCCCCAAATGAACTCTTCGGCATTTCGTTCCGCGCGGGAGCAGGCTCGGGCTCATCCTCACTGAAACTCTCCCACACGGCTTCCTCCTTCGTGACGAGATAGCCGTCTTCATCCTTGGTCGTGCGTTTCTTCATGACCTTGCGTTTGCCGCGTCGGCGTTTCGGCGGGCCCTCGATCTTGTTCGGGGCTGCCGGTTTCTTCTTCTCACCATCACTTTCTGACCAGGCAATCTGCTCGTCTTCGCCGGCGGCCTTGGACGGCACATCTGCGTCTGTGCCTTTTTGAGCGGCCACAGGCTCGTCGGTCTCTAGACCTGTGGCCTTCTCGATATTGGGCACTGCAGCCACTTCTTCGTCGTCCGAGTCCATGAGCTTTCGCAGTTTCGCAGCTCGGTCTTCTTTCTCCCTTTTCACGTCGCTGGGTCGCTTTTTGGAGCCGCTCGCAGGTTGTCGCGTATTCGTGTCCAGAAAGAGGGCTTCATCTTCGGATTCACCTTCGTCATCCTCGACATCTTTCATCGTGGCGTCTTGGGGAGCCACCGTGGGCGTGCTGGTCGGTGTCGATTTCCTGTGGCCCTGCTTTGCGAAGGCTTTGAAGAGGTCGGATGAATCTCGTTTCAAGGGGGGTTGTTTCGAGGGCTTGGAGGATGTGGTGGTTGAGGTGCTGTCGCGTGATGAGGGTCGCGACGGTTCTTCGGCTTTGGTGCTTCCGGCTGCTGGTCCAGATTTGGGAGCTGGCTTGCTCTGAAGGGCAGATGCCTTTCTGGGCTCCTCCTTGACGGGCTGGAACTTGGGGCCTGGTCCAGAGGGGATAGCCGGCCTGTTGCCTTTGCGCCGTCGGACATTGGGGTTCTGAATCACACCGTAAGTTTTGTTGTGCTGAAGGGGATCTTCTTCAACGAATACGTCGTTGAACAAGTTTCGGCCAATATCTGACAGCGTGAACAGGTCTTGTATGCGAGTGGGCGACAGGCTGTAGATGTGTATGGATGTGATGCTCTCGTATTGTTCTTTCAACTCTTCCAACGCATCCTCCTTTACGAGCGAGATGGTCCGCACGGGGACTTTATTTGCTTCCTCCTCCTCCTCCTCCTCCTCCTCCTCCTCCTCCTCGCCTGCTTGGCTGCTCTGTTGACTGGGTTCGAGCATTGAGCTGGTGAAAGGCGGAGGGCTTGAGGGAATGTGTTCGTCCGGGTCGAAATCACGCCCGTGCCCATGCCCATGCCCATGCCCATGCCCATGCCCGTTGGTGGTGGCATTGGCTGTGACTGTGGGTGTCGGCCTCTTCTTGATCCCGGAAAGAAGATACGTGGCGTATATCGAACCTGGCTTCTTGCCGTTCTGGAACTCGTAGAAGTCGTAGAGGATGCACTTCGCAGCATTTACGTGGACTTTGAAGACGCGCGACACATTGCGATATGATATTGTCCGTTGCTCTGACAGGACCTCGGTCGCCAGGTATTTCTTGAAGTCCTGATCCATCACGAGAGTTGGTGTTGGAAGTGTGATTGTGCAAGTTGATGCTCACTGCGCGATCAAGATACAATGAGGATAATTAATTAATTGGTGACGCGACTGCGCCGGACGACCCCGCGACGCGTTGAGTGGATCCACTTTGCTTACTACGTACTTTAACTTTTTGTCAGACTTGAATGACACGGGCACCAAGTGAGACCAAGCTCACCTCAACATTTCTTCAACTCAAACACAGCATCCTTGCACCATATGCAATTCTTACGGTGACTTCAGCGCGCAGACACCAGCGAGAGAGGAAGGGCCTATGTCACTTTAGTGCGACGACCAACATTCGCCATTGTGCAGATCACGCCTAAGCTAATACATGCCTTGTCCACCTGCATCTTGTACTCGTCGTCGGGTCCGTTTCTTGTGATGGACCCTGAAGCACACGAGCTTGAGGGCTGGTTTATAGGTATGACACTGTGTCACAGTACTACACAACATGGAGGTCGACACCGTGTGCATGTTTACCACTCTATCAACTGCCACTCTCATTTCATTGCCCGCGTTGGTTGTCCTCGTTGAAATCATGAGCCGCGCGGGCAAAATTCTTCTGAAGCGGACTTTACTTGTTCCGAGAGAATGGTTGAGACTTACACAAAGAACACTGAGTGATAAGCGACGCAGATGCCCTTTTACGAGGAAGGCATTTCTGAGTTGAGCTCTTGTTCGATATGGAGTGATCTCGAGTAGGCTTTAATGCACTACAATTCTCCGATGCATTGATATAAACTCTCACCCGATGAAGTTATCCGGGTTGACCTTCCCGATACTCCGGCTCTGTACTTTTGGAGGCTACGTATCGTAAAGGAGGAGCCTGTTTCTCAATGTCGCTGCTGGCGTATTTGGCGCCATGACGGGCAGCTCCGGCTTTAACCATGACGAGACTCGCCATTGATCCTGGCTGCCTGGCGTGAGTGTTCGAGACCGTTTGTCGGCTCTGACCAATCAGTATGTGTGCCGCATCAGGCTCGTCAGACGGAGACAATCTGCGACTATTGGCGGCGAAAACAAGGATAATTCTGCTGTCAGACAAGCACCTCGTGCTTATGTCATCTTAGCCCGGTCAGCAATTAAGTCCCGAGACACGTGCATCTTATGGTCTCTGAGACTGTTCTCATCATGGTACCGAGGCCAGACGGGGTGACAGCGCTGCTGCGGCGTTATCCCTTCGATGTTGGCACTGAATAGCCGTTCCCAGTTCGAATGGGTCATCAGAGCATGACGGAAAGAGGGAGATGCCGGACGGTTGAACAGGCGCTGAATAACAAGATATCAAAGAAAAATGGACGCTCAAGGTAAGCACGCAGCTAAAGGTCGGATGCCGAAATCATCCTGGCTTCGACTATCATCTCTGTTGACTGATCTCGGCAGAGTCTCGCTTGCGCTCTTGGGTGTGCTGTTTTTGCTCCAAGTCCTACCGCAGGTCGTAAGTGAGTCCCTGCTGTGGCTGCTTTAAAAGGTGGCCTTTGCCCGACGAAACCAAGCCGTCGAACGATCAAGACCAACTTGCCGATTGCGATTGCACCAACAACGACGCCTGCAATCATCGACGTGGCATTCTTCTGTCGCTTGAGACAACTTGGCCGCCGACCAAGACGAAGTGGACTGGGACCGTCGAATGGCTGACTTGGACCTAGGGATGTGCTCCGCCGGCACTATATCAATTGTCCATCTAGGGGACCGCAACCGATCCCCGGAAGACTCAAGAAGGGCAAGAAGATGCGAGCATGTGATGCATGTGCACGCTTGAAGCTAGGCTGTGACCTGGACTGTCCATGCGAGACATGTCTTTCATATGGTCTCGAATGCACCTACACCCGCGTCTCTCAGCAGCCCGAAGCCGATTCAACAACGGAGCCGACATCGGCCACAATTGCCAACGATCCATCACTCCCAGCCCAGACACACTCTCCCAAGACTCGTCCCAGACCGAAGACGCTTAGTCGGCAGGAACGTAGCAAGATTTCCTTGGCCTTTTTGCTCAACTATGTCAATCCGGCCACAACAACCATGGCCGACGCATACGGCCAGGAGACAGAAAAGGAAGGAGCAGATGGTGAGTCACCAAGCAGACCCCGTGCAACCATGAATGCTGAGATTTCTAGTTGCACCCTCCTCGACCGCCCTCAATGGTATCTCTGGAGGCGATCTCGGGGCGTCCGCCTCGATACAACAGTTGATTTTTGACGAATTCGTGGCGCCGTTTGACGCTGGACACATGGACGACGTCTTCGTCTCCTACCTCTTCCCGGATTCAGAAGACTTTCCAGGGACCGGCCACGACGCAAATTGGCACATGGGCTGGCAAGGGTGCGATGTATCAACACCATTCGCCACCCCTCACGCTCCCGATCCTTTCAGCCCCTTGGTAGACTCTTTGACACATTTTACCCTGTCGTTGCCCGAGGGCCACCCTGAGCGTGCCCTGAACGACCGGTTAGCAAGAGCTTCTGCCCTGTTTTCGAAAAAGAACGTTGAACGTTTCATCGGACACTATTTCCGAGACTATAGCCCGCACAGCCCCATATTAGTTCCGGGAACGTTCCGAATCAGCTCAGCTTCGCCGTATGTGCTGATCGTCATCATCGTCACAGGAGCAATGTTTTCTTCAAGTCCGGGTGACATTGAACTGGCGAGAGGGATCCTCGAACTGGTGGAGCTGTATGTCTTCAGCAACGAAAACTTCGTGAAGCTACTCCAAGCACCGTATCATGCTCAATACACAAATGACGTCGGGGCATGGGACGCTCTCCAAGCCGCCTTCTTCATCACTCAGATCCAGCTTCGAGAAGGCTCTCTTGCCAAGCGGAAGGAAGCCCGGACGGCTCGTTTCGAAGAGATTATATCTGGTGTCCACGCTTTTGGACTCCTGCAGACCCGCAATCCTTTTTTCCACGCCGAACCACCACTGCCAGAAACGTTCCAGTGGGATCAATACGGTGACAGCGAAACCAAGATACGACTTGTATGTGGTGTCTTCAATCTCGATGCAAGCTTCACCATCCTCTATAATATGACTCCTCGGTTATTCGCCGAAGAGGTGGAGGTCGATATGCCTTGTCCGGCCGAGGCTTTCTTCGCCGACAGTGCCCAGGACTGCTACCAAGTTTCACTCAAGGAGCACGGAATCCAGACTCTGCACCTTTCCGAGCTATGCAATGCTTTCTTGCAAGACACATGGAGTGAGCAACAGCGCACCTCCATGCTGAGCCTGTCGCTGCTCCATTTGTTCACTCTCATCTTGGCCCTTTTGCAGACCCTGTGGCTATCCCCGTACAGACCCAGGAAATGGCAGTTGATGCAGCGCATGGCAGTTGCGCTGGAAAGGTGGAGGGACGTCTGGGATTTCCAGAACACGAAATTGACCCCCCGGCAACGCGAGCGCTTTGGCTTCTTGAAAACCGCGCCTCTCGAGTTCTGGCAGATCGCAAGTGTTCTTGTAAAGAAAAAGGCGACCCGGTTGGATAGAGCGGTTGACCAGAGCAATCTATATGCCGCCAACAACGGCCGATATGGAAGCTGCCTGCAGTGTGCACAGGATTTGCTCCAAAAGGTCGACAAGGAACAGGCGTAACCGGTCCTTTCCATCGCCCAGACATGGACACCGCCCTTAACTTCAGGACGCTGCTGCATCCCGTGCACTCTGGATCGACAGGTAATTCCAGCTTTGGCCCTGTAACGCCCCAATGAAGGCGTGCATCCTTTTAAAACCAAGAAACGGTACCGCGACCGGTATACTTCACGAATACATGAAGATCCATGCTGTGTCGTCAGTCCGACATTTGCCTGCCCGGCACACTGAAGAGGTTCATTCGCAAAACATGGAAGTAGGATCGATACGGCGCGCTTCCTACCATCTCGATCTAGGCCTATGAAATGAGGATTCATATCATCGTCTGGATAGTGTTGTTCAGGAGAATGCAGGTGAAATGCACCCTGGATACGACTCGTGCTCGTGGTTGACTGTCTCGGCGTTGGACTGGACCAGACATGTTTTGGAACACGCTGCCGCTGACTCGAGCGCCAACCTGGGAGCAACTAAAGAGCGACAGAAGCCGAGAGGTATCTGAGTGATATGGTGTTAAAACGAGATTCGGGGAGGAAGAGGAACCGGCGGAGTATTTTGAAGGGAATGTCGCAGGCGCGGTCCAAACAAGACCAAAAAGGCCATGTGAGCCCTGTCTTTTGACGGCGCGGTTCAAAACAATATCTAACGGCAGTGCACGCCCTGACATTACACGGCGCAGAGTCACCCTGCCGACATAAAGAACGTCCAATACTCGTGCATGAAGGCCAGCATGCAACTCGATCGGCTCCTCGGCCTCGACACCACTGGTCGTCAGGTGGTTCTTTGGCCGGAAAAAGCACACACGCCAGCCGAGTCACACAAAGTAAAGATCCACATGGTTTCAATCTTCTTCTCGCGCGTCGCAGTGACGGTTTCCGGTGGCTCCAAGATTGCCACGGAAGGTGTCTTCTAAGTCCTCCCGTCCTGTCTGTACCCAAGTTAGATGCCGGCGTGGTACTGTGGTACGTTTGGTCAGTGTCGCAGGGGTTTCAGCCTCGTTGGGACGGCTCTCAGCACAGTCTTCTCTAGTAGTGGCACATGCTTTAGCCAGAGGTATCGTAGCAACGCCTAATGTATCTCAATTGCAATGAACGTGGTTGTGTAAATTTCTACGTAATCAATGGTGGAAGTCAACGGACGCCGACGACCTTGATCATTGCGTGGCGTCTCCGTATGTTTCACCGTACGATAACGGGAGTCGGCTTTGTACGGCGGAGTATAGGAACTGCCACCACCATCTCGCTTCCGTCGTATCACAACTTGCAACAGGGCCGAGTAATTAATCCTTCGACTTACTCCCACTTCTATTGGAGTATACAGGGTGTACACACTCTTTACGGCCAAGAATACGAGCACACTTCCGTCGACCGTACCACGTGCTCCCTGCTGCGATCAAGCGCTAAACAACTTGCTCGGGAAGAACACATCCACGCAAATAATCTCGTGTGTCGCTCCGCCCTGCTATATATTAATGTTCACCGTATCGTGCCGATGAAGGCACCACAAGCAGTTGGCCAGGCCTGCTGACAGACCTTCAGTGGGAAGATTATATTTATAAGTATATATCAACGGCTCGGGATGAACTGGTCGCGACGGGGTGACATCTCGTCGTGGATACACACTACAAAGTGCCGATCTGAGGACCTGGCTATACGTATATGAAGTGGTCGATCCTTGACCCTCAAAGCCAATATACAGCACGAAATCTAAGCGAGAGATAGAGTCTCTTTGCAGAGGTTCCAAGATTGCGAGTTCCAAATCCACCATCCAACGCTCATGACCAACACCAACACCAACACCACATCAGCATCAACATGGACCTCGCGGGCCCGGTGCCCGAACTCAAATCCCACACGGGCTCGACATCCAAGCCCGACGACGCCTACCTCTCCGACTTCACGCGTCTAGGCGAGCAGATCTACTATTATGCGCCCACAAGCACGTCAAGGTCAACGCCAACAACGTCAAGTACGACGGACGTCGTCGCCACCGCTGTCAAACAATCAACCCCCGATCCTGACCTTATTATCATCTGCTCCTGGATGTATGCCCTCCCCCGACACATCGCGAAATACACGCAGGCTTACCGGGCGAAGTATGCCTCGTCGCCGATCCTCCTCCTGCGCCAAGACGGCGGCGACTTTTTCTGGCGCACGCACGCGACGCAGATGCGGAACTTGGAGCCCGCCGCCTCTGTCATCCGAACGCTTCAACGCAGAAGTCACAGCGTCGACACCACGCAAGTGGACCAAAATGCCAACCCCAGACCGGAAGCGAAAGCGAAGGCGAAAGCGAAACTGAGGGTGTTGATGCATGTTTTCTCCAACGGCGGTGCCTGGTCGGCATGTCAGCTTGCAGATGCTTACGCGTCTGCCTTTTCCTTCACCTGCCCTTCTATATCCACATTATCGCCCCGGGAGAGTGATCACGCTAATGCCATCCTCCCCATCGACGCCCTAATCCTAGACTCAACCCCCAGCCTGCCCGACCCGCGGGCCTCGCACGCCGCCATCTGCGAAGCACTCCCCAGCCCGACGACATACCCGCTCACGCGCAAGGTAGGCGAGACGGCGGTATGGTGTTTTCTCGCCCTCGCCTCGGGCGTGGACGCCCTGTTCGGGAGGGAACACCTCACGCTGAACATCCGGCGCAGACTGAACGATCCCGCGGGGGCCTTCATGCAGCCTGGCCTGCGGAGAGTGTATATCTACAGTGAGACCGATGCGTTGATCCCGGCGTCGGACGTGGAATTGCATGCCGAGGAAGCGAGGGCGAGGGCGAGGGCGAGGGTCATGGCGCGAGAAAAGGCGGAGAACAAAGGTGGGCTGGAGACCAGTACTGATATATCAACTCCCATTACTGGGGACGACGAGAGTAATGGTAGCGGTAGCGGTAACGGCAACAACAACGGTAACAGTATCAGTGACAAGGGTGACGGTACCAGTACCGGTACCGGTGACAGTATTACTACCAGCGACGACGGTACTGGTCCCGGTGCTGACGCCAATACTCGTATATGGCTCGAGAAATTCGAGCATACCCGGCACGTAGGACACATGCAAGGCGATCCGGGCCGGTATTGGGCTGTTGTTGAGAGGGCGTGGAGGGGTGGCCGCCGCGAGGACCAGGACCAGAATAAAGGCGAGGACACAACAGACAGTAGACAGTAGACAGTAGACGTATCTAGGCAGAATAGTAACCCGTAAAAGAGACGGAGGTGTGGGATAGTAACTCGTGAAAGAGACGGAGTTTGTGGGATACAACAGATTAGAATAGAATAGAACAGAACAGAGTATACTCTGTCTACTCACCTGGTTAGATGGAAGGTAAATAAGTAGGTAGGTAGGTAGGTAGGTAGGTAGGTAGATCTATTCGAGCAGACCGCAAGGGCACTGACACGGGAGGACAAACAAAGAACATACGTACTCCCTACAGTAGATCAGTATTGAACTGTTCTTCCGTGTCATACCACCCACCCTCCATGATTGCTGGCTTGGACAACTACGAACTGCTTGCCGGCTTCCAATGGCTGGTTGGAAAAAGGAACAGGTACCTAATAGATCAGATTTACTGGGCATTACCTGGTGGGAGGACCGGGTTCACCGCAAGTCAATGACACTTTAAATCCCCATGTGAACGAGGGTGGGCAAAATCGAGTGCTAATTACTGTCACAACTGTGCTGTAGACCGGTAGGCAGCTTGCTCCATACCGGGTTTACGTTTGAAATCTTTGATTTCTATCATGACTCCCTGTCACGGGTAGTTGGGTCGTTGGGTCGTTGCGTACTCTGCCCTTGACGCCACGACACAATACATCACTCGCGCTGGACCATATGCTGTATCAAGAGCCTTGACGTGCCATCAGTATGTCTCACTGCGCCCAGTCAATGCAAGGATGTCCCCACTGGCATATGGACAGACAGCCATTCAGAATCCTCCGTTGGTGGTGCACCTCTGCCTGGGTCCTCTGTGCTGCTTGGCGTTGAAGTCATTTCGACGCACCGGTGCTCGCGCCTCTAATATCGCCGGCTGACATTTGTCCTGTGCGCCATTCTTTCTGAGGAAGACGCTCATCGCTCAGTTTGAAGCATACCCATAAGCGGCGAAGGCTTCTTCAGCCATAAACTCTGCACTACAATCACCACTTCCGGCTCCTCAAGTATCCATCTGCACCTGTCTCGCTACCGACGAGAATTCCTTTTTCAGATACTCCAGATACCCCTTCCACCCCATCGATTCACCACCCGCACCCTCTGCACTGGCGCCAGGGAACTTGCGGTCGAGCTCAATGGTGATGCGTATGACCGCCGCGTTGGCTTCATTGACCTTCTCGATTTCCTGCTTGACGGCATTTTCTTTCAATTTGGCGCCAAGGACGATGCGGAATTTCTCAGCAAGAGAAGAAAGGCGGCGGCGGGTTTCGTCGGAATCAATCACAGAGAGACGGGTGAGCATGAGGATGCAAAGAGTTCGAATGTCGTGATCATCAGGGATACCGTCCTGGATGCGATCAAAGATCTTGGCAATTGGGAGATGTGGGATAGCTCCAGGACAGTCGAGTAGCGCGTACATGGTCGCATAGGCAGATTTGCGCAGGTCTAAACCAGCATCTTCGGTGTGGGTAAACGGTCCGATCTTGACCTGCTTGATGAGTTCGGGCTTGATCTTCGAATCCTCAAGGACAGTCGGGAGCAGTTGACCGACGTCTGGGATCACCAGTTCCGGCTTGTTATGGATGGCAGCATTGAGGGTAGTAACAGCCAGACGGCGATTGGACAGGTCTTTGTCATGCAGCATGGTCTGGAGCATGGGTGTCATGGCCTTCATCAAGATGCTGTTGTAGGCACTGCCGGTTTCGCCCAGAGTGAAGCGGAATGCTGATATGACGATGCCGCGAATCGATGCATCGGGATCCGCCAGCGACTTGGAGAGCTCCGGGACGTATGTGTCTGGATCGATAGTCGCCAGTCGACCTATGCATTCAGCACCCACGGCACTGTTGTCTTCCGTTTGCGACACTGCGAACAGCTTCTGCCACAACTCTGCTGCATATGGTTGAAGTTCCCCGAGTGAGCTCTCAGAATGCTCCAGGATTTCCTTCAGAGAGTGCAGGTAAAGATAATCCGCGGTAGGGGTTTGCGCGAGGCTTCGAAGAATAATGGGCAGGCATTCCGAAACGTTGTTGGAGCTGGCACTGCCCAGCGCGACCGCAGGAGCCAGCCGAATCTTGTCGGACTCGGCGGAGAGACAGTTGATGAAGGTCTGTACCTTGACCGGAGACTGAGGACCCATTCTGAAGCCAACTTCACCCAAGACCGTTAGTGCTAAGCAGATCGCTGGCAGATCCTGAGACGTTTCCAGTTCCTTCAGGAAGTCATCTACCGTGATGGTCAGGTTGTTGCCGCCGTACACGAGTAAGGTGCCAATCGCTCTTCCAAGAACCATCGTCTCTCCGTTCGTTCCAACAGTGAGGAGGCCTTTCATCAGTGGCGCACCAACTCCATGCTCGCCAATGACTTTCGCAACCAGGAGGTACGCTCGAAGAGGGGGTCCTTCGATCCTAGTATGTGATATACCGCAAAGGGCCTCGACCACTTCCGGCGTCACGAGTGCTTGTGCATTTGTTGGGATGATCTTGGACATTATCACAAGAGCTGGAGTCAACAAATGCAGATCCGTGGCCGAGATTAACGGCATCAGCATTGTCTGGATCTGCAGGATGGTACCGGTTTCGTACAGGGAGGACGTGACAGGGTTTAAAGCGAGGTACTGTAATGACTCCAAGCAAGATCCTCGAAGAGACCTATCCGCTTTACGAAGTTGATTTGCCATCTCTAGCGAGACTTCTTGAACCCACGCGGACCCGATGTTATCGTGACTGCTGGCAGCCTCCCCAACGAGACCAATGGCTCTCGCGCTTGCTAATCGTGTAGTTTCGTTCTTTAGTCTGTCACTTAGAACTCCAAGGCTCCTAGCCCGGGTTGAAGATGATAACAGCTCAGTACCTGACGTTCTGGCGACGAGAACACCAAACACCTGGATCCCACGATGGCGCACCTCGAGGTCTGTGTTGTTGTCGGTCACTCGATCGACGATGGCCTGCCATAGCTTCTCAATATGTATCGAATGGTCTTGGTTTGCCGGCTGTGAACGGGGCGGAGTTAGAGCCTTCACAAACTGCTCGATAGTGCCCAAAGCCTCAGTCGAAACTTTGTAGTTTCTGTCGCGAGCGATGGCTGTAACCGAGGGAATGAGCGCAATGACGAAGGGAATCAGCACACTGGTACCATTAGTCTCAGCAATGACACTGATCAGCGTCAACGTTTCGATCTGCAGGCTGGCAACAGTCGCGGACGTCCCTGAGGCTGCACTGCCTGTCCCAGCACCAGATGCAGGTTTCAATGCGTCAGCGACAGCATCCTCCAAGAGCTGTAGGTGGTCAGACAAGATCCCATTCCGGGCCAATGTGAGGGTCTTGAGCATTCCCACAGCAGCCTGCTTCAAAGAGATGCTGGCTTTCTTCCATAATTTCGTAAGGGCTTGAACAATCTTTGGCACCAAGCTGACCAGCTCGGCCTGCGAACCCGATGGCGGTGAGGCCGGGAGAATCGGAGGACTGGACCGTATGGAGATGAGACCACGGAGATCTGGATCCTTCTTGTCCGCCTCGCTGTCCTGCCGTCTTCGCTTGCGAGTATTGGTAGGCATAGCTGGATTTTCTGATGAGTCGACTCTGGTGAGTGTCACTTCCGTCAAGCCAGATCCAGTTTTTCGGATCAGCGCAGTTGTGGCTGCGATCACCTCTAGACGGACGCTGTCTTCCCGTTCCTTGAACAGCCGGGATATCAGAACAGGCGCAATCTTTCCAAAGAGCAGGCCTCTGTCGCCAGACGATGACCCCGAGACAATGGTGTATAGAGCTTTTGCAGCACAGCGGCGAACTTTCCAACTCATGTCATCAACATCGCTGAAAGCGTCGTCATCATCCAGTTCGGCATACTCGTCGTCATCGTCGTCCGGAGCATCGTCTGTTATGCCATCATCAGAATCGTCGTCTTGAGTGCCACCCATCTCGTCGTCTTCCACGTCGGCAACATTAGGGTCGTACTTGAGATACCTCAAAGCCGCGTCAATAGCGCCGGCGAGATGGGATTTGGTCTCACTTGGACACGACCCAAGCATGGCCTCGAGTGCAACGAGGGCTGTTTCGCGAAGTTCCTCGATCTCCGGGTCAACCTCGATATCTTCATCGACAGAGGCATTTGCAGACATCTCTGCTTGACTCAAGACCTCCAGCACATAGGGAATGACATCGTCGACATAGGGGCCAAACTTGGTCGGACTCGATCGCGCAAGCGTTCCAATCGTGGCCACAAGGAATCTCCGATGTTCAATACTCAGTTGACTGTTCTGATAGCTTTCGGTAAGAGCCGCCACAAAAGATCTGACCTGGGTGTCGTTGAAATGAGGTAACAGTGCTCCAATGCCGGCCAGAGCACGTTTCTTGACCACACCGCCAGCCTGCGGACTCTCGATGATGTTCATGACCGCCTTGGCCAGAGCCACCAACTCCAAATCGTGCAGTAGGGAACCATAGCACTTCACGATTTCAATCATGACATCGACCGCGTCGCTGCTGTAGCCTTTATCCTTCTGTAACTCCAACAAGCCGGTGGGCAGGTGCGGTGGAGGTTTGCTTGATGGGAGAATTACGTGGCCCACGAGTCTCGGAATCAAGACCTTGCTCACAGCAGTGTAAGCATCTTTCACCTCGGTGCTCGGCCCCTCGTTCGGTCTGGGTTGAGGCAGGGAGGCGATGAGGGAGCGCAGGGCCGTATTAGGGATTGAGATGTCAATATCCTTGTTGGTAAGGTCGGTGAGTTTGTCGATCAGCGGCGCTATCGTCTCACCAGGGATGCGTGCAGCAAGAGGTCCAATGCTGCGAAAGGAATGAGTGTATTGTCCATACGCGTGCGCGTTGAAACTCACCATTTGAGAGCCTGGTTCTGGACTTCTCCATGCTGATCGGCCAAGGCCTTCAGCAACCCTTCAATGATTCTTGCGGCAGTATGATTGTCAGTCCGTATATATTCTGAAGCAGGGGCTAGGAGGATGTTTGTGAGATCGCTCAACTGCATGAAGCGAATGTCGGGATCGGGATCGTTGATTTTCATGAGCAACTGGGAAATGCCCGACTGCGCTGAATTCCGGTCCCTAGCCATGACGACGGACGAAGTTGGTTGTATAGGCGGAGAGGGAGATTCCTAGGTCCCGATCCGGGACATCGAAGGTCGAGGTCGCCGAGCGAACACACGTACGAGGCTGTAGACTTGCTTTGGGTTTGACAACGCTGCCTGTGGACAGAGCAGATCAAAGTCGTGGGAGGGGAAAATGCGCGGGGTATGGTTTGGAGATGGCTTGAACGCTTCAACGAAGACACGGGCCTCCAGACACTGAAAAAAGATGAAAGTGACTTTTACGAGTAGTTAAACAACTCGGAGACTGACTTGCGGTGGTGCTCCGAACTCTTGCAGCGACCTTTAGCGGGGTGAATCGTATTGTACAAAGTTCCAGGCACATCAACAGCCTGACACGTGCGCAGCGAATTTTGGCCACTAAAGAGACAAGACTGACGTCATTGAATTACACATCCAGCCTTGTGAGTTTTGATTGGTTGCGTCAGCTGCTGTTCCTGGAGCTCTGCTCTAGGATTTACTATGTATGGGGTGACCTCCAAGCTTCCACCAAAAGTGTCCGGAGGCATTTCCCGCTTCCGATCAATTCGGTCAACGTCAATTGCTTCTATCCCAAGAGCGCCGCCTTCAGCAGTGATCTCGCTTTCTAGGTATCCCGAGTTATTCCCACCGTCAATCGTCTTTTCAAAGTTCCCGCATCAATGCCGCTGCCGAGACCAGCTGCCCTCCGGGGCTCCATCCAATCCTTTTCTCTCAAGCGCGCAGGAATCCAAGCTCGGACGAGCCTTCGTGGTGTCAGTCGGAGGACATATGCCACTGAGCATGGCGGACAAAAGAGCAGCGACCTTCCCTGGTAGGTCAGGAACACTGAAGCTTCGGTGGTTACTGACCGGAGTCGTACAGGTTAATCGGTTCGATCGTCGTCACTGTCCCAGCTGCTGGCTGGCTATGGCAGCAAGGACCCACCAAGTCCGACCATGGTCATGGCCATGACGCTCATGCTGAAAAGGAAGTTGAAGATGCACCTGCTGAGGAGCCAAAGGAAGAGGAAGAATCACCTAAGGAGGACTCAGGCGAGGACGATGGCGACAAGCAGGAGGAGGGTAAGGAGGAAGGAAAGGAGGAAGAGAAAGAGGAAGGAAAGGAACAATCCGACGATCAGGGTGAAAACAAAGATAAGGAGGTGTAAGTTATACAACCCGGGGCTACGGTACGTACTAATATGATACTCAGGACTCCCAAAGGCACGGCCATATCCGATGACAACGCGAGGGCGTCAGAGTCAAAAGGCGCCAAAGATGTAAGTTCTGTTACGCCATCTCCTCAGGACCTTCCTTGCTGATACCAGGCAGGCTCAAGGCGATGTCTCTGGTTCGAACAACCCCTTCATGGGTTCATCAGGAGAGGAACACAAGCCTGAGGGACCGGCAGCGACGGCGAAGCTTCACGGCACCGTCGACAAGTCCAAGAGACCCGAGGAACCGCCCCGGCCTGACGAGACAGACCAGAAAAAGCAGCAGGAGTGATGCACGGTCGAGGCTGTCCCTTCGCCTTAAGATGGAAACCGCGATGTTTGTGGAGTTACATAGCCACGGCAGTAATCACACATGTGTAGTAAAACATCAGGTCAAGACACGGCATCATGTCCTGAATTTCTTTCCGGTCCAGACAGTAAGACTGCTATGCTTGTGAAGGTGATCTCAAGATCCGGAGCATATACTCCAGATACGGTGATACGCGGATACGAGGGCTTCGATCAGGTTGACATTTCGCTGGGAAATTGCTGTGGTCCTCTCTCTCCTTTTGTGTGGAGTGGTGCGGTCGCGCACGGAGCTTCTGCGGAGGCTGACTGTTCATTTCAAGGCCCTTCACATGCACCTTTAATGCGTCCGGCCTGACCACATAATTGCCCTCTGCTCCGATCACTCACTTACAACCACTTTTCTGTTGACTTCGGAGGCGCGGGCTCTCATTGCCATCATCATCCACCATGGCGCGCCCACGCCGGACGTCGAGCAACCTTGGTGGCGATCCTCGCGGGGACACTGGTGCTCCTGCTCTGGCCACCATGGCACTGCGGCCCACTGAACAGATATCTGTACGATGTACCCAACGCAGTGCTCTGACGGTCCTGACAGTTTGTAGGCACGCGAGAGAGACCTCAAGCCGCACTCCAAAAGACGGAAAGCAAGATCGGCCTTTCGAAAATGGAAGCAAGTCTCCCTGCGCCACACCTGGCTCAACCCTCTCCTCCTCCTCCTCGCATTGCTCGGGGCGTACTACATAAACCCAGGCGAGCAGAATCCTCTCCATAAAGCCATATTCCTGTCATACCCTCTCGGACCAGATTATCCGGGTGGACCGAACATGTATGGCAAGGGCAAGGCCGACTTTGCCTTCGTTGGATTCTACACCATCTTCTTTACATTCACGAGAGAATTCATGATGCAACGGGTCATCCGTCCCATGGCAATACGATGCGGCATTACGAAGCGAGCCAAGCAATCGCGCTTTATGGAACAAGTCTACACAGCCATGTACTTCGCCGTCTTCGGCCCGTTCGGTCTCTACGTGATGAAGCAGGGCACACTGTGGTATTTCAACACAACGGCCATGTTTGAAGGCTTCCCTCACCGCAAGCACGAAGGGATCTTCAAGGCCTACTATTTGTTGCAGGCAGCATATTGGGCGCAGCAAGCCATAGTCCTCGTCCTACAACTGGAAAAGCCTCGCAAGGACTTTAAGGAGTTGGTCTTCCACCACATCATCACACTTGCTCTCATTGGACTGAGCTACCGCTTCCACTTTGCAAAGATGGGCATTGCCGTCTATATCACACACGACATAAGTGACTTTTTTCTTGCGGTGAATAGCGGCTCTTCCCTATAATCGATGTATCGCATGCTGACAAGACCCCAGACCTCCAAAACGCTTAACTACCTTGACTCGATTATTGTCGGACCCTACTATCTCATGTTCATGGGCATCTGGATTTACCTGCGCCACTGGATCAACTGGAAAATCCTGTGGGCGACTCTGACCGAATTCAGGACCGTCGGCCCCTTCGACTTGAACTGGGAGACCCAGCAATACAAGTGCTGGATCAGCCAGTATATCACGTTCTCCCTTCTTGCCTGTCTTCAAGCCGTCAATCTTTTCTGGCTATTCCTGATCCTCCGCATCGCGAAGAACTATGTGTTCTCCAATATAACGGTCGATGAGCGGAGCGAGGATGAAGAGGAGGAAGAGGATACTAATATCCCCGGAAAGGACGAAAAGAAGCCTTTGGAAAATGCCAAGGTCAATGGCAACAGGCCAGTTGTGCTCGTCAATGGAGAGCCTGTTGAAGGCGAAAGTCGGCCTGACGGGGTGAGGGAAAGGAAGAGGAAGGGCTAGTCTGGCAAGTGTCACGCATGCAATGAGTCTTAGCGGGTTGTACTCATAGGATAACGGTATGTACAACTATAATTAAGAGTGAAATGTGCTGAGGAAACCGAGAGATAAACGTGTCGTGGGTTCCTTCGTGGTAGTCGAACTTGGATCGCCCTTCTTCCTGAGTGAATGGTTCAATATACATGTACCTGCAAACATTTTCATCTTTCCCTCAGTTTCACTCACCACTCACTGCCCTACACCCAGCAATTCTCCTTGCTACAATTGCTGAAGGCTTGCCCATCACCTATTCAAAACCCTTTGGGTGATGACTACTTGTTCACTTGTCCTCCTTCCTGCCCTCATTGCTCGTACCGCCTGAAATGAGCCTGCCAACTCCTCCTGCACCTTGCACTGCATGCCATTTGGCATCGCGAATGCTTTGCAAGGTCATCACAACACGGATGCTGCCAGATGGTAACCTTGAGTAAAACGGGACCACAGGAGCAGAGCAAATTTTGAGCCCTTGGTCAACATCAAAGAAAGTCCACATCATCCTCGCACCTTCAAGTGGAACATCAAGAACGCAAGAAGGAGAGTTGGCAACACAGAGTACAAGTAAAGAGACTTCCTCGACTTCGGCGACGATATGGTTGATTCCCTCTTCTGATTCCGATCCCACAACTTGCGCCACAGCTCCGTCAGGGTATAGGGCATTGCCTCCAGCTCCATGTAGTTGGTTGCAATAGACGCTACAGGCCTCTTCGTCGCCAAGCGCCTACTCATCGACTTTGTATCTGGGGTGTTCGCCGGAGTCAGATAGATAATGCTGCTCGGTTGACCATGTCCTCTGTACTCTGGTGAGGTGAATCGACTGGGATCAAACCAAGTCGGTTCTCTGCTGCGCCCAACCGAGCGCCATGCTCGTCAACACCCGCAGAGAAGTGACATTCTCCATTCGAGCACTGCACCACTATGTCGAAGACCATATCACCGAACCCACAATCTGATATGTGGCATGAGAAAATGTTGTTCCAGAAGTATTACCGGAATACCGCCGAAGGAATCCAAGGCTTCGCCAACACCATCTTTCGTGCTGCGATCACATCAGCTCGCCATGTGGGGTAGCTTCACCATCATTCATCAGGGTCTGTGCCAATTAGGTACGAGTCTTGACCTCCAACTCTAAACACCAGTAGCGTGATGTGGAGAAGATTCTGTGCATTGCAGGGCTTTCGAAAGGGAAGGGAGATCTCGCAGATCTGAGGAGCTGTCCGATGCGGACATCTTTCGATCAAGGACCTAGAGAGAGAGATTTCAGCATCGGCAGGTTATGACTAGTAACAAGGCCAAAAGTCGAGCAGCACCCAAGAGGGATCATCACCGTTTCTGACGCAGTGGCTTCCTGGAGGTTGCTCAAGGTAGGGCAGGCGTCGAGACCCCTCGGCAGTTGTGTGGCCCAGGATAGGTTAGTTCCAGGTCAAGGACTTCTGCTCCATGACTACCCCATCTTCACACATCAGTCAGATCCCTCCACGAGACCAGATTGCCAAAGCATGGGCGTCCAGGTCAGCCCGGCCGTCTGCCCGTCGCAAATCCCGGGCAGCCTGTGGCAGCACTGGGACCATGCTCGCTGGCCACAGATCGTGGGGCTAGACGTGTGGGGCATTCTCCTTTGCGTGAGATGGGGAATCATCGACCGAGCGACCGCTGTCCACGAGCATTGTGTGGCAGGCGTGGAGGCAGGAGCATCACCATGATTTCGTTAAGCACTGCCCTGAGTGGTATGGGCATCACAGGTGGTGGTACTGTAGTGGCGGCGGGAGGTTTTTAACCTACTTCTTCTTAATCGTTTCTGTCTTCCGCCAAACGACGACTCCATCATTACCGCACCAGACATCAACATTAGCACCAGCATGGAGATCAAAACGACCGAGGAAGCGCCCTTGACCAAGTCCGCCGTTCTGACTGCATGGCACGTGGTGGCTGCTCATCCGTTCTTGATCCTTTTCGTCCTTCTATTTGTACGACCTCTCTGGAGACGATATTCCTCCCCTCTGCGACAGTTCCCCGGCCCGTTCATTGCATCATGCACTAGAGCATGGAAAGTCTGGAGTACCTGGACAGGCCACACCGAGCAGCACCACATCGCCTTGCACCAGAAATATGGTCCCGTTGTACGGATTGCACCGAACGAGGTTTCTTTCTCCAACCCCGAGGCCGCGATCGAACTGTTCAAGACGGGGAAAGGCTTCCACAAGACCGATTTCTACGGCGTCTTTCCGCCCCCCGAGAACCCCGATATCTTCACTGAGACTCGGGAAGCGGTCCATGGCGTGAAGAAGCGGTACGCAGCGACGCCTTACAGCCTGGCGTCCATGCAGCAAAGCACGCCCCGCATCGAGGAGACCGAGAAGCTGTTGCTGTCCAAGCTGGACGAGTTTGCCGACAACAACAAGGTCTGCGACCTCGGCGATTGGCTTCATTTCTTTGCCTTTGACGTCCTCGGCGAAGTCGCCTTCTCCAAGAAATTCGGGTTCCTGGAAGCTGGAGTCGACGTGGACAACAACATCAAAACGATCGACAACTCGCAGTGGTACAATGGCATCATTGGCCAGGTACCTTGGCTCGACCACATCTTCCGACGAAATCCGCTTTGGAATCTGATCCCTTTCCTGTCGACCAAGAACGCCCTCGTCACTCGGACGGCACTCGGACAGCTGGAGAAGCGCCAGAAACCCGCCAACGGCGAGAAGGTCGAATACAAGGATCTCCTCAACAGCTTGATCATCGCCCAACAGGAACATCCCGAGGCTCTGAGCCGTGGCGATGTGTTTGCCATTGCTCATGGCGCCATCTTTGCCGGGAGCGACTCGACTGCCAGCACGATGCAGAGCTTCTTCTGGTACGTCTTGGCGAACAAAAGGGTCTACGAGAAGCTGGTCGAGGAAATCATGTCGGCCAACCTGTCAGAGATGGTCCAGTACAACGAGTCGCAGAACCTACCGTACTTCCAGGCCTGTCTGAAGGAAGCCATGAGGATTGCCCCGGCTGTGGGACTGAACATCACGAGGAAGGTCCCTCCTGGAGGTGCTGAGATCGACGGCGTCAAGCTCCCCGCGGGCACGGCCGTCGCCGTCAACGGATGGGTTTTACACCGACACAAGGGCATCTTTGGCGAAGATGCCGATGTCTTCAGACCGGAGAGATGGCTGGAAGGTGACAAGGAGAAGATCAAGTTGATGGAGCGGTGTATGTTCCAGGTAAGTTGCCAGCCAAAGCTGTCTGTCTCCATCGTCGAGCCACAGGCTATCTGTTTGTATCGTCGAGCCGAACCTGGGACAAATTGCTAACGGTGATATCACGTCTAGTTCGGCGGCGGTTCTCACGTCTGCATCGGTCGACATCTCGCCCTGCTCGAAATGAACAAGATCATCCCCGAAATTATCCGTCGGTACGATATTCAACTAGTCAACCCGGGGAAGAAACTCGAGCACCATTCCAGCTTTTTCGTCGTGCAGTGGGGACTGTTGACGTACATGCGGTTACGGGAGAAGGTTTGAACGGGTCAAGTCTATCACGATAGGTTTATGGACAGGCAAGCTACTGTAGCTTTTTTAAATTACAAATTGAAGCCGCGTACTCGTAAGGTGCTGCAGGGTTGACATTGGTCGGTGGAAATCACCCGAATTGCACAGTGATTCACCCTTCTTTTGTCGGAACCGAAAACTCGGGAAACAGAATAGCATACCGGGGTGTGCTCCGTACGAGGGACCGAGCGGCGAATATTGACCTCTCCAAAGTCCAATGTTTTCTGTGCTTCCAGACCTGAGCTGAGCATCCCGCCAATTGACCTTGACCCCATGCATGACTTAACCAACCCGCCCCCCCCGGACTCAGTGTGTCACATGTTTTCGCAAGGCGAAGATGCAGCACCACGAGCACGCGTGGGACTCATGTACCAGTACCAGTTGTGACAGGGGCAGCCATGTCAATGCAGGTGGACGACTTCCTCCTGTCGAGGTTCTTTGACGGCACGACATTTCGCACAAGTGGCTGGGATCAATGTTCAACGGGCTCGAGACTTCGCCGAGCACCACTAAGTTATGGGTGACGATTCAAACATTGCAATCTTCCACGGTGTGTCCGCCTCGCACGTATATGAAATACCGACGCTGGCTGAAATGGTCCTTGCTGGCTTCCTGAATGAACTGGATGGATATCATCATTGATGATTCCGACATCCGCTGACGATCCACACATGCTAGTTCAAGATGGAGCATCGAAAATGAACGATCGATCCTCGCTGCGGTACGTGCCCGCAATCGAAAGCGTCTGAGCGATGTTGGCAGGACTTTGAATTCTGGAGAGACCGCTTCGTCATGGCAAAGTAGGTTGTCGGGGAGCATCAACCAGGAGGCATGTTGCAAGCCAAGCAAGACAACCGCAACCATGTGCAGGAGTGGACGTTCTGCCTTGCCGTCGTTGTCCGTGTTCTGACGGCCGTTGCCTGCATCAAGGGGGCATGGCAGGTTTATAAAGGCTACCGTATGTTAAGGTAGAAGGAGTCTCGAGGATCGTGTCAACAACATCGTAGTGTCGCTCTGGAACGAGTTCGACAGCCGGCTTGACGGCATTGGGGACGGCATGAAAAAGTACTTCACGCAGAGAGAGTGTATCTGTTGCAGTTACCTAAGGAAGACGGGAGAACTTACCTCGTTTCCTGCAGAGCCGCTGTACTCAGCCGTTTACCATGGCGCATACCGCAAGGCCCGCGCACTGGGCCCAGTCTCCCTTCCATCTCCGGAATCGGTCAAGCGCCGGGCTCTTCGAACTTTCCACCCAGGCACACCCATAAATTCTGTTATAATTTCGAGGCGCACGTGGAGAAAGGAGGCGGCTGGACATCTAGATCAGGGATTCGACTGCGATTCAGGAACAAGTTGAACCCCAGGCAGCTTCTGAGATTGAGGGTCTGCTCCGAACTCGCGGTTTGAGAGGGCGGTTCGGGTTGTGGAGACTCTGCTCACGGCCCAGATACACTCCCCTGCATCGGGATGACCAATTGTAACGCTTCTTCTTTCCCTGGCCCGCAACTCGCAGCGGCCACATTGCATGGCGGTCAGGAGTTGAAGTGATAGAGCCACGGCACAACGAGGACGTTTGTATTCCAGATGGCTAACGTGTGTTTCATCCGCTAGGAGCATTGATCGGTATGTGACGCGAAATTGTCTGCCATGCAAGAAATTGCACGGCTAGCGAGCCTTCGGTTTCGGACATAAATATTGCATCCCCCGGCGGCATCAACAACGGCGCGGTGCGACTGGTGTGTTCGGTTTGTGGAGCAAGGAGCTCGTGTGAGGCGCCAGTATCTTGATGTATTCTTGGTCATGTTGTACTTCACGAAGCATGGTGACGCTGTAAATGGGGACGGAGGAACCCAGATTCGCTGGACTGCTGCGTAGATAGTTGGTGGTACCGTAGCGCTGTGGGTAGTCCCTATAAAGCGAGCATCCAGGTTGACTGCCCCGTGTTCTTGGGCTCAAGATAAAAAGTATCTCCTCGTAGCTGAAGGACCGTTGTCTTCATCCCGATCGTTCAATTCTTTCCTCACTCGTCTACCATTTGCTCAAATTTCCTTGTGTTGAAAGCCGAAGAGTGCCTCGAGAACCACACACCAGCATTTCTCTCTATACCACGCCGCGACTGCTCAACATCGGCCAGCATGGGGATAAGCAAAACCGTGATGATCCTGATCATCATTTGCAGTGCAGCTGTATCGGTGGTGATCGGGTATGCCATGTATAGGCTAATGTTCTTCCACGAACCGCCCCGTCCATTCCAGATGTCGGATGAGCAGGTATCATACATGCGAAGTGTCAAGGACAGAAATGTCCAGGGATTGATGTTGGAAGCTGGGATGCCCAAGCCAATCTGACAGTCCCAATCTGACAGTCTCTCTGGAAGAGATAAGTTCGACTGGGGCTTCACCTCACATTTTGACGATATGTTCGGTCGGAGTCCAAACACCACCGTCGCCTTCACGCCGCCATATGCCATATTCCAGAAAATGCACGGGTTCACCAGAGGTTGCATCCACCAGCTCCGTCAGCCTCTCCCGATACACCCGATGGTCTTCGGCCGGGAGCAAATCAGCTTTGTGAGGAGGCCACTCTGCACAAAACACGCCTTCCTCACTGCCACAGGCTTCTTCGATCCCGACAATCCTCTTGGCCACCGCCGCCATTCCTTCAGCTTTGGCGATATACTCCATGCGGGGCGCCTCATTCTCGAGCAAGAAAATCGCTTCTCGACGGATAAGCGGATGGCGGCACTTGGTTGCGACGTAGTAAAGAGCCGGGAGGATGCGCGTTTCAAAGACAAATACCGGACGTCGGGATCTTCTTCGTTGGATGGCGACCACGCGGCGAATGTACGCGATTATTGATCGAAATTGAGCCATGAATTCGTCCAGGGTTGTCTGATACATGCTCACAGAGGACGATACCACGACGTAGAAGTGGTTAAACGACAACATCAGAGTTGAATAGAGCTCGTCTTCATCAGGACATTCCGAGATAGCCCGTCTCTGTCTTTTGACCACCTCCTGTATAGCTGTTTCCAGAAAGCGAATTCTATTCCTCACCTTCTCCCACCACTCGATGAGGTCTGGCGTGGGAAGCCAGGCTTTTGGCATTATCGACCTTATCCCGTCGATGTGTTCGAGAAATCCGTGCACCTCGTCAAGCAATAGATAACCTTCCTCCCTGATTTCTGATAAAGAATCGAAAGTCATGTTGATATGACTATTCACCTTTCTCAGGGAAGCAGGAAGTTCTTTGGAGATGGACATGTGTCTTAGCAGAGATTGGACCGTGCCTTCGACCGAACCCACGTCGCGTGCCGCTGTAGTTGAATAGTTGCCCGCGCCCTTCTCTGCGAGCATATTATTCATGGCCAGTGCTCGGTAATAAAGCACCATTGCCCCATCTAGATTATCTTGAAGACACTCGATGCTGATGTAGAGTAGGCAGGTTACCATGAGCATACCCGGCGACACACTGCCGTGAGTCATACGTTTCTGAAGGCCATGCAGCGATTTGCTATACCACTTGACAGCCAAGCGGTGATTGTCGTCGGCCAACGTGGATGCTTTCGGCCCCGGTAAAAGCCAGCGCCACGAAATTTGGGGATGGCGAATGAGACATGACAGGGCATTGACCGCGTCCCAGATGATCTTGTCGGATTGACTGAGTTGGGGAATGACTTGATGCCAAAAGTGTTGATCGACAATCCGCGAAAAGCCAGGCAGCACGTCACTCATAAAGAATTCGAAAGCCTGTACCTCGAGCCGACTTGCATGTGCATAGCTTGAAATGCATCCGACGTGGGCCAGAGTAGGCGATGCAGACGCCGCTGGGGGTTGTTCTCGTGAGTTGATGGCGTTCACATAGCCCTCACATTTCCTTCCAGTGCTTGAGCACCGCAGACAAGCTGGCTTTTCCTCTCCACACTTGACCTTGCGAATCTTGCATGTCAGACAGCCGCCATTACTCTTGATTCTGCTACCGAGTCGACCTTTTCTAGGCGGGGTTGCTACTGCGGCGCTGCTCATGTTGCATCTTTGAGCGTGACCAGGAGCGGCGAAGGGGGGTGGGCTACCTCATGAAGGATCGCGTCTTGAGAAGGATCCTGGCGACTTTGTTACTGAGTTGGAACGACCCGAAGCGCCGGGACGAAAGAAGAAGGCGAGGAAAGGAGCACTGCCTTGACTAGGCCTCGAGTAACGCCACAGTTGAAACCAAAGTCGAACTGCGAAAGAGCTCTAATGCAAGCGGCGGGGTGGAAAATCTCAGTCACGTGATCGGGCTGTCCCTGTCCTGGCATCGCATCTTCCGACCAGCGACTACACCTGGTGAAACTTACCCTGAACATCCCTTCAGGCGTACAGACAGATCGGGTACCGGAAACCACCAGTCCGAGTCCGCCGCCATGGCGACCGCCATGCAAAATGCGCCGTCCTCTACGTATGTTTCTGGTTCACGTCTCAACCGACATCCTCGCCCATATCACTAACGGCGCTCTAGAGTTTATGTCAAAAACCTCGAAGAACGGATAAAAGTCGACCAGTTGAAATCAGCCCTTTCCGAAATCTTCTCCGAGTACGGCAATATCATCGACCTGGTGGCAAAGACGAACTTGAAAGCAAAAGGTCAAGCATTCGTTGTGTTTGACAACGCCGACTCTGCCGCCAAAGCGATCGAAGAAATTAATGGCTTCGAGCTGTTCGATAAGCCGATGCAGCTAGACTTTGCACGGACGAGGTCGGACGCGACGGTGCTTAAAGAAGACGGCGAGCAGGGCCTGGAAAAGTGGAAGAGAGCGAGACTTGCGGAGAAAGAGAGAAAACAGGCGTTGGAGGCTACACAGCAGAAGATGCTCAAGAGACCGGCCGCGGCACCTGCTGACGCCGCCGCGGGAGCAGGACTGGCGGCACGGCCGGTGAAGACGGCCAAGGGAGCGGGCTTGAAACCGTCGGGCGCGAATGCTGCGGCCATCATCCCAGATGAATACCTACCGCCCAACAAGATTCTGTTCTTACGGGATCTGCCGGACAGCTACGACGCGGATGGCCTGAGCAGGATATTCAGCCGCTTTGAAGGCTTCAAGGAAGTTAGAATGGTGCCCGGCCGCAAGGGGATCGCCTTCGTGGAATACGAGGCCGAAGCGGGAGCAATCAGTGCCAAAGAAGCCACGGCAGGCATGCAGCTGGGCGACGAGGGCAAAGGTATCCGCGTCACCTACCAGCGTGCTTGAAGGAAATGCTACGAAAACGACGTGCAAGAGTTACGGTCTTCTCATGTCGGCAGCAAAAGGACTGCTATATTTATCGATACCCATGCATGGCTCGCGAAACGGAAGATTGGCGTTGACGGGGCTTCCAAGTGTACACCAAACCTGCAGAAACTCCGCGCCGTGAAAGACATCAAAAGATAACGTCTTCATCCTCGTGTTCACCAAGGACATCTTGCGCTTCAGCACCATTTTCCTGCTCTGGTTTCCCTTTCTCTGCTTCTTTCTTCCGCTTCATCTCTGCATCAGCGGCAGCCTGGTCTCTCTGCTTCTTGCCTGAGACTTTCTTGAGTCTGTAGAACTCTTCGCGGTCCAGTTCGTCGAGTTCCGAGTTAATATCTGGGCACGCGTTAGTGTCTGCGCCATCGTACAGCATCTCCACTGGGCTCACATTTGATGGTGTTCTCCGTCCGTGGAATAATGACATGCTCGATGGCATTGACTGAGATGGTCAGTTCAGTCTCGGCATTGAATTCATTTGACGCACCTCTCCGATTCACCACTTTGATGACCTCGTCTAAGATCATGAACGCAGTCTGCAAGCTGGCCAGTTCGACCAGAGTCTCGACTGCTCGGGTGTAGGTCTCCCGACATCTCTGCACCTGCTGACCTCCCTTACCCAGACCCGTCAGGCCGAAGTCATTAATCTCGTCCTTGGTGTATCCTTCAAACTGTGGTAGAAAGACTCCCGAGACGTTCTCTTGCTTGGTCTTGATTCTGAACCGTGCTGTCTTGACGGACTCTTGGATTTGGTAGCCCACGTCTCCTCCAACAGCGTACGTGACTTCGGCGAGGGAGAAGGCGGCGATCTGCATGACTCGACCCATCTTACGCTTGGCCTCGTCGATTCGTTTGAGGATCTCTGCATTGGTTCAGCTTAACGTCGCCCAGGGTCGGCATTACGCTCATGCACACCTCGAAAACGCCTAGTTCAAGGTCAGCATCTGGTGACCTCTGTTCTTCTTGCGACCTCACTTTGTCAAAGCTTCACTCTTTCTCTTGAGCAAGCTGTGGCCGGTCTGCGCTCCCTTCAACTTGCTGTTCATCTGACCCAACGCCTGCCGCGTGGGGAAGACGGCCTCTCGCTACAGTCCATGTCAGAAGTGTTGCACCTTCACATCCCTCAGGATGCGCTTACCCCTGCTCCTGAAGACATTTTGCCTGTTAAGCGCTCGTATGCCGACTAAACGGGCTATCTTCACACAGGATCGCAATGTGCTGTCGACGAAGCCCAGCTAGTAGTTTGGCTGGCGAGACGAGCACAGGCTTGCATTGCAGCTGCGAGTGATCCACCCGAGAGGCTTCAAACAGGCATGACGTCGCCAAGCTCGCCAAGCTCGCTAAAACTTTACTCCGTCGATTCTCTAAAGGCGCACTCCCACCACTCCCAGTCTCTCATGTCTCTTTGCGAGTATTATGTGATTCCGCAAGACGCCAGAGGGTTGAACAGCGACGCAGCACTCTTGATCGTCAGCCCATTTTTCATGACGCCTCGTGCTACGCTAGGAGCCAATCCGCTTATGACCAGTGACAGACCACGGGGAATGTGAGTAAAAACCCTTGTCATGCAGGAGCCGTTGACAGGTCCATGTCCTTGCGGATGGGACCCCAGCTTCGACTCTCTGATGAACACAAACTTGCCCTAGACGCCTATTCCGTACTGATCACAGCTTCACCCGTACGCACTTCTATGTGAGCTTCCAACTCTCCTGCGCAAGAACTCTCCACTGCCACCAGCGACTGGATGAGCCATGGCCAATCTTCTCGCGGTGCGAGTGCTAGCGCCATGCCGGCAACTTTTGATCCTGCAAGTTTGAGGAAGAAGCATTACGTCTCAGCCTTAATTGCTTCCATCTTGTCCCTCCAGGGTATAAAACATCGCGCAGCTGTGATTTGTTTCCGTCGAGGATGAGCTCCCAGGAATCTGCAGCTTCATCGGACTGATGTCTTCAATCACTCTCAACCCTCCTATACCTCGCACGCGCGCCCGGGCGTACTCCGAGGACCAATGGGGCCAGAAGAAAGCGCTCTTCTCGCGATTGTACCGGGACAAAGGCAAGAGCCTTCGTGATGTACAAGCAATACTTGCAGAAGAGTACGGTTTTCATCCCGCGTGAGTATGATTCTTTATCCACAATCACCAAAGCTAAGACGCTGTAGAGTGGCTATGCTGAAGACTCGGATCCAGAAGTGGGGCCTTGATCGAAAGAAGAAACAGCCTGATATGCTCTATGCTCTGCGGATCGTCCTCGAAAGACAAGCCTTGAGAAAAGACACAAGTTTTGTCATCCGCGATCGAGTGGTGAAGTCGGACGACATCAAGAGATATAAGCGCAAAGGTGTGCTCGATTTACAAGCACTTCTTCGGGAGTCGCCTGCTGCGGATGCTACAACAGAGATCGAATGTCACACTCCCGAAACTGTGGCAACCTTTGAAATCCCGGAAACGAACGTACAAGCATTGGCAGCACCTGATCTGGATGGCAACCGCGTCACCGGTGGAAACCTGGAAGCCACACTCGATCCTGGTCATGTCGACTCTGTCGTCTCGTCAACTCAAGAGATGAACCACTTGGATGCCCTGCTGTACCACAGCCGGGTTTACTACGACTCTGTTTTTCAAACTTCTACCTGGCACGACAGTTTCAGCCGCCAATCGCTGAGACCATCGGAGGGCTTTTATGATCTTTTCCTGGGTGGCCAGGCTTTTCTTTACCTCGGTTTCGTCCCTTCAGCATTCTGTATGTTTAACCTTGCTTTCAACGAGGCCAGCCTGCTTTTGACGCAACAGCATATTTTGTCTCTCCTATATTTCTACAGCATCATACTCCCCAACCGGGTCCATCCCGGCCAGGAAGTCTTGGTTCAGCTATTCCGATTTATCATGGAAAAGGTACAGACCCGTCATTCGCAGATGCACTGCATTCATCGTTCCATGTCCATCATCAACAGATTGTCTATTAGTGACAGAGGGGAAGCATCGAGTCGTGTTTTCCAAGCCATCTTCGATCGCCTGCGAATGCCGGGCTCCAACGATTCTAAGCCGCTAGAAATCGATCCCAATACGACTTACGAAACGTTGGGCTATTCCGGCCGCTACTGGAGTCTCGGTTTCCTGAAACCGCTTTCAGCGGCAGTGCAAAGCATAGCTAGAAAGAACCCCTCTGCTTTCGACGTCCCACCTGCGGGTGAGACAACATTTCGCACCATGGGGTGCTGCTCATGCAACGCCACAGTGATGGCAGGAATGACGACACACGGCAGATATGAGCACTCGCGAGTAGAGACGGGCGAGCATCACGACAGCAAATACTCCAACACCGTAGCACTTGGGAACAGTGAAGGAGATTCTGCAGAATCCGAGAAGACGCCACGGGAACGACAACAATTCTTATACGCTTCTGCCACCTCGAAGCCCGCTCAGGACTTCATGGCAATCGCACCGAGTGGAGAAGGACTTCCTCTATTCGATTGATCTAGTCAGACAGCCCCGGAGCGTCGATTTTGTTAATCTGTGGTGGGGACGAGCAATCATGTCAATAATTCCGTGCAATGGGACTCGTTATTGCACCAACAAGCCTGAAGAAGTCGTAGTCACTCACGCAATCCACGTACATACTGTGCGGTCTTCGTTCTTTCGCCTACCTACTATCTAGTACCTACTTACTTGGCAATTATTCGCACAAGTCGCAGAGTCTCCCGGTAGTCTCTACAGCGGTATAGTAGCCTAACGCGGACTCCGTCTGCTGGGCTGGGCTGGCTCTATTCAAACTCCCGCGGCAACTTAACCTGATTTGAGGTGTGGGCCTCGTGCTGTCTGCCACAGGACTCCATACTATGCGATCGCAGCGGCAGACACGCAGCGCGTAAAGAACATCCGTGATGAGGCCCACCAATAGGAAAGTCACGGTCTAGCACTTTCTTACCCGTGATGGACTTCTGCGTAAGTTGCATGCATGTCGATTGGCCAGTCCGCCAATTGTGCAGGTACGAGATTAATACATAGGACGGCGAGGTTGAGATTGGGTCACGTTTGGTACTGGTTGGGTCAGAATACGGCATCACAGCAGAAGAACGCGAATTGGGACTGGGGACTTCCCTGCATGTCCATAGAGGAATCCACGACTTTCGCTCGGATGAATTCGCTAGTTACTGAACACGCTGGACGTTTCAAGTTAGTCAGACAGCATGCGCCGGTTGGCTGGCATGGCATGCGCATGTATGCATATCTTGCAAAAGCCAGGCGTCGTTGATCTGTGGTTGATAACGCAGGAATATAATCGCCCGAAAAACGGCAGTGGTCCCGACCTTAGCATCTTCATCGGCGTATTGAATCTCATCCATTGCCAGTTAGATGTCCAGTTCAGCATCTCGCCGTCTGAGCACGCCGCCAGTTCTATTATATTGCTGATCACGGCACCTAGTGGAGCACCATGCAGCCACTGGTCTCCCAGCGCACTCGTCCCATACGAGTAACTATAAGACAGGACTTAGCGCCGCGGTCACTTCTAAGTTCAGTGAACTGGGAATCGACACAACGATTGCTGCTCAACTGCAAATAAGAAGGACGGTCAAGGTCAAGTCCTCCGACGTTGGAGGCTTGATATAGCCCGAGTATGTACTGAAGCACTAGACTAGTCCAAGACTCGGCCGTTACTCTGATTCAATGCCTCGCTTACGCAGACAAGCTACGGTACCCTAGGCCGATCATATGCTAAGGCATCCCTCTCCTTACCTCATTGCAGCCACAGACCCAGCGAAATCGGCAAGACCAGGATCGTCAGAGAATGTGTTCAAGCTGCAGGAGGTCAATCTGGATTTACTGCTCTAGTGCCTGCTGTCGTCACTGCAAAACACTGCGCGATTGCTATGCGCGGAAGGGCTTCATCTTACTTCTGTAGTCCGTCGAAACGTAGAAGAAAGAAGGGACTTTCGGTCGTCACTCGAAGATACAGAGCCGCGTGGACTGAAGGCAAAGAGAGATGCGCCCATGCGTCCTCAACGTCCACCACAATGCCAAGCCGGAAACGGAAGATTTTTGTCCCGACACCCGCCGCCTTGAAGGTCAAAGTTGTCTGCGTTTTCTTAGGAGTGAAGCTGAGGAGACACGTTCTCGATAATCCGCTGCGCGCCATGCCTGGCATCGTGCGTCAATCGCATGGCAATTCAGCAGCCACCATGGCATCTCTAAAGGCCGCGAAGCCCGATCTGTACCTGATCGCGAGCGAGGATGCCATCTACGAACAGGACATCATCCGCAATCCCGGCAGCATTCGACCATGGCTCACTTACATCGACTTCAAAATGCGCAATGGCACGATCCTCGAGCAGGCATTCGTACAAGAGAGGGCATGCATACAGTTGCCGCGGTCGTACAAGCTGTGGAAGATGTACCTGGAGTTCCGAGTCAAGCACCTGAAAAAGAAGAATCCGGTCAGATACAAGGCCGAGTACAACAAGGTTAATGCGCTCTTCGAAAGAGCACTGATCTTGCTGAACAAAATGCCCGTCATCTGGGAGATGTACCTCACATTTCTTTTGCGACAACCTTATGTGACCAAGACTCGAAGGACCTTCGACAGGGCGCTGCGGGCCCTTCCAGTCACCCAGCACAACAGGATATGGAAGCTGTACAAGTCCTTCGCAAATTCGGCTGGAGGCGACACTGCTGTCAAGATATGGAAGCGATATGTCCAGATTCATCCCGAGGATATGGAAGATTTTATCGACCTGTTGATCGAGACCGGACACTACTTGGAGGCCGTCAAGAGATATATGGAGATCCTGGACAACCCCAAATTCCGGTCGAAGCACATAAAAAGCGAATTCCAGCTGTGGAGCGAGATGGTTGAGCTCATGGTGAACAAGGCCAGAGAAATCGGTGACAGCTCGGTGTCTGGCTTCGACCCCGATACCATCATCCGGAGTGGCATCGAACGATTTGCGGACCAAAGGGGCAAGCTCTGGGCAGGGCTCGCAACCTACTGGATCACACGAGGGGATTTTGAAAGAGCAAGGGACGTGTTCGAGGAAGGGATCACCACGGTCATGACAGTACGCGATTTCACCATGGTCTTTGACGCCTATGTGGAGTTTGAGGAGTCCATCCTATCCACGCTCATGGACGCCGCGTCAGCCCGAGCTGCGAAGGGTGTAGTCGACGCGGAGAAAGACTTTGACCTGGATCTGAAAATGATGCGCTTCGAGCACCTTATGGACCGGCGGCCGTTCCTGGTCAACGACGTCCTCCTACGGCAGAACCCGAACAACGTGGTCGAATGGGAGAAGCGGGTCGCCCTGTGGAACGACAACAAGCAAGAAGTCGTCCAAACCTATACCGACGCCATCGCAGCAATCCAGCCGAAGAGAGCCGTGGGCAAGTTCCACGAACTCTGGCTCAATTACGCCAAATTTTACGAAGAAAACGGTGATCTCGACACCGCACGGATTATCCTCGACAAAGCAGTCAAAGTGCCCTACAAATCCGTGGCAGAACTGGCGGACACGTGGGTCGGCTGGGCCGAAATGGAACTCCGCAACGAAAACTTCGACAATGCGCTGAAGGTCATGGCCACGGCGACGAAAGCGCCCAAGAGGAGTACGGTCGACTACTTCGACGAGACGCTCTCGCCGCAGCAACGTGTCCACAAGTCCTGGAAGGTCTGGTCGTTTTACGTCGACCTGGTCGAGTCAGTCGGCTCACTGGATGAAACTCGCGCCGTGTACGACCGCATCTTTGAACTCCGCATTGCCACACCCCAGACGGTAGTCAACTACGCCAACCTCCTGGAGGAGCATGGCTACTTTGAGGAATCGTTCAAAGTCTACGAACGCGGCCTTGACGTCTTTACATACCCCGTCGCATTCGAACTCTGGAACCTGTACCTGACGAAAGCGGTGACTCGCAAAATCGGGCTCGAGCGCCTGAGAGACCTCTTCGAACAAGCCGTGGAAAATGTCCCCCCACAGTTCGCCAAGCCCATCTACCTGATGTACGGCGACCTGGAAGAAGAGCGCGGGCTCGCAAGATCGGCCATGCGGATCTACGAGCGGGCCACCCGCGCCGTGTCAGACGAAGACCGCCTCCCCATGTTTGAATTCTACATTACCAAATCGGCCACAAACTTCGGCCTCACGTCGACGCGCCCGATATACGAGCGCGCCATTGCCGCCCTCCCCGACTCGGACGCAAAAGCGATGTGTCTCAAGTTTGCCGAGATGGAGCGCCGGCTGGGCGAGATTGACCGCGCGCGAGCCATCTACGGCCACGCATCCCAGTATGCGGATCCCCGCGTCGACAAGCCCTTCTGGGAGACGTGGGAGAAATTCGAAGTCGCGCACGGCAATGAAGACACGTTCAAAGAGATGCTGCGTATTAAGAGGAGTGTGGCCGCGCAGTTCAATACGGATGTGGCGTTCATTGCTAGCCAGGCGGTTGCAAGGGGCCAAGCTGCCGCTGCGACGAATGCCGATTCTGGCGCGCATAGAGACGGGGAAGAGCGAGGGAGCGTCACAGATGCGATGGCGGCACTGGAAAGGCAAACTCGTGCTCCGGTCGGCTTTGTCGCCGCCAGTACAGGCCCAGAGGGAGGAAATAGGCCATCCAAGACGGCTGAGGGTGTCGATGAAGACGGACAAGCGCACGGGAAAGAAAAAGCCACCGTATCTGCAAACCCGGACGCCATTGATGTGGACATCGATGATGATTGAATGTGTTGCAAATGATAGAGGGGGCCGGAAGATGCAGATGCCTTGATTGTCAAGCCGTGCCTTGCCTCGTTTTGCCTCTGCTGCCGGATCCGAGACAACTTTGTGTCCTGTGCTGTCCTGTGCTGCACATAGTAATACAACAATATACTCCGTACAGTAGGGGCTCCTCCAGCTCCTAGATTTCTCACGAAGAGAGCTGAAGCACACAGCCCCAAAGCACAATTCAAGTCACCACTCACCGTATTCCACCCGGGCAGGGACCTCGGACTGCGACCACTATAAGTACACAGTACTCCGTACGCAGTACTCTGTACACGACGCAACTCAACTTGACTCGGCTCGTCTCAACTCCACGCAACTCACCTCGAGTCTATGCACTATCCAAAGATCTCATCGGTTCGTGGCGTTTCAAAGTGAATTATGAGCGGCGACCCGTCCTGTACCGTACTGTACTGCAGAGGAAGAGGAAGAGGAAGAGGAAGAGGAAGAGGAAGAGGAAGAGGAAGAGGAAGAGGAAGAGGAAGAGGAAGAGGAAGAGGAAGAGGAAGAGGAAGAGAAGAGGAGGACCAGGCTCGTTCCTCTGTCTAAACTACCGCCGCTGACTATTCTACGTATAGTACATGTTATGGTAGTATAGCTCCTGGGTAGGTAGAGTAACGTCTGTATAACCTTTCTATCTATCTATCCGTCGATCTATATATCGTCCGTCTATCTGACTAAACGTCTATACAGCGTACCTTAACTAGTCGTGTAACTCCTGGGGTATTCATGCTTGTACGTATTGTGTATCTGATGCCTTGCTCCTCGTCCCTCTGCCTCGTGCCTATGCGGCCGAAACCCGGTATTCCGCAAGTCGGTCTGCCGGTGATAGTAACATGATGTCGGATGCGTATGTGTTGTCCTGTACTGTGTTGTGCTTAGACGGTGCTCTGTACAAACTCTGGGTGGTCGCAAGGCTCTGTACATTCTCCTTCATCTTCTTTTGCTTCATTGAAGAGCTCGTGCTCATCTTCTTCATTTTGAGGTGCTCGTGCAAGGCGGAGCGCTGTCGTCCAGTTCGTCGGCCACTTCAAACACGAGATCCCCTTTCCGTGAGTGGTAGTAATACATTCTCATTCTCATCTCGTTCTCATTCGCGTCCTCGATAATCTGTTCGCGTACTCATTCCGTACTCGCTGCTCCGTACTCGTACTCGGTACTCTCCTCACCCCTCGTACTCCTCCCCTCGATAATCACTTCACCTCGGATACTGCTTGACATGATAACTCTTGACCTTGACAAACTGCTCAAACCCCACGCGACTCAACGTGACGCCCTTGCCTGAATCCTTCCACCCGGTCCACGCGAGGTCCGGACTGGGAAAGTCCGCACGATTGACAAACACGGTCCCGGCCTCGACGTGGCCACAGAGCTCCTCCCCGACGGCCACGTCCTTGGTCCAGATCGACGCCGTAAGGCCGAAGTGACTATCGTTCATGAGCGCGATGGCCTCGTCGTCCGAACCGACCTTTTGCACGGGGATGATGGGACCGAACGTCTCCTCACGCATGACAGCCATACTGTGATCGACGTTGGTCAACAGCGTAGGAGCGACCCAATTCCCCTCGCTCGGGCCCCTCGGCGAAACAAAGGACTCGACGCGCGGAGTCTCGTCCTTGGCGCCCTTGGCCACCGCATCGGCGACTTGTTGGCGGATAGCTTCCACGGCGCGCCGCGAGACCACGGGGCCGAGCTGTGTGGTCTTGTCCAGCGGATCGCCGAGCCGATAGCCCGCGAGGACGGTGCGGGCGGCGTCGACGAACGCGTCATACACATCTTCGTGCACGTAGACGCGCTCGATGGCGCAGCACGACTGGCCAGAGTTGAAGATGGCGCCGTCGACGATCTCCTCGGCCGCCCACGCGACGTCCACGTCCCGCCGCACGTACGCGGGGTCTTTGCCCCCGAGCTCGAGCCCGACCGAACAGGACACCCGCGCCGCGGCGAGCGTCTGGATCGCGACGCCCGCGGCGACACTGCCGGTGAAGCAGATGTGGTTGACGTCCTCGGACTGGATCAGGGGCTGGAGGTCCAGCGGGTTGCCGCAGTGCAGATACTGGATGACGTCGCGGGGGAGGCCCGCCTGGGCGAACATGTCGACGACGTGTTCGACGATCGAGGGCGTCTGCGGGCTCGGTTTCAGGATGACGCTGCATCCCGCCAGCAGCGCGGGGATCAGGCTGTTCACCAGGATCAGGTACGGGTAGTTCCACGCGAAGATGACCAGCACCACGCCGACGGGGTCTCGCCGCGTGACGTATCGCTTGAACCCTTCCTCCGGTTGGCCCGGAATGGTGGCGTCTCGCTCCAGAACCTCCGGCGCAATGCTGTTCATGTACTCTGCTCGTTTGACCGCCGTGGTGATTTCCTTGGCCGTGTACGCGATGGGCCGGCCCATTTGCTCCGTCAGTTCGCGCGCGAGCACATCTTGCTTTTCGAGCACGAGGTTCAGTGCTTTTGCGATGATCTGTTGTCGGCTGGACAGGGAGGCGTGGGATTTGCGGAATGCCTTGAACGCCGCTTGGGCCGTCGTGCCGAGTTGGAGGATTTCTTGCGCCGACAGGCCGTGCCGGGTGAGGATCGGCTTGTTGGTCGTGGGGGAGATGGTGGTGATGACCTCGCCGGCCATGATGAGTAGACTGTTAGAGAGAAAGAGGTGAACTGTTGCGGGACAGGATCTGGTCGCGGGAGACCGAATGATGAAGAAATATGTCCCGCAGTTGGAGAAACTGTGTGGCGACGGTGGCACGGAGGGGTGTCGCGAGGCTGGAACTCAGCCTTGTCACACTGCGCGGCAATGGAGGGGTCCGCAAGGCTAGCTCAGCCTCGTCAAACTACATAGCGAATCGAGACACGCAAGGCTGGCTCAGCCTTGTCGATGCACGAACTACACAGGACATAGCACGACTAGTGTGCTCACCCAAGACAAAAGTCTCCTGGAGCCGACATGGCTGTCAATGTAGTACAATTACTGCGGACAACTCTGCTAGGGATTTCACGTTTCTATTGGAACAAGAGAGATAATACTGCTCACAGGAGGAAGCCTGCTAGTAGGATCCTCAACCCACAACACCCCCATCGCCCGTTCCAATTCCATGATCCTGGTGACCTCGAGATCAGTCTCGCAAAGTTTCCTGAGTGACGACTGCTCTTTGAGTTCCGCCCTGGCAATCGTCATCGCCTGCTCAAAGCACAGCACTGCAGCGCTGAGATTCAACCGCATGGCATGCACTCGCCCAAGCGCCCGAAGTGCTGCCAACCGGGCGAAAACCAGGCCACCCTCTCGCAGCCGTAGTTCCGCTGCATCCAGGATCGGCTTGTCTAAGCTCTGCGCTGAACAAAGGATTTCAATGCGCCGCAGCGCGTCGCAGAGAAGACACTCCACCCTGATGCCTGCGTCTCCAGAGGCCATCATCACCCGCGCCTGCTCAACGAGCGCAGTAATCGCCACCGCCGAGTTTGGCGTGGAGTACAGTTGTTCGAAGTTCTGGGTCAGGTCCTTCAGGAGCCGGACTGCCTCGTCAAACTGGCCCGACGCCGCGGTTATCCGACCCCAGTACCATTGGTGAGCCATCGTCTGGTACGAATACTTGCCGAAAGTTCGGACGTGGTAATCGTGGGCCACGGCCTGGGCCTCCAGCCGCATCCTGACTTGCTGCTCCATGGTCAAGGGCATTCTGAGAACAAGAGAAATCGGATGATTCGGTCCCAGGAGCTTGCATGCAAGAGGCGTGAATTGAGCCTTCACAGCCCGTCGAACGCTCCCGGCCACTGTCTGAGATGTGTCCATGCTCACCTCGGTCAACCAGTAACACAGTTGGGGGTGCTGGCTCAGCAACATGACCTCGGCCAGCGGAAGTGTCCTATTTAGGATCTGCGTCGCATCTGGAGCCTGCCCGGCCGCTATCAGACCGGCCGCCATGATTATCGACGCTCCAATGGCTTCCGTCAGACCTTTTCCCTCGTATTCCGAAGCATTGTTGTGGAGGGCCACCTTCCAAGTACCGTCCGCATTACCTTGGTAGTAGCCAGACACAGCAGCCAGGACCCGATCGAAATTCGTCTGCTCTTTTGAATCTCTAAGCCCAGCGGTTGGCGCTTGACCGACCCTCCACTGGTTCTCGTATTTTCGCCCGGGTCGTTGGTTTGTTTTCGTCGTCCTCGGGACCGACGATCTTGTCGTAGGGCGTCTTTTTCTTTTGATATTAGCCGCGGCCGCTGTCGTCTGCTCAGGATGGGGCTTGATATTCCCGACCTCCTTGGATGGATTGATTGTAAAACCAACTTCAGCTAACCCAGGAAGCAGGTGTCCCGCATGCTCAAGGGTTGATACGGGACACTGAGGCGAATTCAGCAACACTTGAAGCTTAGGCCGTCTCGGATTGGATTGACTCTGCTCGCGAGGTCCTAGCTCGGGGATCTTGTGTTCAGTGGTGGCTGGGATTGGTTCGAGGATGGTTTGCGGAAATGCACGCAATTTAGATTGCAAAGACCCGCCGCCACTGTCTTCGCCACCCAGCTCAACCTGTTGATGCCGTGAGAGCACTATTTCCTGCATATTGATCGTGATACGCTCTCCGAAAGGGCTGGGAACCAATGTCGTCGAGTGATGTAGAACATCAGGTTTTGGTGGTCGATCGTCATGCGTCCGTAGTGGAGGAAGGTCGACGGATGAGAGGGAGGGAACTCCCTGCATCACTGTAAAATCGGTATCCAAGGTCGCGTTACCCACACCAAAGGCATTGCTTGTTTGGCTCTGCATCAGGTTTGACGGAGCGATACTCACTCCCGAAGCACTGAAAGCCGGGCTTATCGGGGCCGAGAGCCGAGTCTCGAATCCCCTGTCGGGGGCAGCTTGCATGTCCGGTAGTGATTCGCAGGCAGAGATCAATTCATCATCACTGCCCTCAAGGGTATTAGACATGGAGAGAAGACGGAGGAGAGGATTGATATCATGCGGGAGTCGAGCTCGACTCTGTGCGCACCGCTGCAAATCTGTGGTTCAGCCGTTCCTATGTTCAGCATACAATCCCATGTGATCCCAACGGGAACTCACATAAGGTCTCCTCAAGCCAGAACAGAGAATTCCCATCTCAGATTGGATTGGAATGTAATGGGACGTGTAATGCCGCTGCCGGTACTCACTCGAGAGTAGACCTTACCGTCTGATTGGCCGCTGACACACGGTGACTAAGCTAGCTTTCGAAGGGACCACCTGGGCGAAGTTTGTACGAGGATTACCAGCGCTGGCAGCCTCAGACGATCTTGGCTGTTGAGACTGCCGGATTCCGTCTGCTCTTTTGGAACCTCCAGAGCTCCAAGCTGTAGTTATAATACTCGTTCCCGTGCTTCATAACCCACAGATTCTCAGATCTCCGGCTGGCTTAGTGCGTCCATTGTAAACCGGCGACGCCGACGACGACGGATACTATGGACGAGGTCGGCGCGTGTTCCACGTAAAAGCAAAATGGGGACCGCATTTCTACGTTGCCGTTCGGGGTTCCAGGCGGTGAAACGTGTACCACTCTCTGGCGGCTGACGTACTCGAGCTGTCAGGAGAAGAAATCCAGAAACCCAGCCTGAATCGTTGGCGGAGGCTAAGTCGCGTGTCTCGTGCAGTGTGTGATGGACATCACCTGTACCAGACCGGTATGCGTTCATCTCCTTGTAGAGGTCCATCGGGCTTGACCCTGCTCATCCAATGGCTGTTGTGCTGCTCATCACTATGTCGGCTTGAGAGCACTTAAGACATTATTGCAAGTTGCCAGCAGCGATCTTTTATCGAGCACAGTATTCACAGGGTTCCTTGGCTCTATCAGTGCCCTTCCTGCCAGAGACAGCCGCTCAACGGGAGTGAAGACCAAACTCGATGCCGCATTCAGCATTTGGTTGAGACTGGCGGTCAGGGTGCCGGTGGATGAGGATTACGCCGTTGGTCCACTAAGTCCTTTGTCGGCCGATGCATGGATTGTCCATCGCGAAGTACGCTCACGCAGAACACTCGCCTTCTCTTAGGCATTGGATGCAGCTACACTGTGGCATCCATCACCACCACCACGAGTGTCCCTGTTGAGCTCCTTGACCAGCCTCAACGACAGGTTGATCGTTCCGGAAGTTCCGTTATCTTTGACATTTCCGACAGGAGACTTCCACGCCCAGTCGGCCGCGCAAGGGATGGTTTGGCCTTGTTTTTATGATCGGGTCCGGGAGCTTGCCGATGTCCTGCTAGTCGATGCTGCAGAATGACTGCTTCACGGACAAAAGACGACAAGAAGAGAGGAAGAGGTCAACAAGAGAAGAAAACAAGGAGACTGCCTGGAATCGTGCTTCGGCACTGCGGCCGTGGATGTGCGTGTGTACTGTGTAGTGTCCCATCTGTGAACTTGGTGTGACTCGGAACTACGAAATACGAAATACGAAATGCGAAATGCGAAATACGGACTCCGTACTCCGCATTTGATTGGAAGCTCGCGTGAGCTGACTTACACATCACGTGTCTCACGTGTCCACACCGGAAAGTGCTGAGACTGGCACGACAGGACGCGCTGCACTGGTCCTTGATCCAACGCGACAACATTTTATCACTCCATTTACTTTGCCTATTATGAGTACCGCGGAGAGGACAGTACGGCGTCGCCCCCTGCCGTTCAGGGGTGAGCTGTCCCTGCCACGACTTCTCCGCTAGGCTGCGGGATAGTGGGCACTTGCTCAGTGTCGCGCATCGTCGGCAAATGAACTTATCACCTGCTTCACGGCCGGGAGAAGATGCTAATGTATCTCGATTGGCTCGCAATCTTTTTTCCCCTTGGACACAGTTCGTTCACCAGCAACGCGATCTCCCACCATTGCCACATTGCTCATCAAACGTTGACATCGTTCCCGACCACATCAGGACATCCTTTGCAGAGCATCCTCAGCTTTGGCCCCAGCATGGTCTTCGAGCACCGGGCTCGAGGTTCACAGTGGCGGCCAACTTTCTGAGCCCGACTATGACGCATATTGGCCGCTCCCGGAAAGATCCCGCCGTCCTCTCCTTCCCGTGGTAGACTAGATGGAGGGATTAAAGGTTCGAGGCAGATCAGCCATAGGCGTCATATCGATCGTGACGCGTCTCATTGCTTTGTCCGTTGGATATTGCAAAAGGTGACTATCACTCTCTTCAGTGCCCGTGGCCATCTTCGTCTCCTCGTGGCTCCGGAGGATCGAGTTTGATCAGAGTGTCGATCCTCATAATTGCAATACAGGCTTCAACAGCGCTTTTGAGCTGTTTGACCTTGCTCATGCTGGGCTCCAGGACACCCATCTTCACGACGTCTGCCACCTTGCCTCGCATCAGATCCAGGCCATAGTTCTTATACTGTCGCTTCTTCGCGATATCCTTTTCTCTTTCATTGGCTTCGCCTTCCTGAACTCTCTGGCTCAACGCATGCCGCACACGTAGCTGGGCCACCAGGTCGGAAGCATCTTTCGCGGCATTGACCGCCAGTGTTTTCGGGACAATCAGGAGAGATTGGGAGAACTCTCCGATCGCCAACTGCTCGCGGGAGGACACAGTCATGGCGAATTCTTCGAGGTAAATAGACAGCGCGCATTCAACAGCGCCCCCACCTGGTACTATGCTGCCCGACTCCAGAGTCCGCTTGACCGCAGACAGTGAGTCATGCACTGACCGCTCCATCTCGTCGAGCTGATAATCGTTGGAGCCTCGAAGGATGATGGATGCCGATGAAAAGGCCTTGGTGCCCTTCACGAGAATGCACTCGTCATCTGATATCCGTTCCTGAACGACTTCCTCGGCGTAACCGAGAAATTCCTTCTCGAACTTCTCATCTCCATTCAGGTCGGATAGCGTGCTGACAAGGGTAGCCCCGGTGGCCTTTGCGATTCGCCTCAAATCTTCTTTCTTACACCTTCGGACACCCATGCAGCCACGTTCCACAAATAGCTTGAGCACCAAGTCGTCGATTCCCTTAGTGGTCAAGACCACATTAGCACCGGCCTTGAGGATCATGTCTACTCTTTCCAGAACGATGCCGGCTTCCCGCTCTCGAATCTTTTCCAGCTGCTGAGGGTCTTCAACGGTGATCTGGACTCCAAGCTTCATCCGCTCCTTTTGCAAATTCATGTCTAGGCAGGCAATCCGTGCATCGGTGATCCTTGTTTTCATGGCCTGCGAAGCAACTGTGCAGTTTAACGCGTAGCCCTTGACCAGGATTGATTCGGTGGCGCTCTTGCCATGCGCTTTGAGGATGTTGACGGCCTTGACCGGGTATTTGATTTCGTTCTTCTGCTGGTTGACCGACTTTACCGCCTGCATGGCGTCGACCACCATATTCGCAAAGAAGTCTGCATCTGCGCCAATGATTTTGCTCGACATTGAGGTTTTGGCGATATTTATCAGGCTCTCCCTGCCCAAGGATTCGACTTTTGTGCTGATATTCTCTTGCATGTATTTGACCGCTTCTCGCAGGGCCAGACGATACCCAGTAATAATGACGGTGGGGTGTATCCGATTCTTCATGAGTTCGTTCGCCCGTCGGAGGAGTTCTGCAGCGACAAGCACGACGGACGTGGTTCCATCTCCGACCTCTCTGTCCTGCTGGTGCGCCAAATCGACCAAAATCTTGCCGGCCGGATGCTCGACGTCGAGGAGACTCAGGATTGTAGCGCCGTCGTTTGTGACTGTGACGTCGCCAATGTCATCGACCATCATCTTGTCCAACCCCGAGGGTCCAAACGAAGTCCTGACCACATTGGCGATTGCCTGCGTCGCGAGAACATTTTGATCTCGAATGTCCTGCCCACTGAGCTTGGTGCCCCCGAGAAATAGAGTCCCACCGTTGCGCGAGCCCTCAAAAATGCCAGCCATCGCGAGGGTGTCTTCGAAGTTGTCAGCTGTTCAGGATGGAAGCCACAATCTGTCGTTGGCCGATGGGTTGGAAAAATATCCTGATGGTCGCAGGTACGGCGACGCGCCTTGATGGGAGAACGCACTTTGGGAAGACTCATCATCACGTGAGCACCATCACCACGACCTTGGCATGTTTGCTGCTTTGTCCTTTCCCGTCGTTCGTCTTGCGGCTCAAGGTTCCTACGTGACTAACTACTTCCTGGTTAGCGTGATAGGTGGATACATGCTGAAGAGCTAGCCGTTGTTGGAAGGCATCCTCCTTACCACCATGACTGTCTCACCGGAGGGCAAGTCACGGTTCGTTTACGGGGCCACCTCTCCTAAGTCGCAACCTGAGTGACATCAGCATCCTTTCTTCTGCTCGACTTCTGCGAGGACCACACCCCTGCTGGTCGCGACGAGTCCCCTCCTTATCCTCTTGCGAGCTTCCATGCCCTTTCTACAGCTGGGGGCCACATCCAACACAATGTGCCTGCTGCGATTCGTCGACCAGGATGCACTTAGCTCGCCCAACGACCTCCAGTACCACATTTCTGCCTATGAAAGTCTTTCACATACTTGAGGGAAGCGGTAAGAACGAGGGCACTTTCGAGGACGGTCAACACGACACTTTTTAGCATAAGGTTTGCTATGCGAAGATTTAGGTGTGCAGCTAACGAGCAACAAAGGAGACATGGGACTACTTCTGCTGGACACTTATTGTATCGGTCACCTACACCGAGCATACCTCCACGGACTTGGGATCCTCCCAGGTCAAAAACTCCATATCTGTTTCCCGGCCCGAGCACCTGCCAGTTTGTCCTGAGCCCTGCCCTGAACAATCTGAGCACAGCCTTCGGCACTCAGCTAGGACTCAGAACCCTATGTTCTATCGCTCGTGTCGACGAGCGTATACCCTCGGTTGATGAACTCATCAGCAGCTATTCCCGAACACCAGTCCTTCATAATCCCTTCCTTTGCAACGTATCTGAAAAAGCCCAAGACATTTCCGTCCTCGGTCCAGGTAGCACTACCGCGCATCCCTTCGGGAAGATTGATTGCTGAGTCTTGGCTCATGTAGCTCCAGGTTGTAAAGACCCAGTCCTATTCTGATGATTTGTCATCACTAGGGATTGCTTGGAATGAGGTCCACATAAATTGGCCGCCGATGAAGCCTGTATCAGGCGTATCGAGGCAAAATCGAACCGAAGCGTTGGTGGTCTCTAGCTGAAACCAACTGCTTGAGCTGGATAGGCTCTTGGATTTTATCGCTCTGGAACGTGACGTTGGAGAATGTTTCCGTGTCCCTCAACTTGACGAGGGCGATGTCTGTGTGAGAGACTTCCATGACGACCTCGCCAATGCCGCGGCCGGTACCGGGGGATGCGTGGAAAACTTGCGTCCCACATTCGCTGGGGAAGCCATGCGCGGCCACAGTCATGAACTCGTTGCCCGCTCCATCCTTCAGAAGAACGCCAGTCGTTGTTGAGAGAAAGGTACCGGAGTTGCCTGACTGGTAGGAAGATGCCACCCTCAAACCTGGCTGCAGAGTGTCGTATTGGCTAACGTCCCGGTTCCTCGGAGCAGGATCAGAAAGGCGCCGAGCGTGTGGTGCCGACGGTCTTCCCATCTCGTCGTCGAACAAGTAGGAACAGCCGATCTTCGCTGCGCGGCACGGCAGTTTGTTGATATCAGTATCCCGGTGCTTCAAGACAATGAACACGACGTTGCCAAGGTACATGACCTCTGTAATCGGGATGCCGACGTCCTGGAAGTGGCCCTTTACAGCAAGGAAGAGCGGCTCCCAATTCTCCATATCTTGCCCATCTTGGTCTTCAGCGATGGAGCCATTCTTGCGACGGACAGGCCTTGGTGGTGGTAGAGGATTTTGACCGAGCCCCAGGTGGAGGTAAAGTGGAACACCGGCGATGCTAAGTGGCCACGGTTTCGGGGGTAGGGTGCGTAGCTGGAGGTATATGAACCATCCATCGCTACCAACGCCAACAGACGGGAAATATGCTACGGAGAGTGTCTCGATTTTCGGGATCATTCAAGGGGTTGAACTTGTCACGTAGGTCAAAGGACAGAATGAGGTGCCGCGCCGGCGGTGGCTCGTGGGGATCCTGTGTTGCCATATCTTGGAGTAGCGGGTTTGCGACGGTGGTGGCTTTATAAAGAGACACCCGCTGGTCTAGAGCACCATGTTAGTATTGCCATTCTGTAGGAGAGAATACGAAGTCCTCACCGATATGAGCCACCTCGGCCCGACTGGACCATCCGAGCGGATTCGGGAACCTGGAGCGAGTAATGCTGTTGAGCGAAGGGCTGATGGACCCGGGGCTTGTGATTATAGCGAGTCTCTTCGGTGACGTTGCTTCGACCCTGGGCGTGATTCGGCGCTTTCTCGAAGAGGAGAGGTCGAGGCCGCTGAGCGGTATCGGCGATACGAGCAGCAGCTCGGCGACAGCCTCGCGCTGCGGCGTAGGCGGGCATGACACAGTGTAAAGGATTCTGCCCCTGTCGGTAATGGTGATTGGTTAGGGCGATAGCATCTGGCCTGATGGAGATGGAGACACTTATATAGTAGAGGGCATAGTGAGAAAGAGTGAGAGAGGAAAAGATGAAAATGAATTAACTTCTGATGCCTTGGAGGCAGGCAGCAGGCACGCAACTTCAGTATACCAGGTATTCTCCTGGCTCGTAGGTTCCAGGTTCGACATGGTTTGCCAACCATATGATCATACCGTACGCGTAGCCTTGGCGCGCTTGTCTCGCCTCGTCCGGTCTGACCTTACCGTCATCACTGACAGCTGTTGAGTGAGTGGGTACAATCCTGTGACCCTGTCCTCCAGCTAAGGGAAACCAGGTATTGGGAGAAGCGTAGCCCGGAAAGCAATAGGGCCGTTGAGGACTGGGATGAGCGAAGCCCCGGCAGCAAAACCGCGGTAGAGTACAGGTAAGCTAACCCGTTGTTCGGCAACGACTCGCTCTCGTCCATCTTGATTCGATTGCTTGTATCATCGCAGTACTCCCAGAGACAAGACCGCGAAGGGCGACTCCAACACCGCAGTCGAGTGTGGAGACTAAACACATTTCGCTGTCAATATCTAAGGGCCCGCATCGTATTCCAATCCAGGTCACTCGGTGAGCAATGAAATGGGTGTCTCGCCCGCAGACTCACTGGCCTACCGACTGATTGGGCTCATCGTATGAACCGAACAGTACAAGGTACAGTATGTAGCGGAGTGTGAGAGGATAGTGTATCTTTGCGTTGAAGATTTCCCGCATAGACTCCGTACGCCGCACATAGACAGAGATAGAGAGCGCATATCATCTCGTCGTCCACATGTGACTTTGGCAATAATTACCTAACCCACTTCAATAGGTACGTATTGTGTAATTACTGTGTAGGTGCCAGGTCGAATGAAGGCAAGCTGAGTGGTACGAGTACGTGATGAGGGCAGAAAGAAGAGCGTCCAGATTGCTTCAGCGGTGGTCCGGATGAATTGAGGACTCGAGTAATCGATCGAGACCTCGGGCGGTGATCTGGCGTGGATCTCGGCTACAAGTAGCGTACAGAAGGGTTCCGTGTCACTACTACCCTGCGTATTTACGGTACATACTATGAACATAGTAGGTACGGAGTCTGTCCGGGGTTCCACTCGTGGGTCCATACCTACCTAGTAGTGTCTAGATTCGGGATTCAGCAATCGAGCCACAGAAAACGGAGCAAAGCCCGAAAAGACTGAACGTACTCTCCGAAACTGGGATACGCATGGGTATTGGAAATTGCACGCTCAAAGATCGCAGTATGCACATGTAGACGGGAGATGAGCATGTCTAGACGATCGTAGAGGATGTACGGAGTATCATTGGGGAATAATTCTTGCTATAGGAGTCGTCATCATCTATGTCCGTTCATAAGAACCCCTGATTATCTGATGTCTCAGCCCGGGTCAACTAGGGAAATCTGGAAGTCCAGCGTACAGGCCGGATGCATGTGAAACCGTGCGTGAAGTAAGTAACCGTCGGAGAGGAAAACCGAAATGGCTAGATCTATGACAGGAAGTGGGGAGCGTTGAGGACAACGCCCATGATACAGCCTGCAAGAGTGCCAGCAATGGGGATGGTCATGAGCCAGGAGAAGCCCAAGAGACCGACTCGTTGCCAGTTGACTGCCCGCCACGTGCCGTTGCAGAGACCGACGCCGACCGTCGCGCCCGTGATGCACATGGAAGTCGACACGGGGAGCTTGTATTGCGAGAAGAGGAGGACAGTGATGGCGGCGCCCATCTCCATGGAAGAACCGCGAGACGGTGAATGGTAGGTGATCTTGTTGCCCATGACTTTCATGATGTTGTAGCCATAGGTGATCAGACCGAACGAGAGTGTCGCAGAGAGCACGGCAAGTTGCCAGACGGGCACCTCAGCGCTAGACTGCGCGGCATCGCCGGTTTTCCAGGCCGAGTAGATGACAGCCCAGGGTCCGACAGCGTTGCCGATATCGTTGGCGCCGTGGGCGAATGAGGCAGTGCACGCAGTGATGACCTGGATGTACGAGTAGGTATGCTCCACCTCGTTGGGATACTTGGTGGCGTGAGAGTACACTCGCTCCATACGGCGGCCTTCAGGCGTGCCGTGAATACCAGTCTGTGCGGCGTGGATGTCGTAGTTAACACCGTAGAGAGCAGCGACTGTGATCATGGCGGGAATGCGCTTGAGGATGATCTTGATGTTCTTCAGCTCGTAGATTTCGCCGGGAGCAAGGGGGGTGTTGTGCAGCGTGCGCATGGCCCAGCCAAGAGGACCCCGCTTCTTGCGAAGTTTGGCATGGAACCGTTCTTGGGCTTCGGCCACACGTTCCTTGTAGGTCATCTGAGGGGTGGCAGCCTCAGCCTCCGCGAGGCTTCGGTCCTGCGATGATTTCTCCTGTGCAGCCTGAATCGGGACCTTGACTCCATTGCCGTCGACCTTGACACCTAGTTCGCTGGAGTGGGTAGACTCGTCGTCATCCTTTTGAATCACAGCATAGTCCGGGACGTTGGCATGCTCATGGACCTCGGCAGGAGGGGGTCGCTTCCAGAGCATGGGGCCCAGGGGCAGGTGCCAGAATCGGATGGTATGATCTTTGTTGATGGTTTTAGCGTACAACCAGGGGACGAAGAAGATGGCGGACAGCACAAATAGACCGCCGCCAACGCCGAGTGTGACAGAGGCGATGTACCACGCGGGTTTCTTGTTCAAGCCGAGGTTTGGTGAACCCTTGTAGACAACGGACAGCGTGCAGATGGTTCCGGCGACGAGGAAGAAGAAAGGCGAGGTGTAGACCGCCCATGGCATTGGGTTCTTGCGGAGATGCACAATGAGTTTGATGAGCATGAAGATGGTCGCCGCAAAGCCACCAGAGATGAGAGGGGCCAATCCCAGACCAGCGAAGATGGCACCCAAGCCCTGGCCGTCGTTCCAGCCCCATTCAACTTGAGCAGCTCCAGCGGTCGCGACACCGACGCCAGCGACAGCAGAGATCAGTGAATAGGACGAGGAAACGTGAGCCGAATGACGAGTGCACCACATCACCCACATTGAGGCACCTGCAAGGGCACATGTGAACGCAAGCATCTGCACACCGGCGTTATCTTGGAAGGCGTCGAGGGGAATGATCTTGTTCTTGATCGTGGAGGCGGTTCGGGCACCGACGGTGATAGCTCCGAGCATTTCGAAGACGGCACCGAGAACCATGGCCTGTTGATATGTGACGGATCGTGACGAGACACTGGTAGCCCAGCTGTTTGCGACATCGTCTTATCAAATCAGTCAGTACAATCCTCCGAACTGAGCAAGTGCACCTGTAGCTTACTGGCACCGTTGTTGTAGGCGTCAAGCAAGGCAAACAAGGTGCCGATGGCGAAGACATAGTTGTACTCGGAGAGGACTGCCATTGTGACCGGGGTCAAGCAGACTTGACTCACGTGGGAGTGTTGAGTTCTGGTTGAGTGCAGAGGACAGGTCTGAGACAGAGGGTTGGACAGGTCTTTTATGTCGAGCGACCCTTCCCTGTCACGCTAGGAAAGAATACATCGTTTGTCACTGCAACGGTTTGTCTCACGGCGGTAGCAAATTCGAGGTTGCTGGCCCGCCCCATCGAACACGACCACGAGCAGTTTCTTCTTCTCCTAGACGCAGCTTATTCGTGCAGAGCGCTCCATCAGCAGATTGTCGTCAATGGATCGCGCAACGCCGTCGCCGCATTGGAGGCTGTGCCAGGAGGCGGGACTTGATCTAGACAGGGTTCGGAGGGCTTGTGGCCTGTGAAGGAGGGCCCCAAGCTACCACCAAGCCCTGACCATCCATAGTCCAAGACAAGAGAAGCAACTTCAAGCTGCATTCTCGACTTCCAGAATCTTGGCTGTAACTCCAGCGGGCTTGGCGGCTAAGACGGCCTGGAAAAGTCTGAAGGAATGATTTATATGCAGTGGCGGCTGCGAGCATTCCGAACAGACGCAGGCAGGTTGAGAGCACGTTCTTGATATGAGCCGTACGGTTGGTTCGTTCCTAATCCGGGCATATCGCCTTGTTCCTCGATGGAGCAATCCGTTTGGTTCGCCTGGCGGCGAGCGACAGGTCCGCCGGCTTGGCCAGACTTGGCGGCAGACCACCCAACAACTCGCTACGCCCATGGATAACAATCTTGACAGCTGCACGTCGAGTAGCAGTGGGCGCCCGAGCGGCCTCGCCGCATGTTCCTGCGGTACGAGCAACGGTCGCAGTCCACAGTATCGGGAAGTCGGGTTCGACCTATCCAATCGGATCGTTTGCATGCCATCTCTTGTTCTGAAAGGCGAGAGATTGGGATTTGATCGCGCCTTGACACCACGTTCGATGCACCATTGCAAACCGTAGCGAGATCATAGTTCCCACCCATAACGGCAGACATGCCTCAAAGATCAGTTTTCCGAAGCCTGGCGCATCCTATTGTGGAGGTGAGTGTGCAACAACACATGAACCACATTCCCACAGAGCTTGGCTTGCCAGTCCCTTGGCAGATGCCACACACGTGTTGAACGGATGGCAAGGCTGTCAGCTTATCCTCGCGTGCGCATAACCTTTTGGGGAGGTGAGAAGACGGGCTGATGGTACCGAGCCACTGCTCAGGCGACTTTCAGATAAACCGGGCCCCGGGCTCGACCAGCAGGATTGTGACGGTGGCCGGAGACGTATTGACATCAGTGTCGCCCCTTTAGATCGACCTGCACGCTTCATCGGAAGGGACAGGAAAATGGCGTGCATCGTGACGCTCAGTTGCAGCCAGTTCGTGTGTGCACCAGTTCATCGGATTTTGAGACGCGACTCATCAGCCGATTGACGTGCCAAACATGCCAAGGAAGTTTTGCAACTATATCACGTGACTTCTCCCCACCTCGACTTTCGACTCACAATCGCGTCGGCGGGGTTGGGCTTCGGACATTTGGTTGTGTGTCAAGTCACCAACGAGTGAGAAAATCCATTACTCCCCAATCCTTCAACGTGCGAGGCATCCACCAGCGGGCGCAAGTGACGGTTGGGCGCAACCCACCTCTGACCTCCATTCACCCTTGATTTTCTTCTAACCCCGACAAGCCCGTGACCAGATGTCGCACTCCAGAAACCCCTCCAAGACCGAGATCCCTACGCGAGAGAAAGAGCCGAAACCCGAGACTGAAGCCAAAATGGAGAAAGCGAAACCTGAAAAGCCCATTGGCAAGCAAGAAGCCAAAATGCCTCAGAAAGCAGGAGGTGGAGGAAAGAAGAAGAAGATGGAAGGCGCCGCTCTGATTGGCATTGATGTCTCCAAGGAAGTCGATTTCCCAGAGTGGTACCAGCAAGTCCTGCTCAAGGGCGACATGCTCGACTACTACGATATTTCTGGGTGCTATATCCTCAAGCCAGCCTCCCAATTCGTCTGGGATGAAGTCAGAGCCTGGTTTGACTCGAGGATCAAGAAGATGGGTGTGAAAAACTGCTCCTTCCCTCTATTCGTCTCTGAGGACGTGCTCAACCGGGAAAAGTCCCACATCGAAGGCTTCGCTGCTGAGGTCGCGTGGGTTACGCACGGAGGCAGCACTAAGCTGGAGAAGAAGATCGCGATCCGCCCTACTTCCGAAACCGTCATGTACCCTTACTATGCCAAATGGATCCAGAGTTACCGCGACCTCCCCTTGAAGCTCAATCAATGGAACTCGGTCGTCCGATGGGAATTCAAGCACCCTCAGCCGTTCTTGCGGACTCGAGAGTTTCACTGGCAAGAAGGCCACACGGCGCATCTGACAGAACAAGAGGCAGGCAAGGAAGTGCTTGAGATCCTCGACCTGTATGCCGGAGTCTACGAGGAGCTGCTGGCGGTGCCGGTGATGAAGGGCAAGAAGACAGACAAGGAGAGATTCGCTGGAGGCCTGTATACCACGACCGTCGAAGGATATATTCCAGCCACGGGGCGGGGCATTCAGGGAGGCACATCGCATTGCTTGGGTCAGAACTTCAGCAAGATGTTCGGCATCACGGTACAGGATCCCAACGCGAAGACGGAAGAAGAAAAGAAGAACCAACTGTTTGTGTGGCAAAACTCTTGGGGCTTGTCGACTCGAGTCATCGGTGTCATGGTCATGATTCATGGTGATGACCGGGGTCTGGTGCTCCCACCCCGAGTCGTCGAGACTCAGGTTGTCATTGTGCCTGTCGGAGTGACAGCCAAGACCACCGAAGAAGAGAGAGATGCATTGTACAAGGAGATTGATGGACTTGTGGAGGTGCTCAAGGCCGTCAATGTTCGGGTTCAAGCTGATTTCCGAGAGGGATACTCTCCAGGGTGGAAGTTCAATGACTGGGAGTTGAAGGGTGTCCCGCTGCGTCTTGAGTTTGGTCCAGGAGAGAGCAAGGGCCATTTTGTTACAACGTCCCGACGAGACCTCCCTAAAGCCGAGAGCAAAGGTCAAATTGCCATCAGTGAACTCAACACGGCAGTACCCGAGCTCCTGGAAACCATCCAGAAGGATCTGTACGACCGCGCGGATGCCAAATTCAAGTCACATGTCAAGAAAATCACTGACTGGGAGGAATTCGTGCCGGCCCTGAACGACAAGAACGTCATTTTGATCCCCCATTGCTTGACGGAAGCTTGCGAGGATCAAATCAAAGATATGAGCGCCCGCAAAGCTGAAGAACAAAGCGGTGTTGCCCAAGATGATCGTGCTCCGAGTATGGGCGCAAAGAGTCTGTGCATTCCGTTCGATCAGCCTGGAGGGATTGAGGAGGGCGTGACCAAGTGCACCAATCCTCAGTGCTCGAAGCTTGCCGAGAAATGGTGCTTGTTCGGACGGTCATACTAATCAGTCGGCACCCAGAGTGCAGGTGTCCATGACACTGAGTAGACACTCCAGCCTCGGACAAGCACACTGCATGCACTCGACGCAGTTCTGGAGGCGGTCAGGTCGTGAGACGAATAGTTTGACTCACGATCCGCGGGTCACGCGCATCTCAAGACCACACCCCATCACCTTGACGTGTGCCAGTGTGAGGCGAAGAGTCGAGGCTTGGTTAGCTTTATCGAGAATTCAATTGCGACAGCCGCGAGACTTGTTATGGTTGGTTCTCGACCGCCGCGAGGCCAGGAACAGGACAAGATCAACCATGGGCGTCGCCCACGCCCCAATCGCGGCGCTGTTTGTATCAGCAGTCGCTATCAGGGGGCGCTTGGCACCGTGTCAAACCCCTCTCTCCCGATAAGCTGCATACTGGGTTGGGGAGGCACTGGAGGGGGAGCACAAGCACTGAGCAGTCGCTCAGCATGGCGTCAGATCGAGATGAGTACAAAACCACCGTGACGCCCGCCATCGTCTAGTCACCGATCATTCACTTCCTTCGGGCCAGTCCCTCTGAAGAACATGTGCACGTGCCCGTCCTAAACTCCTGCTAATTAATATCCACCTGGTCGCCCCTCGTCACCTGCAATATTTCCCCCCTCCATTCTTCTGCACCGAATCGTATTATTATTATTTTTTCCCCTTGCCCTCTGCGTGGTGCTGTAGGCGGTCCCCCGTCGCCAGTCCCAAGGGCCCAGGGCGCTGGTTCCAGGCGGCATTCTTTTCTTCTTCCGGGCCGCGTGCTGCCCGCGTGCCACCCGACCTAGTAGACTTTTGTCACTTCACGTTGGATTCGGTTCCTCGCGAGCCTCTCGCCCCCGTGCGCGCTTGCCGTTGCCGCTGGTTCGGTGCTTGAACATGCCAATTTTGGCAGCGTCGCAGAAATTTGTTCTCGATGGGCCGGCACCATCACCATCACCATCTTCGCCTTCCTGACCACCTCTACCTCTCTCCGCCCTCGCCTCCAAACCCTGCCATTTCCGCGACGGCTCCTGCTTCGCTCCTCGCGGTCAAGTCGGCCATATTCTTCTCGTCGTCGACTTCCTTGTTCCAGGAAGTTGGGCGCTCCCGGGCTTTTGCGATCCGTGACCGCATCCCCGGCTTCAAAACTTCTGCTGGTGAGCAAGCACACGACAATTTTCGGGGGCTTTTGAGCTTCTACGTGCACCCCAACTGGAAACCAGCTCTAACAGATCATCTTGCGGAACAGCTTTCTTTACCACGCTCCGAGCAAACCTGATCCTTGACCTCGAACATACCTCATCCGTCGCAAATACTCCCGATTTCCTCCGCCCAGCGGACTGGACGAATTCAGGCCTTCCCTATTCCTCTGCCGCCTCACCACAGTACCACTACTACTATCACTCGGAAATGGCCAACGACGACACCACCGTCGCCGAGAGGGCCGACAATCCACTCGACTCGCTCCCCGAGCTCACGACCAAGCCCGCTGCGACCGAAGACGATAGGGTCGAAGCCCTGCATCTGATCGCCGACTCGGTCGCCCAACAACGCCAATTGGCCTCCACGGCAATTATATTCCACCCCTTCACACTATGCGCGCTGGTCCTCCTCTTCGGGCTGGCCTACCAGAACCTCTATAAAGGGTCGTATTCGGACTGGGCCATCATCGGGACCACCTTGGCCGGCATCCTCATGGCCGCGCTCATCACCGTCCGATGGCTCACAGGCGGCTACATCTTCGAGGCCGAGCGGATCGGGACGTGGAAATGGCTCAACGAAGGTCGCGACGAGTCCGAGGCCGACATCGTCGGCTCGCAGGACGACATCCTCCTCACGCGCTACGGCGACGAAGTCATCGGCGCGATCGTCCTGCGCGGCGTCCGCGACCACCCGACCCAAGCAGCATCGACCAGCAGATCACGCAAGAACGTGCCCACCACCGGGCAGATCCGCGCGTGGACGGTGAAGCGGCGGTACCGCCGCAAAGGCATCGGCCAAGGCTTGCTGGAGGAAGCCATCGCGTGGTGTCGAGACAAAGGCTGGCAGGGCCCGGAATTTGCCGAGAAGCACGCCAACTCGGCCAAGCTCGTGCACCCTACTTTCAGCGGCGGCTTTACCAAGCGGGAGAGGCAGGCGCGAGAGATGCTGCAGCGGGTGATTGAGGAGCAGCAGGGCAGTAGTAGTACTGCTGGGGGAAAGAAAGGCCGGAGATAAGACGGTTGACTGACAAGATCCCGGCTGGGGACTGACCACGTACGTAACTGACCTTTTGGCACTGTTGGCAGCAACGGGATCTACACGAATTTCACAGACTCCTACTACTACTATTATTACTACTCGTACGAGACATATATATATACCCTGGAGATACCCTAACGGCGAGGACTTGGGACGCCATTGTGGCGAATGCGGTCGACGTCGACACTTGGATAGATACCCCTTGGGGAAGAATGAACAGATGATTCTCCCGTACTAGACTAATTCGCTGAACAAAACGATATCGCCGAGGAAGCAAGTTGGTGTGCTTGCTGCGGTCGGTGCCACCGCTGATGATGTATTTACAATCTACCCTCCTCTACCATCTACTGTAAAGTTACAGTCTCCGTAACGAAGTCGAGTCCCGCCGTATACCTTGCTCGTCCAATCCTGCCTAGTCATTCGATTTTGCATTCTCCCTAACCCACGCGGCGGCCCTGGCCTTGACGGCCTCGACGCGCCTCTCGTCCCCTCTGGCCGTCTCAAACCGATCCCAGCGCTTGAAGAAACTCTTCGCCTGTTTGGGCTTCAGCTTGAGAGTGAAGATGCGCTCGAACGTGGCGCGAACCTGCTCGTCGTCCTTTGTGACGTTCATCTCGAGATCGAGCAGCACGTCGAAGAGATCCACGCGCTTGGGGAACGACGCAATCAGGCCCTCGAAGAGGGTGCGGCCCCGCTCGGGCAGGCCGTGCGCCGAGGTGAATTCCAGGCGGGCGAACGACTTGGTCGTCTCAAAGTGCGTGAACTTGGGAAGCGTCTGCAGGGCGCGGGCGTGTAGTGCGTGCGCCTTTTCGCGACCGGCGTCGTCATCACCCATCTTGTCGAGGAGGAAGGCTGCGTAGTTGACCCAGACTTTGGGGTCTCGGGCGAATTTCTTGATCATGCGTTCGAAGACGTCGGTGGCCTTGGCGAATTTGCCCTCTTTGATGTAGATGCTGGCCAGGCGTGCGTGCATCTCCTGCTGGTCGTTGACTTCACATGCTCTCCTGAACGTCTCCTCCTCGACACTTTCATCGTCGCCGAAGTGGACCTCCAGATTGAGTAGGGCCACCCACACGTTGAACTTCTCGTCCTCAAGTCCCACGGCGATGGTGCGGAGGGCGCGTTCCCCGATTGCTCGTGCGGCGTCCACGTCGCCCAAGTCGAGGTGGAAGGCCATGTATCGAAGCCAGAGGACCGAGTTGTCGGGCTCCGCGAGGAGCAGGCGCTCGAAATCGTCGGCAGATTGAGGACCGTTGACGTCGAGGTCGGCGGTGCGGTCCACATCCATGGTTGGCTGGTTCTTTTTCTTCTTGTGCTTTTTCTTGGGAGTGTCGGCGTCGGAATCGGATGCTTCTGCGAGTCGCTTGCTCGAAGGTGATGGTGCAGGAAGAAGGCCCGTCCAGTCGAAGCCGCCGGCCGAGAGAGCCGTGCTTTTCGGAGCCGCTACGGAGACGTGTGTGGCTTCGTCTTCGTCTTCGTCTTCGTCTTCATCCTCGGTGTCGTGGATATCTGGATGGATCTGTATGTCTACCATGTCTGAATCCTCGTCGTCTCCTTCCACATGGCTGTCATTGTCTCCCGACTGGGACTCATCTTCTTCGTCTTCGGACAAGTTAATATCGGCCTCCGCGTCCTCCATTTCGGCGTCGAGCATGGCGCCACCTTGGCTGTCAGAGTCAGCATCGCTTTCGGCCTCTTCCTCGGTAGGATCGGTAAAGTAGGACGCTTTCATGCCGAAGTTGACCTTGCGAGTCGCAGGATCCAGTTTCAGCACTTTGGCTTTCACTTTGTCTCCTACCGCGAACAGCTTGCTGGCATCTTCGACTCGCTGCTCGGCGATCTCACTGCGGTGACATAGCCCGCGGATCTTCTCAGAGTTATCCACAAGGATGAAGACACCGAAGGGTTGGACATTGACAACCTGACCTGTCACGATATCTCCGACCTTCAAGACGTTAAACGTGATAGGCACCTTGAAATCGGGCTTCAAAGCTGACTCTTTCAAGCTCATCTGAATCTGCCCAGAAGCCTCGTCAACCATAATGATCCGGCCTTTTACAAGTTGATCTCGCTGGAAATGGTCCTTCCATTCTTTGAGATAGCTGTCAGACAAATTGCTGATCCGGACAAATCCTACCACGCCGCGACCGAGTGTAACGAAGACTCCTTGGTCGCTCACATTCTTGACGAACCCGCGAACAATATCGTTGACGGCGACTCGATCGATAGAGTCAATCTCTCGATCTGTGACTTTCATCGAAGAGCTGAGAACTTTTGAGGGTCTCGTTGAGAGGCTGACCCGTTTGTTGGGTACATCAACACCCACGACGGAGACTCGAATGATATCGTTCTTCTGATATCTGGCCGGATTGGCTTCATCGTAGTTGTCTGCCATATCGACCAACTCGACTGAGCCGGCGACCTGCTCACTGAGCTGGACAAAGATATTGCGATCGGTGACTTTGGTAACCCGACCTGGAAGAACAAGGCCCGGGGTGACGTTAGCGAAGTCCAGAGAGCCTGCAGTACCGTCCGACCGGGCTGTCAAGTCCAAATGTCCCTTTTCAGGATCGACGGCAAGGACGCGAACGCGCACGGCGGAACCCAAAGGGAAGTTGCGAGGCAAATTGGCAGCCAGAGACAGATCGTCCGCGATATCAATGGTCCGAATCCTACCACGAACGGTTGGCGAGATGTTGACCCAGACACATTCGTCGGTGATATTGTTGATGAAGGCGACGTGAGATGAGCCCACCGTCATATCTCGCAACGCCAACTGGGGCAGCTTCTCGCTTGCAATCGAGCTTGGTTTGCACGTCAGCTCGAAGACTGTATTCTTCCCGTTTCGATGCGTAAGGGGGAGAAAACGATGGTTTCTTGTGTCATGGGCACCAAGCACACGAACGGTCAGCTCCAGCTGCGGATAGAATGGCTTCAGCGGCTTCTTCCTGTCCTTGATGTCCTTCCAATCGTCGAAGACTTCGGAGACGTCGATGCGTCCTTGTACGTCCTTTGCCAGCTCGACGTTGATTTGGGTGTCCTTGACTGAAATGACTCTAGCTTTCGTTTTCATGCCGACTGAGAGATCGTTGACGACCGTGAGGCTGGCATCAACGGGGTCTACAAGTTTAAACGAGGCCGGCTCAGTGGGCGGGCCTTCAGACTTCGTCACTGAACCTTCTTCACGCATCGTTAGCCAGAACCTGGGCGCAGCACCCTTGTACTCGATGTTGAGCACTCTGGCCGTGACGGGTTGCAAATCGGTCATGCCGAAGTTCTCCTCGTCTTCTTTTCCCACAGATACTTGACTTCTGGGAATGAGGCCAGTGATGCCAGCAGCAAAGCCCACAAATACGCCGTCCTCGGTGATGTTTTTGACGTATCCAGTCACAACGGCGCCAGGTTGTAATTGCTCAAAACTTTTGAGGAACGTGCCGGCGCGTGTTGCGCTGACTAGACTCGCCTTGTTCGAGATCAGCACGATTCGTCGTTTTGCCTGCACTTGTAGAATGAGGATGCTTTCCAGCGTTTGGTTGACGCGGATCTTGCTGAAGGCGGCTTGCCTTTTTTTAAGCGACCCATCAGCGACATGATCCAGTGTGAGCCGTGCAATGGCGTCGTTTTCTTCCAGGCGCAAAAGAATGTCATTCTCGGACTTCTCGAAAACCGTGCCGTTAGTGATGGTACCCGGAAGCAGACGTGACAAGGAGCTTTCAATCGAAGCGTTTGATCGGTTGATGTCTCTACACGACAGCGTCATGCGCTTCTCGGCGGCGTTGATGCTGAGAGCGCTCACCGAAACGACTTGGCCCACGCGGAAGTGGTCTCTCGCGTCTTTGATGTAGGCCTCGCTCATCTCGGACACAGGGAGAAAGCCCTTGACAGGTCCGAAGAAGCGGACAACCGCACCAAGCGGGTCGACCTTGGCCAGTGTCCCTACCGTAGAATCTCCGACCTCGATATCCTCGAACCGCAGCCAAGCTTTCTGATCACTGGTAACGAGGGCCTTCTTTAAGGTGAGTCGAAGACGTCGCCGGGCAGGATTGCTGGTCAGAACTCTAGCAGTGACGGTCTGGCCCGCTCTGAACTTCTTCTCCGGGTGATCCAGCTTGACATTAGACAGATGCAACTTGGGAACAAAGCCTGTTATACCTTCAGCAAGCATCACTAACAGGCCCTCAACTCCACTTTCTCCAATCACCAGCTTCTCGATTGTTCCTTTGACGACGGCACCAAGAGGGACGTCTTCATATCGCAGGAATGCTTGTTGAAGGATACTTTCCTGAAGGGAGACCATATAGAGGTTGTCCACTGGGTTAAATTCGAGTATCCGCGCCTTGTGCTCGGAGCCAAGCTTGAATGAACCACTAAATTCAGAAATAGCGTCCAGCTTCTTGTCTGCCAGCCGCGATAAGTGAGCAAAGCCGACATTTTGCTCATTTAGCTGCAGATAGACGCCCAAGCCTGGCTCAACATGAATCACTGACGCAGACTCAATAGTAGACGATAATGCGAGTCTTCCACTCTCAGTGCCGGTTGACTCTGGGATATCGCTCAAGTCCAGTATATTCTCCAGCACCGAGAACCCCAGCTTCCTATTGTCGGAAAGAGGAAAGTTACAAATGAGGCGACCTGGGATCCTCTGTCCTACCTGGAATTTCGCGAGGAAGGCTTCCCGGTCTCGAAATGAACCGGAGTGTATGACATCGGCGGTCACATCCAGCATGCCCATGATCTTTCCTGTAAGCCCAGCCTCCGTCATGGTGCTAATCAGGATTTCAGCTTTGGTACCTGGGAGAAACGTGTCGACGGAAGGAGCAGACTTGAGCACAACCGACTTGGAGAGGTCAGCTGAAAGCTTGACCACCTTGTTGTTGGGGCTGGCGTCCAGTACGTGGCATAGCAAAACAGCACCAGTTTTAATGTCCGAAAGAGACCGGCCGCTGGGCAATTGTTTGCTCGGGACGAAGCCACGGACATGGTCATCTTCAAGTGAGACATCGACCACCAAACCGTGGTCTTCGACGCTACTCACGGAAACCTGTACTGTGGCGCCGACGGCGAGATTCTGTCGATTCAATCCTGCATTGGTCAAGGCTGGTTCCACGGATAATTCAATTCGCTTTCGTGCCAATGTCTGTCCTTGCCTCTCCTGCTCGGTAGAAGTGACGGCCACGCGTAAATATTGATCGAGGCGGAAGTAGTTGGTCAAGGAGATACCGTCATCCTCCTCCTCCTCATCGTCGCTGTTGTTCCCTTCATCATCGTTCTTCTCCAGCAGATCCTGGATTTTGTCGCTTAGCTGTGGGGAGATGGCGGTCAAGGGCACATATCCGACAAGGTTGTTGGGCAATGCGACGGTCAGAGTTCGCGCGCTTACGGATGTCACCTGGGCGAGGATGAGGGAGGCGGTGGTGATTCGTTTGTAGCTGAGGCCTCCGATTTGAACTTCTGCTTTCGTACTGACCGCAGCAGAGTCAGGCTTCTTCTTGCCCTTCGTTCGTTGCCGTTCGCGCCGCTTCGGCTCTATCTGTGGTTTCGCCTTTTCTCCCTCATCGCTCTCAGTATCGAGCGCTCTGTCCCCTCCTCCGAAGAGATCCTCTGTCGGCTTCTGTTCTCGGTCCGCATCTCGTGCTGCTTTGGCTCGGATTTGCTTGCGTTCCAGGGGAGTCAATAGACTTGCACCGCCTCGAGGGAAAGCAGGCTGTTCTTTCGTAAGAATCGAGGCTTGTCTCGGCTTCTGGTCTCTTTTCTGTTCCTTGACAGGTGCCTCTGCCTTCGAGCTGGGATCCGTCTTCGGTCTCTTGCTGGGTTGTCTACTTGGGGCTGCTTCAGGTTTGCGCTTTGCGGAAGCCATATCGACGAGGTAGAATTCACGTGCCGTGCAGTGTTAGCACATCAGCGGTCTGTGTGTCTGCTTGTTCACAGCAGCCTCAACCAGCGTGGAATCGCAGGAAACTGGCAGCAAACAAAATTTTGGATCGAGTTGCAGGCTGCGGAGCAAAGTCATGGAGAAATTCCTTTCCGCCAATCAAAATTCAGCTCGTTGTGTGGAGTAGCCGTTGGTGGTTAGGCTCGCCTAAACGCCGGGTAATAGCCTCCTCGCCCCTAAGCTTTAACTGGAATTGGGTGAATTGGCTGGCAACGCGCGCCGCTGGGGCACGTCACGCGTACCGCGACGTTACGCGAGGCTGGTCTTCAACGTCTTACAGTAGCTACCTGGTACCTAATCACTCACCTGCCACTGAGGCATATCTTGCCACTCAGCAACCTCCATTCTCTACCTCTACCTCTACCTCTACCTCTACCTCTACCTCTA